AAAATCATGAAAAAAACGCCACTTTCAAGACGAGTAATTCATAAACTGAAAAAGTTTATCGATCAATAAAAATAAAATATTTGTACAACATTCAACTTGACATTTGTTACTTATTTAGTTAAGTTTTGTCATGCGTTTCGTTTCATACAAAATATTTATGAGCGGCCGACTAGACGATGATTGACTCTCTCGAGTTGAAACTTGTCAAACAAAAGAGTAACTTGATTTTGATTTGTGTCATGTTTGCATACTCATCCCGTTCAATTCATTTCATAAAATTTTGACGTGCAGAATTATTAAGAAAGAAACGAGATTTAGAAAAAATAGAGCAGTTTTAGCTAGAATAAAGGCTTATGGAACCAATGCGTTGTACGTGTATGTCTGTCTGGCTTGATAAACTTATCCGATCGAGATGAAATTTTAGTAAATTTTACACACGTTTAATCTAAATTGTGGCTCGGGCTATGCGAACTTGCTGTCCCGAGATTTTTTTAAAATTGTCTGAGACGACTTAATTTGCATACCTACTTCAATTTAGAAGTCCACCGTGCAATTAAAAATGTCAAGACGGGCTAAATTTATAAAATTTTATGAAAGTTGGCCAAATCCTCTATACATTTGCATACGTGCAAAAATAATTTCGCCAACCAAATCCAGTCCATCGACTGTCTACTCTCTCAATTTTTAAGTTATCAAAATCAAGGGCATCGCACTGCCACAAAATTATTGACACGTTTTGCACACACGAACTTTCATACGGATGATTCATACGTTCCTCGTTATAAATAAATAGCGGATTCCTCCTCATTTGTAAATATATGTACCATTCTACGTAATAAATAGGTTATTTCATAAAAATCTCACGCTCATAATCCAACCAAAACCAAACCACTAATCATCTCATGTCATCATATACATTCATAAATCGTGGTTTGGTTAGAGTGTGAACTTCACTTATTTACGTACGTCGAACTTTTGGGTGAGAATTAGCTTAACAAATAAAATTGATACCTTTAAAATTACTACAATTTCTTACTAGTGCTACGTACATATTTTCTGTAAAGGAGGAGGCCATGATAAATGCTTATCTACTTACTCGCAAAAAAATGGTAAGATAAGCCGATCTATTCTCAAACAAACCATTTTATTCTTGGTCATCTTTTTTCTTTCTTTCGCTAATCTGTAATCTCAAAATTTATCCTTCTCTTTGCAATGTTTCTTTTAATCAGTGGCCGCGGAAGGGTGGGTACAGAGGGACAATGTCCCCACGATTATTCGATGTCCGCATCATCTTCCCATGTTATATAAACCCCTCCGTCCCCTATCCTACAATGCTAACGTCCCCAGATGTCCCCACAGCTTCCGCGGCCACTGTTTTTAATCCTGTTCAAATTGGAGGTTTGACAGTTGGTGAAAGAAATCTGTGATCAAATTGAGATTGCGGATTAATGAAATGAAAACTATTGTGTATCCGTTATTACGGAATTGAGCACATGACACTACAAAGTAAAATAATCCCATTTCTTTTACCTGTAAATCTGACTCGGTGCGTAATTTACAATTTTTATTGACGTGTAAGTAAACCGAGCCAAGTAGCTATTATGCTTTAAAGAAGGTATTTTTTTCTCATGGGAGGAAGAAGACGATAATGGTGCGAAAAATTTTATGACGAAATAACGGCAGTGTTTGGTAAAAATTGGTGACAAAATTGGTGACATATGTTCCAGATAGGGTTTGATAAGATTGCGGATGCGGGAAATTTATTTCGATTTTGATTGTAAACGAGCAATTTTGTAGATTTTCGGATTTTTTATCAGAAGTTTTCACACGGTGGAGTTTTCACGAATTTAGTAAAATGTACAAAAATTATTACCAACTTTTTAAGTTATCTAAATAAACTAGAAAAATTAAATTATATTAAAATTAAACGCAATCGGAGTTATGTGTGTACATACATCTCTCCCAGTACCACCAAATTTTGTGTGATTTTACCAGTTTTGCGTAATTTTAACATTTTTTGCTTAAATTTCCCACATCATTGGTTTACCTGTAGTTTTACACCTTTGACAACTATGTAGCTAGGTACATATTTATGTAGGTATTCATGTCCTGAGTTGTGTGGCCTAATTTAGTTTTTAGTCGGGTGTGTGTGGTCATTTTTTTGCACTTTAAATAATTCCCTACATTTGTACGACAACTGTTAAATTGGGGTTGCAAATTTTCAGTTAAATGCTTCATTTTCCCCAATCGTCAAGATTTACTTAACATATTTTAGTAAAGTTGAGATTGATATATTTCTTCAAAATGCATCTAAAACAAAGTTTTCTTTTAATTTTCTAAATTTTCTAATGATGATAGCATTAAAATTATGTCAAATTATTATTTTCTTCCCATGCCAAATTTACACCACACCAACACCACAGCAAGACCATTAACACTAAATAAGGAATCATCATCACCTTAAAAAACTAAACTAATTCTTAAAGAAAAACTTAAGTGGGACTTATCTTAAAGAAGACATGCTGTTATCTTCGTGTACTAAAATAATATGCTAAATCAGTGTTCATCTCACGGTTTATAATTTTAGGAAAATAATCCAGCAAATAATATGATCTTTGACCATTTGCCTCGATACAAAAATTTAAAAAAAAATCTATGTCCAATTAAAAATTCTATTTGAAAAATCTAAAAAAAAATTAGTGCATTTGTTACAACAAATCATGGAGTATGGACGGCTTCACCGATAATTTAGCATTTTTTTTACCTGGTCAACATTACTACATATATGCTTCACCTAAGAAAAACAATAGGCTTGTTCTAAAGCAAAATGGAAAGTGAACGAGATCGATAAAAATTTACACACGTTTTTATATAAATGAAAAAAAAATTTGCAAATTAATTTGCATGATTTTATAATCAGAAATTATATTATCAGAAAAATAATATTTTAAAAACCTTGTTAGGTTTTATAGAGGATTCAACTTCCAAAGTTTCTGTATTTTTGAAATCTTAAATCTGGCTTTACTCGGTATTAAATTAACCAATTAGGAAGTGGTAAATTGTTTAAAAACACTTGGAAAGCAAAAAATTTACATGAAAATTATGCACTTAAAACTTACACATTTTTAAATTCCGGTGATGTAGGTACGAACTTCATGTGATAATTTTATTTCATTTCACATGTAGTTCACCAATTCATTGATAAATTCCCTAAGTGTACCAATTACGAGAAAAACTTGATTTAAAATAATTTATACAAGTTTTCACTCTAAACTAAATTGCTTTACAATCTCTCAAAATATCACTGTTTGACTTGTTTACAACATCAATAAATTCGTAAGAAAAAACGTGCCAATTAGCAAATTATCGATATATAAACGAAAATTGCAAACCTTTTAAAAATTCATATCCAATAATAATAATAACCCAGGTGCCTACTGCTACCTACCTACTTAAATAATATGCAAATCTTGACTGATTGTGATTAATTCCTCTCATCCACTAATTGCTTGTTGAATTTAAAATACAACCTACATTTAAAACCAATGTTCACGATTAATTACCGGTTTTGGATATATTACACATCTCTACATGTATCATCAACAATGGTGAAATTTCAATCACAATGGAAAACCATACGGATTTTTTTTTCTCTAGAAATCCTGATTACATTTAAAGAAACTCTTTTGCATAGTACTTAAACTGCGATGGGCAGCTATTATTAATTGTTTTGGAAAGCAATTAATTTTTATGGTGGAGAAGATGACACCAAGTTATTTGTCCTTGTCATCCCATATTGTGTTGTTTTGCATTAGAAAAAAATTTCAAGTGTTTTCAAAATCTTAGCCAAATTTCGAAAATACACGAAAACTGAGTAACAAACATAGATTTAAAATTTAGGTCTCGACATAATTTTCGAGAATATCGTAAAATTTGCAGTAAAATATGACGTGAACCAGCCGCGTAAAATTAGTATTATTATTACGACGGACATAAAAGGTTGAGAAATGGACGCAAGAGCAATTTAGCACCATTTATTTCAACTAATCTCTCCAATTAGGATAACCTTGTCAGGATGAAAGGGGACTTTTTTGGTTTGTGTGGTTTAGTTAAGTATCGTAATTTATCCTTACGCAATAATAATACAACACGGTAACGGCTGGATTTTAAGCATGTACATACTTTTTTGGCCTCCTAAATAACATGCTGAACTTATCAAACTCATGCCGGAAAACAATTCAGCAATTCTTTCCAAAAAATAAGAAATATTTCTCTAAAAGATTTCTTGAAATATTTATTTACTGCTGGATTCTAAACTATTTATTACGCTCACGCAAATGCAGTGGCCGCGGAAGCCGTGGGGACATCTGGGGACATTAACATTGTAGGATGGGGGATGGAGGGGTTTATAAATATAAGGTGGGGAGATGATGGGGACATCGAATAACCGTGAGTACATTGTCCCTCTCTCCCCACCCTTCCGCGGCCACTGTACACTTAACACTATCCTAACCTATTTTTAATTCGTGCCCAATTTTAACTTTTACATAACCACCACTCTCAAAGTCACTCAAGTTTAAAAACTCACTCACCGCAAAATTATTACCCGTCCAGTATCTATCACTATGCTATTATGTGGTCACACTTATACTTAAGATGCCATATATTATTCAAGAATATGAAAAATTTGCACTTCGCGAATAGCGAAAAATGCTGGACCAAGGCCGTCATATTTTATTTTTCTCTTCTCATAATGTTCATTGTTATTGCACACCTTGTTTTCCTCTCAAGGAGGAAAATGACCAGACCACGTATCCATTACTTAATACGACTTTTAACTATAATCACCCAATCTTAATGATCATACTTTACTCGACAGTTTAAATAAATGCATTTGCAAGCATCTCGTCCAACCCACAAAAAATAATTGAGTCCTTTTTCGCAAAATTGCGAATTTTTCATACATTTTTTAACCCTGCAAAACATTGTCTATTTTACAGAAGACGGGCGGAGAGTAAAAAATCAACAATTAAACCTTCTCAACCTTGTACCTTTCACACAACCGGAGTATAATAAATCTCCCCACGAAGTCATTATCGGGATTGAGGTGACACTGAAATTGAGATCAAACCATTACAATGACGTCGTCGACGCCACTGCCTCTTCTTCCTCCTCGACAACGTTTAAGAAAGTAGGAGTAAAAAGGAAACAAAAATCATTACACATTCAAATTCAACCCTGTCAAAAAAAGCCGACAGCTTTTTAACTTCATCATCGTCATGAGAATGGGGCCACTCTTCATTAATCAAGGCCGAGATGATGACACTGCCACCGCCACCAAATCCCAGGGGCGGAGAAGAAATAAACCTTCGTCTCAACTTCAAGCTCCAAGTTCAGGTGAAGAAATTTACTGAATTTATTTAATTTATTGTTATCAAGAAATGGGCATTATTAAGTAGCTTCGGCTGCTTTATGGGAAGACTTTGTCCGTCCGTCTGTCCGTCAGCAGGATGACGGATCGAGATAATCGAAATCGGGTTTGATTATGACCTCAAGGGGAGGATCCTATAAACTTTTTGGGGTCAATCGGACCACCCCCTCGAGTTCAGGGGGTGTGGTCGCATATTTTTGGGGGAAATTACTGGTTTCACCCTATTGCTACATTTCGTTTATTTTTGCTAAAATGTGGACTTGTCACTTATTTACCCCTTAGGTGACATCGGAATAAGGAGTAGTACAAACTGTAATGCCACTGTGCCTGCGCCCCCACTTTTCCATCTTGTCGGTCAACAAGGACAATCGTCCCAGACTACGAAAAAGAACACGATGACCATGTTATCCAGTAATTCGACCTCTTCCGCAGATTCGGGCCACCCCTCGGGAAACTTTGAGGAACTTGTGACGCCAAAAAACTTAAATAGTTGCCAATCTCTTCCGCCACCACTGTTACGACATCCGACCACTATTTCCGGTGGGGGTGGTGGGGGGAGCAGTCTCCTTACGAAGTACTTGGTCCTTCTGCAAGACTGCGTTGCCATAAAGTTTGTAGTGGTTGGGGGCTCGTCGGATCACCATGCGAGTAGCACAAATGGGAACACGCTGAGACGAAGGAGTCGAAGTAGTTATGTGTTTAATGGTAATTCTTGGAAATAGGTTTCTATTTTGGAAGAAAATTTTGGCCTAAAATTTCCTAAAATTAATATAGAAACGAAACACCGGCATAATTTTACCAATCTTAATTTTACCAAATTTACCAATCCTACAAATTTTTAGTTATGTATTTAATGGTAATACTTGTACATATCTAAATAAGTTTCTATTTTGGAAGAAAATTTGGTCTAAAATTTCCTCAAATTAGTATAAAAACAAAACACCGGCAAAATTTTACCAATCTTAATTTTACCAATTTTACCAAATTTACCAATCCTAACAATTTTACCATTTTTAGCTAACAAAACTAGTAATTTCCGAAATTATTTCCTTAAAATAGAAAGCCCATTTTCCGATGAGGATGCCGACCTGTCATTATTATCCAGTCGTGGTGACCCCGGATCATCAAATATTATCCTTCCTGACCACGGATCAGGAGTGCAGGGCGTTCAGTTGTACAAGGTACTAAAGAAAACATAATAGGAGAAAGTGAAATTTGCATATTTACGCAGATGAGATGAGAGTCGCCCATTAGTCGCCAAACCTAAACTTTTTTTAAACTACTTACTTAAATTGAATCTTGACCATTTTAAAATAATAAAACTGCGCAAAAATGAGGACATTTTCCTTTCAATCGCAACATCAAGCTCATCAAAGATTCAGCCATCAGTCACGACGACACCTTTCTTAAATTGCTCAATTATTTATCCAAGCTTGAGGTTGAGAAGATGCGATCAATTTCTGGCTCGATTTTTATTCAACTAAATAAATAATCATCATGACGAGCATGAAGTAGTTTCAAAGTGAAAAATGATCACAGACTTTACAAATTGGCTCATTATTATTTTTTGCGAGGGATCTATTAGATTTTTTTGTTCGTAAAATCCAAATCAAACCAATCAATCAATAAAATAGGTGGTCGGGTACCTCACTTGTTAGCTAACTTGCGCCATAGTTAAGCCATAACATTGGCGCAAAGGCATCTTTATACTATGTTGACACTATAAGTATTCGAGTCATACAATTTTACGTAAATTGGCAATTTTATGTACATTCTCAATTTTACGTAAGTTCTCAATTTTACGTAAATTCGCAATTTTACATACATTCGCAATTTTACGTAAATTCGCAATTTTACGTACATTCGCAAGTTTATGTACATTCTCAATTTTACGTACATTCTCAATTTTACGTAAATTCGAAATTTTACGCAAATTCGCAATTTTTTTCACGTGTTTCGCAGAGCTTTAAAGAAGCCAACTTGAAATGTTACTGGAACGCCACGTTGTGTGACGCCATCCGTTCCTTGGAGTATAAAGGGTGGTTGTTACCCTCGACCATTTTAGTGGGCGGAGGTGGTCCCGATGGTCTACATCCGCAACGCTTATCTGTCATCAGGACGGCCTGGGGGAGAAAAATGCTAAGAAATCCGCCCGGGTATCGGATCGAGTTTATTGGTAAGAAGTAATATGTGTATGCAAATGAGATGAAAACATTGATAAATCATTTTATGGGTTTTTACGACGATTTTCTGTAGGCGAAGTTGAAGAAATTATTGCTGAGCCAGTGTCACAGGGTCAATTTGCACCATTGTCAGATTCCCTGTGTTGGGCAATATTGGAGCTAACTTCGTCAGGTAATTAGGCATTATTTATAGAAGATCACACAGGCTAAAAATTTGCATATGCATATAAATCATGCAAATTTTGTCGCAAAAATATTTAAAACCTGACATTTTATAAAATTTAAGAAACACATGTCACAAAAATGTTAACTTTTTTGTAAGATTCACATTTCTCCCATTACAACAAATGATTTTAAAATTTTGAAAACTGTTTTACGAACAACGTAAAATTAAAAATCAAAGATCATGAAAAGCTGCCCCTAAATATCCTCATCTTCAAATAATAAATCCATAATGATAACCCAATCGCTTATCTTTCCTCCAAGGCCAAGAAGCCTTCGTGGATTCGATCCTTCTCGCCCTCGCGAACGCCTTCCCCCTCATGTCCCTCCCCCCGAGGGAACTGGTTTACACCACTTTGGAAAGATTGATCCGGGACAGAAAAATCTACCAGACTTCGCACGGCTACTTTATCGTCAGCCCGGACACTTTTCGCTACATGAGTGCCGGAGGGGACGGCCAATCGCAACCCCAACAGCAAATCATCGGCTACAATAGTAACGTTCCACCGTTGGATGCGTTAACAGCGTCGTATTACGATGTCGGTATGTAGCACGAGACAACTTCAAAAATTGAACAAAATTTCACGTATATTTCGAAATTGTACAAATTTAACCCTCATTTCAAAATTGTACAAATTCTAACATTAATTCGAAATTCTACAGATTTCAGTTTTATTTCAAAATTTGTTAAAAGTTCAACTTTATTTCAAAATTGTACAAATTTTAACGTTAATTTCAAAATTGTACAAATTTTAACGTTAATTTGAAATTCTACAGATTTCAATTTTATTTCAAAATTGTACAATTTAAACCTTATTTCAAAATTGTACAAATTTCAACCTTATTTTAAAATTACACAAACTTCAACATTATTTCAAAATTTTAGATAAAATATCGCAACACTCCTACTCTTCCGGTGGTGGTAATGATTCAAGAGATGATCTTCTACTTGAAAATGAACAACGCGTCCTTCCCCTCAAGCGACACAATTCGTTAAGAGTTATCCGCCAACGGGATCTTGACGTTAGTAGATGCAACTTATCATAAAATTTAAAACATTTTAAAAAATCACTAATTACAGATTCTAACACCAACCATGGGAGCGAGAAGTTTGTCGTTCCGATTGTCCAAGACGAGATCGCTTCTCGTTCCTGAACCAAATAGTCGACCTTATTTCGATGCAATGAATGACACGACAACAGCGTCAGCAAAATTACCCGTGACGACCTCACCCACTAGTAATCATCCCAGCGAGACGGACAAAAACAGAGGAGACGATGCAAAATCAAAAAGTAAGCGCAAAATTATTACGTAATTCATGTAATTTTCAAAAATTTCTAATATTGTTTTTCCTTTAGAACAATCCTTCTTCCGCCGACTTTTCTCTTTTCGCCGTTCAACGCAGAAAAAATGTTCAAATAATCCAATTAAATCGAACCCTGGGAAAAATAACGCAGCCAAAAAACAACCTCCCTCATCCTCCCCCGAAACTCCCTCCGTACTTCCTCCCACCCAGCAAACCACCGTGTCACTCGAACAGTTGCAACGATCCCCCAAAATTTATGCGCAACTTCCCCCCAGAAAACAACTCTCCTCGTCAACCAGACCGGGCACGACGACCGACTTGAAGAATCGTTCTTACGAAGACATCCTCGAAGATGAGATCATGTTGGCGACGTCATCGTCCTATTTTCGACGTCCTCAGGTCCCCATGTCGAAATGGAACTCGCTCCCGTCCTCTTCATCTGGACGACGGAGTCGTCGCAGTATTTTGAACGATTCGCCATTTTACGATGTCCTCCAATTCAACAATGGTCATCAACAGCAGCAGCCTTGTCCCAATCCTCACCTGCGGAATAACACTACAGGTCATCATCAACCTACTCAAAGCCGGACCTCGTCCAGCCTTGGGTATGGGAGTTATCAACGAGAAAGACCGATAAGCATGTACTCATCATCACCGTCTCAGCACCACCACCACCACGCCGGACCCCCTCCGACAGGACAGTCTTTCGACAATTTCGCCAAAGAACAGATGATGCGACGATCTTCCCTTCCTCGGATTGATTCCCCCTCTCCGAGCGTGTCTGCCATATACGCGTCGATCAGTGGGGGTGGTGGTGGTCAAACTTTGGGTAAAAATAACGCTGCCAAAATCATGCCCCCCCGGAGCAGATCGGCCCCACGAATTGCATCCTCCATCATTTCCAGCCTCCCACCTCCCATCCCACGACCCGCTGTCACTGTAAGACCGCATCCCCACAATAAATATCCGCCATGGCGTCCCCGCTCCGCGTATGAATTGCTGGCTTATCAGAATCTACAAAATTCTGCAAAGAAATTTAATCCCTCTTCCCGAAAACTGATACACGGAAACGGTAATAACGAGCCGGAGACAAAGCTTAAAATAGCGAGCAGTACAGATTCGTCGTCACAACGTCATGAAAATTCTGGCGCAGCAGAGATGAGTGCAACTTCTTCGACCACGATCAAATCCAGGACAGAGCTTCAACTCCAATTTCCCATGGGAAGAATGGTCTTCAACAACAAAATGGGTGGTGGTCGACGTGGTGGTTATAAAATAGGGGCGAAAAACGACCCTGGCACGACGACTACGCCCGGAAGAATTGTGACTACCGTGCAATTCGACACGAATCAAGATGGCGTCACCACCACCACCACGACGGCGTCGAGTGGAAAAAATGGGGGCGGTGATGACCCCACTACTGTTGACGTTGGGGAGGATAAAATAGTAACAAATTGTATTAATAATGACACGACCACGATGCATGATAAGCTCCACCACTTATCTTCATCCCCTTCACCAAACACGTCCTCGACGGATGAGGGAGTCGATATTGCCAATTAAGTAACGCATATGTAACAGTGTTACGAAACGTGGAATTTATAAATATTGATGGTTTTTAGTTCGTGTTATCGAATAGTTGTGTAGTTGTTGATTGATGGATAACGTACTTGTGTGTTATCATTAATTACACTTATCTTAACAAAATGCCAAAAGCCTGCGTTGTTATGTAGGCTTATGATTGAGTGAGTATTATTAATTGTCGTGCGAGAGGAGTGGATCAGACCAGGAATTTATGTAACAAATAAATAAATGAGACCTTGCAATTTCAACTGCATTTCATCACCCGTGTGATGGACGATAATATGATTTATTTTTTGCAAACTTGCCAAATTGACTGAACTCCAGTGTCAAGGACTGATTGATTGATTAGTTAATTACTATTGTGTGCTGATATGATTGATCGTTATCCAGCCTGGCGAACAACAAAGCTCATCGGATCCGTGCATGACTTCGTAAATATTTTTCCAGAAACATTGTATGCAAATATATGCAAATATTTGCAAACAGGTGTCACACATTAAATATATTGCATTTTCAGAAATTATGAAAACGCACTGCAAACAAATCTGGGAAATGTTTTGTTCATTTTTTAGCCAGAAAAAATTTGAATATTTTATAAATAGTGACAAAGATCAATTTGGAAACTCCATAAATATGCCGTTGATCATCTCATGATCGTTCTCTCTTCTCTCTCCTGATAAGTTGTTATCTTGCTTGTCAACTGTCCCATCCTCGTACAAATAATGTGTACATGTCCCCACTCAACAATTATGTATTAATTTGCAAGCGTTACTACCCATCCAACCCACTTGAGCTTGACATATAAAGCTGCCCCTGGTCCGGCAGGGTTATCACCATTGCTCAAAAAACGGTACGACGACACGAACCTCAAAATGCAGCACCTTTTCGTCTTTGCCCTCGTTCTCAGCGGCGGTCTCCTCATCGCCGTCGACGCCCACGGTAAATATTAAATACGTAAATTTACTTATCTAACTGCAGTTAATTAATTTAAAATTAACTTTATAGGCAGGTTTATGCGCCCACCAAACAGAAGTTCAATTTGGAGGGTGCCAGAATTTGCGGGGCAAAATCCCCCAGCAAACTATGATGATAACCAACTCTACTGCGGAGGACTTCACCAGGCTGACGAGCCAGGAAGCAATTGTGGCGTGTGCGGTGACCGAGCGTCGGACCCGACCCCACGCCCCAACGAAATTGGAGGCACCTGGTACAGAGGAATCATCACGGGAGATTATCAATCCGGACAGGTTATCGATATTGAGGTATTAATAATAATAATAATATTATTATTAATTAATTAATTATTAATTAATTATTCTTATATTTAGATTGATTTGACCACGAGTCACTTGGGTGCGATGGAATTCCGTCTGTGCACAAACCCCCAAACCGAAAATCAAGCCTGTTTCAATCAGAATGTACTCCGAATTGCTGATGGTCCTGGCGCCGGGGGGACCAAATTGCCAGCCGCGTCCACCGGACTAATGCGATCCAGGCTTCAACTTCCATCAGGAGTTAGATGTGATCACTGCATTATTCAATGGAACTACAGGTATGTTTTTCGAAAAAAATTATTTCGACAAAAAAAACATTTTGAAATTCAAAATTATTATTCTGACCTGATTATTATTATTTTTTTACCAGGGCCGGAAATGGCTGGGGAGATTGCGGAAACGGCACCTCTGCTTCGGGATGTGGACCACAGGAAACGTTCCGTGGATGCTCAGATGTCCGAATTCGTTAAAAAATCAATCTAACGCTCAAATTGATAGTTACCTATTTGTAAATATATCTAGTTTCTTTTCCGCGTAAAGTAAAATCTGCAACCCAATTTTTATTTATGTACAAGTCTAACTTTTGCATTTAGATTATTCTCATTAAATTCATGTCGTCTAGTTTCATTGCACAATAATTATGTATAACGATTAAATTTAACTCTAGGAGAGGAACTCAACCTTAATTTGTAGATAACTAAATCATCCATCACAACTACCGCAAAGTAAAATGATTCATTTCGAAACAGGTCACATTCCAGAGGACAAGGTCCAATGAGCTCTTGTCCATGTCCATGTCTCGTCAAAACGAATCCCTCTCGCATTAGTCAGAATATTTGCACGTGCTAATAAAACCATAAATAAATTAATCATCGTCAAACCCAAGCAAATCCTAAAATTCTCCATACGCACATGATGACATGTATTTCCTCTCATGCTATATTTGTACTGGACAGTGGCCGCGGAAGGGTGGGGACAGAGGGACAATGTCCCCACGGTTGTTCGATGTCCCCATCATCTGCCCATCTTATATAAACCCATCCCTCCCTTATTCTGTAATGTTAATGTCCCCCGATGTCCCAACGGCTTCCGCGGCCGCTGTTTGTATTGGACTAAAATCTGGTTGCATTACTGGTAGAGATGTGCAGGGCAGGCATTTTTCATTGTCCGCCCTACCCTATACCCTACTTGGCCCAGCCCTGCCCTACCCTACCCTATAGGGTAGGGTAAAATTGAAACCCGGGCCTGCCCTACCCTGGAAAAATAAAGCCCGCCCTAGCCCTACCCTAGATTTTCTTAATCAATAAAAGCCCTACCCTACCCTAAAGGGCTTCGGGCCCAGGCCCTATTCATAATTGTTTATGTAAATCGTTTAAAGCAACTAATAATATCAATATATTAAGTTCGCAATTATGATGATTGAAAAAAATTATAATGACATTAAAACTTTAAAAATGGTCTAGTAATTTTGTAAATCAAAGGTAATTTCGTTACGTTTCCACCGGACAAATATGAAGTTCTTGGCTCTCGTACTCCTGTGGTTCAACAATTCTTATATCTATGGAATGTGACGCACGAAATTTTGAGTCTTTTTGCAACTTTCGAAATTTTGTGTCGCCACACCAGTAACAAATGTCAACATGGAGTAGTCAATCTCCATAGTATAATCAATTTTAAGTACTTGTAACACAAGTGAATTAATATAGTAGAAAGATGACAAGATTGTCCCGCGTCTCACTTCTAATGGCCTGCTCGATGGTTGACTGCGTTATTGTAAAGCAGAAAAGCCCTACCCTGCCCTACAGCATATTGGTGTACATACAAAAAAGCCCGCCCGTCCCTATGCCCTACTTTAAAAAGCCCTACCCTACCCTACCCTTAAAAATTCAGGGTAATAAAAGCCCGCCCGCCCAAAGCCCTATAGGGTAGGGCAGGGTAGGGTTTTTTTAGGGTATACCCTGCCCTATGCACATCTCTAATTACTGGTCAAATCTCAAATCAAGTCAACTTTTGACTTTGGACATTTACATAACTGCAACACAGTTAAAGTTAATACATACTTACAGTTAACACGTTTGTATAGCCGGCACGTGCTCAGCCACACGATTGTTCCGTGTTCTTCTTGGACTTGTGTCCTCTTCTCCTTGTTCCTCCTCTGCCTGCACGTCAAAATATTTCATATCAACCAACTCATTTACATAAATAAACAAATTAAACTGCATTACTTAAATCCACTGCACCCAAAAAAATCATTCATTTCATTTCACAACATAACATGTAATGAATCATTATATTCCATTCCATAACACATTTAGCAAAATATAACCCCCAACAAGTCAACAATCCCGTAAAGCATGCTGATACAGGGAGGAAATTATTACTACTAATAAAGGAGAGGAAGTAAATTAAATTTTATTCAGCAAACCAAAAATTAGCAATACGTGTTAGCAATTACGACACGTATTCTTACATATTCTTTAACCATGCGAATTATTTGCGAATCCATCATCAACAAGTCTGCAATGTCTGCATGACTAATATCTCGCTATAATAACGTGTAAATCCATGTGTATTTACCACTTGACTTATACACATTTCTCAACAAAATTTGTACAATGAGAATGAGAATAAGAGGTTACTTGTGCATAAGTAAGAAATACCTTATCTTGCATATAACCACCACCAACAAGCAACCACCTTCTCACCCATGCTAATGATATTTTTCTTGGTAAACAAGTTAAAGAACTTTGAATTATATCGTCATCCCCTGTCGTGGTACTAATAAAATAATATCATCATCCTCGTCATCATATAGCTTGACCAACAATTACTTATCTTAAAGTTAGTTAGTTAGTTAGACTACTTCCACCTTGCAGCATAAAATAAATTCAGCTCTCAGTCTTCCAATTCGTGTCGTTGGCAAATAATCCACTTCCACTTTTCCGCGAGTCAAGTCAACTAACTTCTTTTAGTAAAAAGTTGAAAGAGAAACTTTTCTAAATATTTAAGTATGTAATTGTGTGAATCTTTTACAATAACAGAAAATTTTTCCAAAGTCAGTTTTGTTTACGAGTTTTGCTTACTATTAAATAAACTGCGCCATAAACAGTGCTGATTGAAAGGTCTGATTACATTACACCTGGATTAGCAAAAAAAAGAAGTGCGAATATTTCCACCTGTTGCTTTGTAGCCAAAGACCGTGACAAAAGGTATGTACGAACAACAACTTTTCGGTACAACAGCAAAAATTTGCAATAAATTTTGCACATGTATTTTGCACATTTGTTTATATTTCTTCTAATCAATCAATCATTCATCCATCCATAATTCACTTTGGTAGTAGTAAATTTATCAGCAGTTTCTTTCATTGCGGTGCATTTATAATTTATTTATGGTGGTTAAATGAGCATAATTAAATTCCTCGTAAACTAAACTGAGTCAGTTTAACTGACCTTTACTCTGCAAGGTTATTGGGCCCGCATTTTTGAATTTGCATCGTTACACAATTCCCAGCATTATTTATTACTGTATTATAACTGTTCTTCTTAAATGTCAAGGAGTTATGTAGGTGTAAAATCACCATTTCTTCAAGAATAGGTAAATTAGTTCAGTAGTTTCTTATTCACGAGTTCATAAGCAAGCCTGTAATTTAATCAGTACACAGTATGCACCCAAATGTCAAAGTCCGACCGAGTTTGAACTGTAAAATGTAAATTGGACCCGGCCAGTTAAAGGACATGAAAAACTCTCGTGTTAATAACCAACAACTTGACATTAAAATTTATAAGGCATGACAGTTAGCGAGGAGTGAGTCCAGTTCATGCAAATGAGATCAGTAGCAGCAGTGGCAGTCAGTCTCCCCAGAAAATGACGATAATACGATCCATTTCCATACTCGCATTATCTTTTCCATCCGTCGTCTGAAGAAGGAAAAAGGACGACGGACAAGTTCGTTTAGATAAAAGTTAATCTTTCAACTCAGAGGATTTGGTGACACAAGTCAGTCCAATTCTTGTAGTTTGGTTTGGTTGGTGTCTTAAAGCTCATCCTCCTCTTTTTCTCCCGATAATCTGCGGTGTGGTCCCCCCATTTCCGGAACTAAGAGTAAGTAAAGGTCACAGATTGTGGGGTCGGGGTCAGGGTCAGGGTCAGGTCGTGGCGTCCTTTCTCTTTTCGGGGATGGATATTTTTTAGCTGAAGAATATATATTTTTTGTTTCGGGGGCGTTTCTTTATGGACAATTATTTAAGATTTTGTTCCATAATTTGCAGATTTTCGTGCCCCCAGGTGTATGAGGCGTGCACATCAGCGAGAAATGGAAGCACAACAGCACACCCAGTGCAACGGGGACGGATCAGCTTTACCCACTAAATTCTTGAAGAAAGTCTTGGATATTCCTGTCGTCAAGTTTGGCGTGGGACATGCCGCCGGACTTTATGGAAGGGTTAAGGTATTAAATATTTCTATTCTTTACACAAGTTCAAGGGAGTTCAATTAGTATAATTTTGACGTTCCGATTAATACCGTGCACGGTATTCATCGTCCGCATCAAAGGTCATTATCACGGGGTCAGGGTGACACATGATGATGACATAATTCTATTCATCCAATCGGAATTATGTTACTGGACTGGACATAATTTCCCTTTCTATATAACTAATTATTGTTAAATTATTACAGGATTTCAACACCATCACTCACAAATCACTGGAACTTGCGGAGAGTGTTACGGGCGCCGTGGTCGGTCGTGTGACCCCATTTGCGCAGAGAGGTCTTTGCCTTGCCGGTCAACCTCTGCATAAGATTGATAACTTTGCCGCCACAGGACTCGCAAATTTGGAGGATAAAGTTCCTGTCATTAAGCAAGAGCCGCAAGTGGTACGGATCGTATTTAAACATTTTCTGTACAATGAACCCCGTTTCAATTTTATTTTAATAATTCGCAATTAATTAGATAATGTCCGACGTGACGGGAGCAGTAACACACAAACTTTTGGAAACCAAGCTTCGTGTCACTAAAGCGTCAGAAGGCGTCCTCATCTCACGTCCGGTCCAGACTTATTTCGACATTTTACAATTTATTCTTGGCACAGCGTCAAAGACATTGGACAAAGTTTTGCCACCGAGTGATGATGGTAAGATATTTTATCCAAACACACACCCACCTTGATTTAGTTATACAAATTGTGATTTATTCCCTAATTGCAGAGCAAGACAAACGCAAGACTCACACGACTGGTGAAGACGAAAAGAGGTCTGAACGAGGGTGGAACCTTCTCGCTCAATTCTTCGGACTTTTGGGAACGGCAAAGGATCGCGTCGTTGGTCGGGTCCGTCACCGGCTCGAGAGCACGTCCAACGTGGCAGACGCCGTGTTTAAGGAGGCAAAGAAGGCCGTGGTATGTCAAAAAAGATGCATTAAGTATTAATTTACTAGATTCTGACCTACCTTTAACTTTCAAATTAGAACCACGCCTTGCCCATTGCCTCAGACAAGGATTCAACTAACGCGGACTCTACAATGTCCTGCAACTCTTCCGTCTCCTCGAACGCGTCCAGCAAAGGGGGCAAGAACAAGAACAAAGGAAAGGATCACAGCGCCGGGGACTAAATAATTCTTATATTCTTACGTGTGTTTCCTCCATCATTCATCCATTACCCTCAAAACAACACCTTTTTTTCTTGACGAGGGGAAGCTAATTAATTGGTTATCTTTAGTGATGATGCGATAATTACTTACCCTTATGCATACATATGTTTATTCTAAATTAAAATTATAGGTCAACGAGTTGGTAGTTTAATCTTAGGTTCGAGCTGAAGGAAGAGGACAAATTATCATTAGTTTTGTTGTAATTAGGACCTTAGTTGGAGAAGAAAATGCTTGAATAGGATATTATTTTGGTAAATATGATGATATGAAATTTATACCATACAAATTTCATTACGAATTGAATAAAAAGTTAAAATTTATTATTTTGAAGAGCTCTAGGATTATCTTTTTGGGAATATTGAGATATTTTTTTGTCAATATGGGAAAAATAGCTGATCAGAATAGAAGTTTGGGATTGAATTTCAATTAATAATTAGCTCAGCCCAGCATTTCCAGTAGGTTTTGCATTTTTAAGTGGTTTTTCTTCCCATCGGACATGACACATGTCCAAACCCCTGATGAGACTGTCAACCCAGTTCGCAAAACGCATTTGCTAAAATTTGGGTCACGGAAGCCCTCGTACTTTTATGTAGGCACATTTCTTCATGTCAGTGGGTGGTCATTTTTACATTTTCATACATAAAATCCACTTCCACTCCATTGGGGTCACCCACTTTCTGCATCGCTTCCTCGGTGTCCACTAACAACCAGAAACCTTCCAGACATTTGGTAAAAAAATTCTTGTCCTAAAATTCGGCCCAAAATTATTTCATATTCAATAATTTCCTATATTTATACTCCTCATCGAAATGAAATGAACACCGTGTTCCCCTTCTCCGGTGCCTCGACGTCCTCAATCCCATCAAGCCTTGGCGACAGCACACTTGACCTCCAAGGCGGCCAGAAGAACGTTATTCCTCCCGATAAGAAGAACAAGCGAAATCCAACCATCAAGTATCGAAAGGAAGTGAAGAAACCCTTAACTAAAGCGATGGAACGAATCCTGCTTGGATTTCAGGTTCTTATCATCATCTTATTTGCCATTTTCGTCAACTATGATTCCGAACAGGCGGACGCCGTCACAATTTCGCAGATGAGGGTACTTACACAGACTAAGAATGGGGACGTAAATCATGTTCAAGTCATATTATTTTTTGGTCATGTTAGTTCAAAAGAGGGTTTTTTTGCAACAATATTTACAGTAGTGCGACACTCTAGCAGATGGGAAAAATTCAGCAAATTTTGGGAAACGCAAATTCCGCAAGTTCGCGGAAACGCTCGGTTCTACAGAGCAACGTTTTCTCAAACGTATGGCGTCCAGAACTTGCTAAATTTTTCGCATCTGCTCAAGTACCGCACTAAACATTGTTTCTAAAGAGTTGCTCTTTCAAACTAACATTGCAAAAAAATAATCTGGGCTGAACATGATTTGCGTCTCCATTATAAGTAAATTTAAGTTAAATATGTACCCATAATTTTGACCCATGCAAATATTTTTTACAGAAAAATGCTCACCCTTCCGCCTCCCATCAGCCGGCAACCCCACCCCCCGGAACCAGCGTGAGTGGTCGAAATCCAAACCTGTATCCGCCATACGGTCCCCTGTTCGGCGTTGGTCCACCACCACCCGGTCCATTTTCCCCCCTCGCGGGAGGTGGTGGTCTCCTCCCTCCATCCCCAGAAGACAACAAACTCTTCCTCGCATATCTCGAGCATGAACGAATGGCGAGACAGAAACTTCTCCGATACGATTCAAGTAAGTAAATGGATAAATTTAGCTTTGTTTATTTTCAGATTGATTATTTAAATAGGTCACAAAAGTAAAAGGAGAAGAAGGAATTTAATTGCTCGTAAAATCTTAATGGACATGAAAAAAACAACAACTTTGTACATAATTCCGTTTCCCGAAAAATTCTGCATGCATGAGGTCTAATTTTATGTGGCCTTGTACTTTTGTATGTATGTATGTAGATATTTGAATATGTGGTGTGTGGTTCGTCTTCTCATATTCATGATCAGATCATGGATGGTCAGTGGCCGCGGAAGCCGTGGGGACATGTGGGGACATTGTAGGATGGGGGAGGGCCGGGTTTGTATAAGATGGGCAGATGATGCGGACATCGAATAACCGTGGGGACATTGTCCCACTGTCCACAGCCTTCCGCGGTCACTGTTGATGGTGTGTGGCCTGGCCTGGCTTAACTTTTTTAGTAGCTGTATGTTTTTAATAGCATATTTTCTCGTCTAAATCCAAATCCTCCTTCGACCACCAGTCCAGTGTCGACCAGAACGTTATTTATGTAATTCTCCTGACTCTCCTGCGGACCCATTCAAGTGCTAAAAAGATGATTATGATGATGAATGACGAGCAATTGACTTGATGGGGTAACTATGAATGCTTGTTTGTTACTTGGTGGTACAAATCATGCAAATTATCTATTCGTATAATTTGACCATACAATTAGTCACTTTCCCTACTTTTACATAGGTACATACATACATACGCCTTGTTTTGTTACAGTTCTTAAATAGTTTGTTTAGAGTACGGTACATTCCAGTATTATGATCATTAACAGTATTACGATGCTCGTAGTGGGGTGATCAAGATCGGGACAGATTTGTATAAAAATTCGATTCAATTCCGGTTCACGCCGATTCATTAGGGATTCAAGTTTGAAAAAAAAAACTTGGCAAAATATTTTACAACTTGCAATAAAAAAGAAGAAGAAGAAAGAATCGTATTTATTAGACTCTCTCAAATCAATTATGACCTCCAATTACTCGTAATTTGCTAATTGTTGTTCTTCCAAAAGATGTATTTAAAATCATTACTCGTTCAATAGAATCTTTAGTTCATGTATGTATATTTAGCAAAATATAATGTATTTCCATTTAAAATAAGCACACAGCACATGACACACTCGTAAAAAAGCTGGCGTGGCATGGCGTCCCTGTCATGTTCAGAATCTAATCCGAATGCTTTCAACGAACATTACATTGGTAGCTTGTGCATGAAAAATAATTCATATACATTTGTTTGATGGGGTCTCTCTCTCTTGGTAATTAGACCTTTTAAATTAAAGACCTTGGATTATAAATCCAATCCAATTCTTCTCCTTCCTCCTCGGACCGTGTTATACAAACAAAATATAACTTTTTGCTACTACTACTGGGCTGCTCCGCGTCTGGTGAAATATCGTAAAAGTAGAGATTATTTAGTACTAAAAATATGGTATTTATTGCTCCTCACTACTGTATTTTATCTGATATGAAAAGTTTGTTTGTATGGATTTTGCATGTATGTGGAGCCTTTAATGACTCAATGGATTTTGACATATGACATAAAATGACTAAAGAAGCATGTAGCAGACCAGAAGGAGTGATTGACGTGCGATTATAAGACCAATGTTTATTTTTATTAGCTTGTTTTTCCCCACGGGATTAATTCCTAGTTTGACATTCAAAGCAAATCCTTCAAAGTTTATGGAATAAGTATATTTTCGTAATTCTGAGAACAGAGGCGGAGAGATGAGCAGTTTTTATGTAACTTACATAAATATATTAGTCACGTTAATTTTTGATCGAAAATTTCTGCAAAAAATTTGGCAAAATTTGTACATAATTTTGTCAACAGGAAAAATTTGCAAGTCTGATTTTTTTGCAAACTTTTCCGAGATCGAGTTGAGCACGCCTATTGAAATCATCATTCGTTCGTACATATCAACCAGCAGTACGCTTTCTCTGTTCATGTTCATGGACAAAACAGTGAGCTTTTTGTCCTGAGCGTGTATTTGTACATACAAGATTCGCAAAGATGATACGCCTTACCCATGGCGTCTGCAGTGTGCAATTCGTACTGTGTGGATACATGATCTGAATTATCTATATAGCCGTAGTATCAATAGGAGTGTAAAGATCGTTGTTATTATTATTGTAATGGTTTGGTTCCTACTACTGCTATTTTACCACTCCATACTTGAAATTGGATGAAAAAGCGTCCAGTTTGCCAGGAAAGATCACAGTCTTGCCCCACTGGTTTTAAGTGATGGTTGTACTTTGTCATTCAAAAAAATATACGTAGGACGATTAGTTAATTGGATTTCCTGGAAATCATCATTTCCTGGAACACCTGAATTCTTCGGATTTTTTTCTAAAATTGAGTAGTTTCATATTTTCGAAAAAAATCTACCACGATGAATTTAGACCGTGCCAAGTTCGGTCTCATCCTTCTCTGCTTGGAGGTTTTGATCGTCCTCTTGTTCACCATTTTTGTCGGGTATGACCTCCAAGCGGACGGGTCCCATGAAAAGCATCACGTCAATCCGTCCCAAGGCGGACTTAGACCACAGGCCAATACAATTGTCAAATATGATTCGAGTACATAAAAAATAAAAATTGGTTTCAAATTTTGAAAAAATTGTATACTTAAAAAAATGAATTTTAATTCTATCTTTTTGAATTCTCTACAGTGTATCAGGACGTTCATGTCATGATCTTCGTCGGTTTCGGGTTCCTCATGACGTTTCTGAAACGGTAAGTAATTTCAATTCAAGTTTTAGCAGACAGAGTTCGCAATTTTGAAATTTTGAAATTTTTGAAATTAAAAACCATAAATATTCATAAATTAGTTATGGATATTCGGCCGTCGGGTTGACCATGCTCCTTTCCGCGGTCGCCATCCAGTGGGGAATTCTGTGCAGGGGAATATTCCATCACGACGATCATGGCATGATCAATATCGAAATTACGTCGTAAGTCTTGAAAACATACCAAAAATTATGAAAGTTTAGAAATTCTGAAGAAACCCACTTTCAAATTTTCCAGCCTGATCAACGCCGACTTTGCGGCTGGTGCGGTGCTCATCTCGCTTGGAGGGATTCTCGGCGTCTCGTCGCCCTTCCAATTGACGGTCATGGTGCTGATCGAGGTCTTCCTCTACTCGTTGAATGAGTACATCGGGGCCGAAATCTTTAAAGCGATTGATGTCGGAGGCTCCATGTTTATTCACGCGTTCGGAGCTTACTTTGGGTATTTTAACCTAATTCTTTTCACTTTTAAATGAAAATGTCAAAAGCAAACTACAACTTTACAGTAAATTTAGTCAAAATTATTGTCGGTTTTAAAACAATGAAATTTCAATTTAAAAAAACCGACAATACCGACAATGAAACAATTTTGAAACATTAGACATTAAACGTCTGAATTTTCAAACAATTCGAAACAGGTAATTATTGTCGGTTTTGTTTTTTATTGGAATTTTAGACACCTTATTTCAATAAAAAAAACCACAATAATTTTGAAACAATTTTGAAACGTTGTTTGAAACATTGGAAACATTAAAGGTCTGAATTTCCCAACGATTCGAAACAGGTTGGCGTTGAGCCGCATGATGAAGCCGACGAAGGACATCAACTCCACGAACGAGGCAGCCACCAAGACCTCTGATCTCTTTGCGATGATTGGTGAGTGAGTGAGTGTCAAGTGGAAGGGCGAAGGTGGAAATGTATGTAAATATGTGTGTCGAAAAAGGGAGCTTTTGCTTCACAATGGAACAACCTTGACTTTTTCTCACCTCGTAAACTTGACAATTTGTGTAGGAAGGATTTACCTATTTCCATCTATTTTTAGAGGAATATGCCAATGGTGGATTTTAGTTTTTGCTTGGTTAAAATCTTTACTATTCTCAAAATAGTATGTATGCTTTGCACATTTTGAAATCTGCAATTTGGATGAGATTGAGTTAAATTGAATTCAATTGTTTAAAGTTTGACGTGAATGTACGAAATCTAATTATCGTACATGACATATTATTTTGACTTTCAAGATTTTTAGTAACGTCCAATTTTTTTAGAAAAAATTTCGTCGTCGAAATTTATCAAAATAAGTTTCTGTATTTAAAAAAAATATGTGAAATATTTTTCTAACAATAACCGAAATATTTGCGATATACAATTATTAATATGTCAGAAAACCTCCAAATACCAATTTTATTCGTCTATCTAATTGACCCGTGTCTGCTTACAAGTTACCTAAAACTCTTATTTTTTCTTAAATTAGGAACAATTTTCCTCTGGATTTACTGGCCAAGTAAGTTTTTTTTATAAAAAAAATATCAAACTGAGGTTGAATAAACCCACTTATTTTTGTTTAGGTTTCAACGGGGCCCTTGCCTCTGGGGATGATCAGCATCGCGCCGTAATCAACACGCTCCTCTCTTTGTCCGCCTCTCTTCTCATGACCTTCGTCTGGTCGGGAATCCTCTCCCACGAGAACAAGCTGGACATGGTGCACATCCAGAATGCCACGTTGGCCGGGGGTGTGGCCGTCGGGGCGGTAGCCGATTTGATGATTCGTCCCTTCGGCGCCTTGATCATTGGCTCCATTGCAGGCACGATATCCACGCTGGGATACGTTTACTTAACGGTGCGTGCAAATTAATCAGTGGCCGCGGAATCTTGTGGGGACAGAGGGACAATGTCCCCACGGTTGTTCGATATCCCTACCATCTCCCCATGTTATATAAACCCCTCCCTCCCCTATCCTACAATGTTAATGTCCCCACGGTTTCCGCGGCCACTGAATACATTGAATACAAGATGTAATATCTGCAAACTTCAGTCAATGCTTAATTACAACAGTGGCCGCGGAAGTGTGTGGACAGAGGGACAATGTCCCCACAGTTGTTCGGTGTCCGCATCATCTGCCCATCTTATATAAACCCCTCCCTCCCCCATCCTGCAATGTTAATGTCCCCACAGCTTCCGCGGCCACTGAAATTCATCCATCATTAATTGACAAATTTATTGATTGATTGATTAATTAATTATCGATCCATTTTCTCCGCAGCCCTTCCTCAAGTCAAAACTTGGGCTCCATGATACCTGCGGGGTGCACAATTTACACGGAATGCCTGGAGTTATTGGTGGCATTGCGGGCACAATTATGGCAGCTATGGCGAACGAGCAAGTTTACGGGAATAGGTGGGTGTCAAAATTTTATGAAATTGTGTGCCCAAATTTCTCACAATTTCCAAATTTTATAAAATTGTGTGTATTTTTTCACAATTTCCAAATTCTATAAAATTGTGTATACAAATTTCTCACAATTTTTGCATACAATCTTCCAGTCTCTACCAGCAATACCCGGCTCGTGCTCCGGTACAAAATTCGTCCGAATTTTCGGAAATTGTCAACGAATTTGCGGACGTGGAGCCCGGCGAGGGACGCACCGCCGCGTCGCAGGCCATCTATCAACTCGCCACGTTAGGAGTGACGCTTGCCATTGCGATCGTGGGTGGAAGTTTGACCGGTAAGTGGGACAAATTCATAATTAATTAAAATTTTAAATTTTAATTAATTATTTTTAAATTTTTTATAAATTTTTGGAATTAGGTCTCATCCTACGTGCCCCGGTGTTCGACAACGTCCCACTCGACCAGCATTTTGATGACGTTTACTTCTGGGAGTGTCCCGAGGACGAGGAAAAGACCAAGTTGATGGAGGCCAACAAGAACAAGGGTTTGGACAATCGTACCTTCGATTTTGAACTGGGGGCGGATTCAGATACAAAAAATGTTGCTAGTCAAGCCTTGTAAAGTAAATTATCTATATAAATTTATTCAGTATAATGTAATGGATTATGCAAATGTGAAAATTCAGAGGATTTTGTTTCTGTCAAGTTTTCCATGCACTCATAATAAGTGGTTAAACGGTTGACGATGATATACATAAATTGACGTAAAATGAAATATCAAATATTTTGTAAAAAGATGTAGTAATAAAAAAAAATCTTGGGTAAAGTTAAGTTATAAATTTTTCAAGCTGAATATTTACAGGGACAAATTTACGGTTAAAGTGCATACGTTTTTTGGGAGAGGATCGAATATGAAATTTTTAGATGCCATATATTAACTAATCTCGTATTGACGCAGGAAATTGGCTGGCGTGATAAGATAAGTTTCAACCCATTTTTGGACATATTTTTTTACGAAAAAAACATGTTTACAAAAAGCTCGCAAAGTTATGTATCTGACATCACTGCAATAATGACAGACAGAAATTGAAATAGGATAAATCTACACTTTCCAACCTTTTATCTGTAAAGAGATCAAGGAGACACATTAATTTGCATATTAATTCCGAACGAATAATAGTTATGAATTGTTGCAAATTACTGGTAAGTTAAGAATTGTGTGACATGTAAAGCATAATATTTTAAAATGAGCCGAATGAACACTGTTCTGAACAGACAAAAACAGACATTGAATACAATTAATCAAAAATTTACGCCCAATAAAAACATTCATCTAGTAAATATAACATTAAAAATAAAATAATTGTAAAATTAAACATGGACACTAAAGTCTGACAATCTACAAAAAAATCATTTAATATCAAAAATGAAGGACACCTTGACACCTGGAACTCTTCAGATTGCAATTGAATTATCAAGAGAAATCGAAGTCCGAGTGGAATCGACATTCCTGGCGTGTAAATTATTGAAATGATTAAACCAATCGAAAAGTAATTAATTAATTAATGCAACCATTTGGAATTAAATTCATGGATAACTGAGATTCCAAGAAGGAAGACGATGATAAATAGCTCTTGATCATTGTTCAATCGATGGTCAATGTAAGAATCATCTTTATTATGAAAAAAATGCGTGCAATTGTTGGAACAAATTCTCTTCTGGTACGATGTACTATGTCAAATCTAGCCTGTAAATTGATCCCATTACGCTTTTAAGATTAACGTGTATCTGCATAATGCTAATGTTCTTATAATAATTTAACCGGAAATCAGTTTAGGAAATTTTACCAATTTTTCCATTCTCCTGCAAAAAATTTCATGGTATGGGGTTCCCCATGTCATAAATCCATAACTTGTCAAAGTCACACGGCGTAAAGAGTTTATTAGGCAGTTTAAATGTCATGGAATGCGTGCCATGCAGCCACCGAGTGCAAGTGAGCAGTGGTCTGATGTGGATGGACAAATGAGAGAGAATTTGCGAAAATTTTTTGCACAATATGTATACATACATACATATATATGTACATGTTTATGTTGTTATTAGCCATAGGCTGTTATGTAATGTGCACACACATTTACCCAAGCATGGCTTTGGCTACGAATCCGGCAATTTTGCATACCTGTTAAATTTTCGCACTATGCAAATTTCCTCCCAAATTAGTAATTATCTACAATTCGCAAATTCCTAATCATTCTAAATTTCCATCAAAAATTAAACATTTCCAGAAAAAATCGGATTTTTCCATCCCACAAATTACCACCTGTGTATTACTGACTCACCACCACCCAACCACCCGGCCGGAAAGTTAGCTGTTTGTATGCATTTGCATGCTCTTCCTCACTCTCCATAACTTGCATACTTTCACGAGATTTGCACGTGCAAAAATGAGTCGCATTGTATCCTATGTTCTCGCCATTTTTGCACTTTTTTTTATATAAATATACCCTCACCAGATACATGTATGCAAATATAATAAAACCATTCTGTCTGGCGAACTGTGACGCGTACTTCTCGTACGATGTGTGGTGGGACCCTGTCATAAGGTTGAATGTTATCAAGACATACTTAAAAAGCTTGCAACTCGAGAGCTTGGCATCAACCCATCAACGAACCACGCTGGCATCTACTTAATTAATTAAAGTGTTCATTTTAACGACTGCATATGAGCCTCATTTAAATTATTTATACTGCTCACTTCAACTCTATGGTGCATGTGTACATACGTAAGTACATCGTCCGATGATACATAAGTTCATGCAGCTGCGGCTTAAATGATAAACCGTTGGAAATGAAATGTAGCAATGGGGTGAAACCAAATCGGAAATTTGTCTCGTATATGTCACCTTCCAAATAAGGTCTAAAACCGTAAAATCAAAATTTCTACACATTTTCGACCTTTGACCTCGTTTACACGGTCGAAAGGTCATCTTCTGGTGAAACATATCCATTTCTGCAATCCCCGTCCCAAACTACGCCGAAATTAAAAATTCGAAATTTTTGACCGTTGACCGGTAAACTTCCAACGCTCATTTGCAAGTGTAACCCCTCCCCCCAAAATTTAGAAGGACATTAGTGAAGACTACATGTCGAAATTCAAATCCGTTCAAGAGTTATCGTGGATATGGACAGACGGACAGACAGATAAGGCATTTCCATAATAATTCGTGATACAAAAAGTACTCATTCCTCAATGAACTGGATATGCTGAACATCAACAATTCGCACAATTGTTTAGTCAAGTAAAAGACTAAGCATCAAATTCTGAGAGAAGTCCGATGCATACATAAATATCCGTTCGACGCCGTATGTACATACATAAATATATGTTTATACCAACCAATTCGAGGCGACATAATGCTTATGGCAAAATACTTGGACTTTGGCACATGATGGCTTGCCTGCCTTCTTTTATTTCAAATTTATGCATGTATTTATCCATGTTTTACCAAATATCGTACGTTCTTAAGACAAAGTCATCTTCGTCTTGTGTCGGACCACTCCTGGCGGCTGGAAAGTTATGAATCAATATGACGTGACATTGACCATTATATCATCATCACCAGTAGTATTTAGCAGACGAGGATGATGAGAAACATCACCCCAGAAAGTAATTAATCAACAAATTGTTTTGGTTTGATGACCCAATCGTGCCATGCGTGGTTATCTTCTTAACTTATCTTAATCGTCATTCTCATCACCTCCACCCACACATCTTTGTTCTTTCTTGACTACAGTATTAATCTTCATTGAATTATTTCATTATTTGATTGCATGACAAAGTAGTAGGTATTTCTGAAAGTGTGAGAAAAATTGGAAAAATGTAAAAACTTAAAAAGTCAGCAACTTTACCCTATTCACATCCTTATAGTTATTCTCACTAAATCCATTTGTCCTTAACTTGTCCTGATATTCCCATGTTCTCGTCGGGATTTCCTTGCGTGAAATTCCAATCGAAATTAATAATTTATGTAATCTCTCTCTTTTCGCATCTAATTAATCTGTATTAAATTTTTCTGAACACGAAAAATTTTAGCCCAATTTATTTACGAAAAATGACATATTTTGAATTTTCAAAAACCTATATTTGAATGATTTAAGAGGTCATTTTAAGTGATGATTTTAGAGATCAGTTTTGTCAAAAAAATCTGAATAACCTGTCCACTTAGGAATAACCAGTGGCCGCGGAAGTGTGTGGACAGAGGGACAACGTCCCCACGGTTATTCGATGTCCCCATCATCTCCCCATCTTATATAAACCCCTCCCCTATCCTACAATATCAATGTCCCCACAGCTTCCCCAGTCACTGGGAACACATGCAATTGGAATTGCACTTTGATCATTATTTTTATCAAACTTTCCTTCCTCCAAAAAGCCATCCATCCACCGGTCCAGCCAAGGTTCAAAATTCCATCATTTTATCAGGAAAATAAACATAGGTCAGCATCACTCACGTAATAAAAGGAAAAAGCGTATCAAACAATCAATCCTCATCAGCATCACAAAATAATACGAATTCAAACCTGGCTTACAATTATGTACCCCAAACATTACCTAATTACCTACCCTGTCAAGTGGGATTCGCAACATTGCAAAAATACATATCGGCATACATATCTATCGGCTTTTCTTACATGCGTATAGGTAATTTTTGCCTCATGCAGACAGGTGGATTGGATTACTGACTAACCAACTATGGAACCATATCTGTATCCCCACTTGTAAAGGAGTACCACCGAATTTTATGGCATGACACCAAATCAACCACTTGCAATCACACATAACAAATGTGGGTCCGTACCCCCGTCGGTATGAATTTGGTTTGCTGGTCGTCCAAATTTTGACTTCACTTCTCCTCTGCCCCTGGAACCAAGCGGTGGTCGCATAGTAGTTCTTGAGCAAAGTTGAGCGTCTAACAACCCTCGCGTCATTTCTGTGGTGAGTAAATTAAGTAAATTGAGCATAATTTTCAAAATTTGAGGGTACACATTTTTTGCAAAAAAAAAATTGCAAAAATTTCAAATTATTTGTTATCTGTCCACACAGTGTATATATTAGGCAATTAAGACCTTCAAATAATTTTAGAAAATTAAGGGGTGCAAAGCTTTTTGCAAATTATTTATGCTGCCCTATCATTATGCAAATTTTTGCTAGGCCACGACTATTTAGTTCTTTTTTATGCATCCTCTAATTCATCTCATTACGACATCCTCTTGCAAATAAACAATATTTACAGCTGAGCAAATTGAGACTAACCAACTCCAACTTTTGTCTCATTTTTCCCCCTCAGAAAGAACTGTCTCACAATGCCTCCACAAAACACGGGTGTCGCTGCTCCCGAAGATTTACGCGATCGTAAGCTTGATTCCTCAAAAAGTGATGCCAAAAAGGACGTAAAAGGAGATTCGGAAGAATGGAATTATTGGGATCATCTCTACCCCGTCAACATTTTCTGGTTTATCCTTCTCCACGTCGGGGCTGCGTATGGGTTAAAACTTGCCATTACAGATGCCAAATTCGTCACGACGTTATACGGTACATAGAAATTTCATTTTATTTTTCAAATTTTTCTGGAAATTTTTTTAAACGAAATTTTATTTTATTATTTTGTAGCAATCCTTGTCTACAAATTTTCCCTTTTTGGCATCACTGCCGGGGTGCATAGGTTGTGGTCACATCGCGCGTACAAGGCACGATTCCCACTCCGCGTCTTCCTCGCCATGTGCAACTCGCTGTCGTATCAAAATTCGGTTTATGAATGGGCTCGAGGTATCAATTTCGAAATAAATTTCCGAAAATAAATTTTTGAAAATAAAAATAAAATTATGACTTTTCAGACCACCGCGTCCACCACAAGTACACGGAGACCAATGCTGACCCCGTCAATTCAAAGAGAGGCTTTTTCTTCTCCCACGTGGGCTGGTTGTTGTGCAAAAAACATCCCGATGTTCAAAGGATTGGAGGAAAGGTACATTGGTGACAAATTGTATTATTGGTCAAATTGAAAGATTGATTAAGATTAATTATTCTTGAAAAAAAAATTGGAAAATTATTTAGATTGAAAAATTGATTTAACTGAATCTTCTTTTTTAAAATGTGTTTCTAAACTCGTATTAATTTCAATGGTTTCTTCACACTTCAAACTTTTTAAATCAAATATTGTTACATTTAAGCCATATTTTCTAAAACCTTGAAAAATATTTTTTGAAATTTTTGAGAATTTTTGAAAATTTGCAAGTTTTACATATATACACTGTAGCTTTTACAAATCTAGGAGGCCAATTACATATAAATAACACCTATTTTTAACTAATGCTAGGTCGACATGTCCGACATCTTGGCCGACCCGGTGGTCTTCTACCAGCGAAAGTATTACATCCCCTCCGTCATTTCCCTCTGTTTCGTGATGCCGACCGTGGTGCCGTGGTATTTCTGGGGGGAGACGCTCTGGAACGCCTACTTTGTCGCAGTCGTTCTTCGCTACTGTCTCGCCCTCAATGCCACGTGGCTCGTCAATTCGGCCGCTCACATGTAACGGAATTGATTTCTTCTTTAGAAAATTCAAATTACGGAACGTTCGGAAATTTATTCTAATTTCTTTCCTAGGTTCGGGGATCGCCCATACGATAAAAATATCGCACCTGCCGAGAATAGGATCGTGTCAGCGTTAACATTAGGCGAAGGGGTAAGATTTTTTAATTTTCACAATTTTTCATAATAATTTTTAACTTTCACATTTTTTTCATAAGTTTTAATAACAATTTTTCATATTTCGCAGTTCCATAACTTCCACCATACATTCCCTTGGGAGGTAAATAACCACACCCCCAACCCCCCTGTGAAGTTTTTTGCCCCCTACATTGTGGAAATGAGCCCCCATTTATTTTTAAATAAATGGGGGTTCATTTCCACAATATAGGAGGCAAAAACCATAATATTAGGAGGGTCGTTAATTTAATTCTTTTTCTCTTGGTATAGTATTCCACATCTGAGTGGGGCTGGAAGATAAATCTCACCACGATTGCACTAGACTTTTTCGAAAAGGTATGGTCAATTTTTGAAAATTGAAATGACTTCAAACTTCAATTTCCTGATTTTTTAAAATGAATTTTTATCCTTCGTATTAAAAGGTTGGTCTCATTTACGACGTGAAGAGAGTAACGCCTGAAATGATCAAGGCAAGAATGGCACGGACTGGGCGACATGGACATGAAGTCGTGGAAGAGCACGAGTACATGTGGATTGATAAGAAGTAAATGATCAATTGCTCAAAAAAGATGTGAATATTTTAGTTCTTATTTATTTTTTAAACTACTCGATTTTGAAATAAATCAATATATCTTCGACATTATGAATTTTTATTTTGAAATTATTTCAAATTCATTAATTCGGAAGGGAATTTCTGAAAATGTATTTTGTAAATGTTTGAACATTTGAATTTGACAAAAATTTGACAAAAATAATCTGACTTCGTGACTTAATCTGCATTTTTATATGTACTTCACTCTTTAGTAAATGTTATAGTTTAACTATGGCGCAAGTGACCAAAAACTGCCCAGTTTTCCTCTTTGGATTAAAATATAATCCATTTTTCTCCAATTTTGTAATCCAATCGATTATTATGTACATAATTTTGCGATAATTTTCCAACCTCGTACTTACAATATCATAAAAGTATAAATATACTCGTACATACATTACCAGATAAATAGATTAAGAAATCATGGCAGAAACGCGTGTTAAAAAAAATACTCGCTACATATGTACGTTATTTTGACCCAACTGAACTAAATATTAACAAAATTTAAATTAACTGCATAGTATCTCATGCAGTTATGCAATTTTTTTATTTGCGTTACATATTTGCATGCATGCAGCATAAATAAATACATATTTAGCAATTGATACCCATTGTTTGTACGCATTTATGCAATGCGGTCTGGCCACTGAAAAAACTATTTATTATATAATAGACACGCAAATTCTTTGAAATTTACTCTTCAAGATACAACAAACAATCGAAATGTGACAATAAAAAAATAAATAAACAACCTCTTTTCCGAATCTGTTATAATAATCATAACTATTTTATTCCATAATAAAGAGTGAAATTCACCCCAAAAGCCCAGTCACAGAAAACCAAACCAAATCCTACAATTACTCTGAATCATCTCCGCTTTCTATAATAAGTAAAAGTTTTGACCATTTTCAAAACTTATCATGAAGACAAAGATAACCATACGTTTATCAATTTTGCATCCGCATCTTCAGATAAAAATCAATCCCCCAACAGAAAAATACTCTGCTCCCATCTACGACTTACTAAGGCATGACATTTGCACGAGTGACTAGCCAACCTTGGAGGAGGCAGTGGCCGCGGAGGCTGTGGAGACATCTGGGGACATTTCCATTGTAGGATAGGGGAAGGCGGGGTTTATATAAGATGGGCAGATGATGGGGACATCGAACAACCGTGGCGACATTGTCCCTCTGTCCGCGGCCACTGGGTGTTCATAATCGAAGACATCTCAGGAGGGCCATGAAATTCGAATTATTAATGATACAAACTTACTTTTTTTCACTTTTGGGTGTCGTCCCATCCAAAAAAAGTGCTTACTTATGAGGAAGGAAGTTGATCCTTATACCTTATCGGATGGATGGATGGATGAGCTCGGATAAGGCACACAAAGAGTAGAGCACTGTGTCGCATAATAAATAAACGTATTGCTTCATCCCTCTCCTCCTTAAACGACAAGTAGAACATGAACGAACGAATAACAGGAAAAATGTGGAGGTGCTTTGTAATTGTGGTCTATATCTCTTCACAGGTCTCTTAATTTGTGTCTGTCTTACATTAAATAGTGTCCTTGTTAATACAAGTTGAGTTGTCAGTTTCAGTTTCAGTCAGTCAGTCAGTCAGTCTGCTTTGCATGCACGTGTCTTCGTGAAGAAATTGTCAGAAAACATAATTTCATAAGTGAAAGTGACCCCTCGAAATCATGGAAATCATACCCATCAAAACACCCACCAGCCATTCTTATTATTACCACCGGGTCATAATTTTATTACCGTTTCTCTCCCTCTTACTTTCACCCTGCGCCACACTCGTGACGACCAGAAAACACAAAGGTGAGCCGGAGGTGGACCTGTTTCCTGGTGGAGGGCGTGGTCGGGGACCTCTCCAACCCGGCACGACGCTCACGCTAAACGTCCCCCCGCAAAATATCGTGCCCCCCGACCAAGCCAACATGTGGGAGTCGTACGTCCATGAGGTCAACGGTCCGCGTCGGGCGACCGTTTTCATAACGCCGAACGCCCTCCGGACCAAGGGCGATGACGGGATTAATGATCCCAGGGGCACGGTGAGGTATAACTTTATGCCGAATGGGTACCTTGGAAAGGGCGTGATTACAAATCCGGCCGATGAGTCGGCACCTTATACGCAGGCGAATGGTATGTATGGAAATTTTGAAAAAATTTGGGGAGAAATTGAGAGAATGAAAATGATTTTTTGATGATTTTTTTACAGTTCCTGAAATGCATGCTAATGCGTACGCGGAGCAGGGAACGTTAGGAACCTTTTGATGATGGATACCATTAAGTATTCGTGACATGAATGTTAAAATATGAAGTTTTGTTGTGTTTAGAATTTAAGTTTGATATGTACTGATGAGATGACTGAATAAGAGAATTGTGAGACTCGCAATTTGCATAGTATGAATAATTCACTTTCGTTGAGGTCTAGAATTTCTAGGATTATTTTATTTTGTTCGTATTTAAATTTCTGAAATATTTTTGTTATAAATTTTGTAATAAATGCGTACCTGATCTTATTAAATGTTCTCATTGCGGGTATTTAAATGCATGCATGAAACCCTGACATTGACATTCATTGGTCCTCTCCCTCACAATGATAACAATTCATGCATAATGCTTATCAATTTATCCTTATCTAAACCCATGCAGGATCTTATGTACTCCTCATCTCTAGATTATTTATTCAGTGTTTGTACTTTCCATGAATTTTGTTCATGATATCATCCGCTCATGAACGGGATAGAAAATCATACATACATAGCTCATTGTTCTATGTTGATGACATGCTACAAAAAATGGACGCGTTCCTTGAAAAATTCATGAACAATTCAACTCATATGTACAACTTGGATATAAAAGGGGGCACAAAAAGTATGTAAAAGTCAATCTGAAATCAGACACTTAAATATTAATAAGTAATCCTAAATACATAACATCAATTATTTCTGCAAATAATTTTTGCACAAAGTCAACTCAACACATCTTTACTAATTTTTAATCACATATATCAAGTAAGTACCAATTTTACGTAAATTGCATTTGCATACAATTTTGATGATGTTTGATGTGTTTGATGTTTTGTGTATTTTTTACTTTTATTTTTTGACAAGTTTGAATTTGAATTCTTGTAGTTAATCTACCCCAAAAAATTATGGAAATGTTTTCCTCTCTGGCCGTTCGTGGGATCATTTTCCTTGAAACGCAACCAACTTCAAAGAAGTCATTGTCATGTGGGTGGGTGCGGCCTTGGAATAATTTTGGTCGCGACAGTGGAGCGCCACAACAATGTTCCAACTGCGGTGCGACCAATGGGTGTGGGTGCAAATAGAAATTTGAAAATTCGAAATTTGAAAATTTAGGAAGTTAAACTTAATCATCTCCGCAAGTTTCAACACCTTTCATATTTTTTTACATGAATTTAATTGTAATTATCGATAGAAGATATTATCGTTGCTAACGATTCAATAAATATTAGCATGTGCATATATCAAATAATTTTTAAATAAATAAATTCGCTATAAATTCGTAATAAATTATTCTCAATAAAGAAGGAAATCTGTTATGGTGATCGGTTTGGGCTAAATTTTGGTTAATTATAAGACTATGAAGCCCACCAGCGATATTTCTGATTTTTTTATATGATATCATACAACTATCAAACTACCATTCCTGAAAATTTCAGGAATGGTACATACCCAAAAGTGGAGAAACAAATATTTTCCTGGGCTATGTTTAACACGTAGTTAGATAGGCCAAAAACAAAAGCGCAGATTAAAATATGAAGACCATGAACGATTTTGTAAATATTTGCATATGTTGATGATCATACTATTGGTGATTTTTCATCAAAGAATTGAAGATGGTACATTTCTAGGTTTCGAGCAATTAATTCAAATGCATCAAAAAACATGGAATGAAATGGAAACCATGCAAAATTACCACAGGTATTAATAAAATGGTAACCATGTTGCGCGTTGCTACAATTTTGCATAACATTTCCAATGTTTATAAACCACAGCCCGACAAGAAAAAAACATTGATTACATTCATGGGTTGGAAGTGACTCAAACAGGACCCTTGGAGTTAACGTAGACATGCTGAATAATTGTTTGATAGTATAATTTGCCAACTCGCCAAGTTTGCAATTAATCGGGGTTCATTTGACAAAGTTGTAAATGAACAGACATACGAACAGACAGACTGGCAAAACGGTTCCCCTAGTCTTAAATCGGGGTAAGAATCATTGAGCGCTATTTACTAATCAAAAACCACTGACAACCAACCAAGGTCCTGAATTTTACTTACAATGAGGAGGTGTGAGGTGGTTATCGCCGATAACCATCGGACTAATTTTAAATTGTTCACGCTCAAAAATAAGCCCACCCATATTTTTTCGTTTTCCTGAATGGGCATGTTTACACCCTTAGCGGAATTTTCAAAAAAAATTTCAGCCAAAATTCGGATTTTTAAAAACGCTGTAACTTTTCGAATTTTAACCCGATTTAAAAAATTGAATACAATTTGTGTTCAGAATTACTTCCCTGAAAATATAAAATTTCATTTTCAAAAATTTTTTAATTTTCAAAAAATTATCGTTTTTTTCATTTCTAAAACCTACAGTGCAGATTCCATATAGCCCGAGTCAGGGACAGAGTCCCTGACTCCGTGAGTCCTAGCTGTTTCTAAATTTTTCTCCGAATTGACCGACATAATATTACCATTTTGAACTTCCAAAACTATATTTGCTATCAAGAAGTGGTTTTTAGCCTTCGTACCAAATTTCAGATGGAAAAAATTAAAATTAAAAAATGGTATGGGTCACCCTCCAGGGTAACTCTGGTTAGAATTTGCTCACTTTTAGCTTCATATCTTTTCATTAGAAGCCATTAGGTATGACCGTGCCGGGTTTAATGTTTTTAAAGTAATTTCTAAAAATCGGTATGGGTCACCCCATAGGGTCGCTCCAGATAAGAATTTTACCAAGTTCATGTCATATTCTCCTATTAAGACCCATTAGCAACCACTCTACTAAATTTCAGCTTGTTATGACGATTTTGAAAAATCAGTGTGGGTCACCCCATAGGGTCCCTGGAGATGAAAATTTTTCCAACTTGAAGTCATTTTTATCTAGTAGGAGCCATTAGCAACTTCTGTACCCAATTTCAGCCTTCTACGACAATTTTGAAACTTTGGTGCATAATACCCCACCCACTCCGATGACCCCCACTGGTCAACCACTTGACCGATTTCGCCCATCTTCGAACTCGTTTCCTAACTTTGTCCAATATGCATATGGTAAAAATTTCAAGTCAATCGGTTAAGCCGTTTTGGCTCTATCGTGCCGGACAGACAGACGGACGGACATGACGGTTCCATAAGCCCTGACTCGGGCTAAAAACTCAGAAATGGCATGAAAATATTAAATTTAAAAAATTTTTGAAAATGAAATTTTATATTTTCAGGGAAGTAATTCTGAACACAAATTGTATTCAATTTTTGAAATCGGGCTAAAATTCGAAAAGTTACAGCGTTTTTAAAAATCAGGATTTTGGCTGAATTTTTTTTTGAAAATTCCGCCACGGGCGTAAATATGCCCATTCAAGAAAACGAAAAAATACGGGTGGGCTTATTTCTGGGCCTGAACAATTTAAAATTAGTCCGGTCCACATTAGCGATAACCACCTGACACCTCTCCATTGTTAGTTACTTGTGTATATAAGGTTAACTCACTTGATGGTAAATTTTGTGACCGAGAGCTTGGGACGAGTTTGGGATTATTTTTGAAAAAAATACGTTGTTACGTGAAGTTAGGGCAATTTTTAACATAAATTTATGAAATAATGACGATTATCACTGCTGGTGGTGGTGTTCAAAATTGATTATTTCTTGAGTACATTGCTTGAGCAATATGAATTTGGATGAAGATGAGGAAGAAATTCAGAGGGATAGTGAAGAAGAATTTGAGCTTCCTCCCGACCAGCGGAAGCTGATCTGGAAACGATCAATTCCATTTTAAACTCACCAATTTGACACCATATTTGACGATATTTACATTTGAAATCTATTAATTATACTGCCTACAAATTTGTAGGTAAATTGTATAGTAGTTGCATGCATAAATTTGTTTTTCTAAAATTTGTCCTCTCGTTATCATTACCATAACCAACTGTGCTCAAGAAATAATCAATTTTGACCACCACCACCGGCCTTGATCTTCATCATTATTTTATAAATTTACATTAAAATGGCCTTAACTTCACGTAACAACGAATTTTTTCCCCAAAATAATCCCAAACTCGTCCCAAGCTCTCGGTCACAAAATTTACCATCAAGTGAGTTAACCTTATATAGACACGTAACTAAGTAAAATTCAGGACCTTGCAACCAACCGAATTTTGATAAGATATATTAGCCCAAAAAATCGCCCAAAAGCCCAAAAAAATTTCTTATCAAACTAATTCAAAACCCATCGAGATTTAGCCCAAAACGATCACCATAACAGATACCCTTCTTTATAATGATACGAGGATTTTATAATATGAGATATGACGTATTTAGTTTCAAGTATGTAACGGCAAGAAAAATTCGCCTTGTGTCAAACTTGGTCTCAATGAGATCAAAATATTTAGAAATTCTGAGATAATTTTTCAAATTTCTGTATTTATTTTTATGTCGGATTCTGTAATGTCAGGAAAACTTGAGGATAATAAATATTTCAAAAAATTATTTCCGTCTACTTAAGTCAATTATCAACTAATTGTGATTTTTCTAATTTATGATTTCTTCTAATTTAATAACAATTTCAAAGAGTATGTAAATATGATAAAGCAAATTTAAGATTAATTAAATATGCGTTCAATATTATTTTTTTACCAATTCATGAACTTTGAAACAAAAACAGCATATAATTTTTAAAATTCCGGTACATTTTGAGCATTGACTTGGATAGTATACTTACTGATTTTGAGTGATTATTGCTTATTAAAGAATTCCTATTTGTGCAAATTAATGTTCTCGACGTAGACTTTGTGCATATTAATTCTTGATAATCTTGGAAGACGTTTATAAATCTTTGTAAGCCTCTCCTGTGAATGGTTTAATTATGAAGGAATCGAATTTACACATATGCATTGTCGTTACTAAATCACATCCTCGTCATTTACAATTATACACTTTTACATACATTTTGCTCAATTAAAATCAATACGTTTAAAAAAAAACTCTCCTCTTTGTTCGAAGTCATGAATTTTTTTCAATTTAAATACAAAATATTTATAATTGGTTTATACAAACATAATCCGTGTTCATGAGCATGCATGAGATCAGCTTGTCGCAAGCTTAAAATTAACATATGTATGTGATGATAACTTCATGAGCGAGGAAAGCCTTATCAATCGTGCATAATGTTGAGTCAGCACTGTTGACTCTTTTACAACTCGTACTGCATACGAGCCATGATAAAAATTATCTATGACGAAATTCGTCCACAAAGTGCACTCAAACTTTTTTGCATCTTCCTGCTCATGACCTCGGTCACTGCTTTACTTTCTCGGATTACGAATGCCTCATGAAATTCCATGCGTAGGAAAGTACCTGACCGTGCATGGGTGCATGGCGAAATTTTATTTAATGACGGAACGTCTCAGCCAGAACTCAAATTAGAATGCATTCTTCATATATTTATCATGAGGATTTTGGCTCATCGGAAGTATTTCATGATACATTATGAAGTTTAACAATTGGATTTGGTCGATTTGTATAAAAAGCCATCGTCTCATTCACTGAAAATCATTCCGAGATCCAAATCAATCCGAAGCATCAAATTTCATTTTGATCCCCATTATTCCAAATTTCAGTATTTTTGAGAAGTAAAATTTCAAACTATTCTTAGCCGTTCAACAAAAAGTACAATTTCATAATATTTTTCACTTTCACTTTTTTCAGCTCTTCAACTTTTCAACAATTGAGAACAATGGATTCCACCAGAAATAATTTTGGCAGCGGTCTCGGCGCGATCATCGCCAATATCCGGTCCAAGATGTCAGTGTGGCCGACGCCGACGCGAGGGGGGAATGATGACAGCTATCCTCCACCCACTTGCCCTAGGTGTGGCCAAGCGTATCCTTGTAGTTGCAGATAAATTCAAGTCTTGCAAATTCAGAAGTCATTTTGTTGTACTCCGAATTTGGATTAATTTTGTCAAAGAACAGAAAACCTTACGCTTAACTTTGTTACTAAATAGATTAAAATTGTGTTCAAATTAATCGTAAATAAAGTGTAATAAAAAATTGCTTAATTTGTATAAAGAAACGAAGGGAATGCAAATATGCGGTGTAATTGTGCACGCTGACCAACAATGAAGCAGTCAACGGTGCCTTTTCATACAAAAGTTTGTGATAAAGTAATGAAATTCATGATAATTTTAAAAAAGTGGATCCTTTGTAAGGGAGAGAATATTATTATTATATTTATGGAGAAAGTAGTTTAGGGGTAATTTGAGTTGTCATGAGGATGAGTCTTGGCTCGTAGCATAAAACTGCGAGCTCGAACAAAAATCAGTCAGTTCGTCGTTGGATTCGGTCGAGAGAGGAACTCGAAGATTGGTGCTGCTGCCGTGTTGGAGAAGTTCCAGCAACAACAGCAGCAGTAAATAAGAAGAAGGAAAACCAGTCCAAGGGTGAAAAAGGGTTAAAGGGTATGTTGTAGGGCACTGCAGAGGCATCTCGGCAGGTAATGTGCTGGAAGAGGCATCTCTCCAGCACCTTGAAGTTTCTTATTGGTCACGAGAAGTGATTTTTTGTATGTATTTGGTCAAGTTAGTTATTTTTCTCTCCTCCCTCCAAGCCACGTTATTTGATTGAGTCTAGTGGGAATAAACATTTGGGGCTTGTCAATTGTAAATCTGTCTTGGTGTCATTTTTATTGTAATGTAATGAGTTGTCAAATGGTATGTAGAGCAATTTTCTCAGCATAATATAGCAGCAGAACCCGGGAATTGCATTGGATATGCAAATTGTGTCGTAATTAGTGTCGGGAAGGCTTAATTCGTCACACCTTAAAAACAAGAACTCATACTTACGAAAGTTAAATATGTATTAATTGTACTATGTATTAAATATGTATTCTGATTGTTAATCAGAAATACACGAAACAAAATTAATCGAGACTTAGGTATGGAAATAAACCCAATTTGGACATCGCTACTCCTGCTGCCCCTAGCGCCAACGCTTATACACCCAAGTACTATCCCGGTTACCCAGCGACCCCATTGATGTCAACAACTTCATCTAATTTTGAAAATATTATCTTCCATGAAATTATAAAAGACCACGATTGCTTGACTTTTAGTGCCTAGTTACCCTTAACGGTTGCGACAAATGATCGAGTTACAAATAAAATAATTAACTTTAAAAATAGTTGTTTCTTCTCGATGGTCGAAAAAAACAACTCTTTGACGTTTAATAACTTTTGAATGGGAAGACACAGAGACTTAATTCTTAAAGATGAAATCATCGTAATTTTTAGCTTGATTTTTTAAGCTAAAAATCTCGAGGGTACTATTTCGAAGTTTGAACTTGAAATCTCCAGTGTGCAGCCCGAGTCAAGCTCGCTGTTATCGGTCAAACCGACCATTTTGCAGAATTTTATTGTACCAAATGCATTTTACTAATGCACTTTACGCCTGTTTTTTTGTCAAATATACAATGTGTATTATGCACGTGCATACATATTATGCATTGGTGAAAATTTTAACTAAATTTAGGTTTTTAGCCCGAATCAGGGCTTATGTACCCGTTATGTCCGTCTGTTCGTCTCTTGCGATAACTGTCGTAAAACTAATCGTAACAATATGAATTAAAATAGGAAAAATTTTCCGAGTTTATTAAGTTCGTGTTTTGTAATGGTTTATATACAAAAAATAAATCACAAAATTATATGCACATCGTTCATTACGAGTCCTGCTCTCAGAATAATGCCATCTTACAAGGCTCTGCAAAATTGTTGTCTTTTTAGCCTAAGTCAGTTCTTATGGAACCATCATGTCCTTCCGGAACACGATAGCCAAAATGGCTGAACCGATTGAGCTGAAATTTTCAGAACGGGTGAGACCGTAGGGCTTGATCCATACAGATTTTTCAAAAATATGTCACTCCACAAGTTTAAATGCATTTGGTACATTACAATTTCATGGAAAATGGTTGGTTTAACCTACAACCACCGAGTCTGACTCGGGCTCACTGGAGATTTCAAGTTTAATTTTCGAAATAATACCCTCGAGATTTTTAGCTTAAAAAATCAAGCTAAAAATTACGATGATTTCATCCTCAAGAATTAAGTCTCTATGTCTGCATATTCAAAAGTTATTAAGGGTCAAAGTAGTTGGAGACTCAAACGCCCTTTTTGAACCAACGATTTTAAAATGAATTTTTTATTTGTAACTCGACCATTTGTCGCAACCGTTAAGGGAGACTAACGTTACCTAGATACTTAAAGTCAAGCAATCGTGATAAAGGACACATACGATTTTCCCCTTTTTTGCGGCCCCTTAGAGACGATTTCGAGCCAAAATCCCCGGCCCATTTATTTTCGCAATTTTCCGAGTATTTAAATATCGTAACTTGGTGATTTACAGCCAAATAATCAAATATTTAGATTTTAGCCCGAACCATGGCTCGTCATGTCTGTCTGTCTGTCTTTCGATCACTTTAGAACATTGACCGATTTTGACCAAATTTGGTAACAACATATGTCTGCATAATGTAACGACCAAGTTAGAAGATGGGGTAGATAAAAAGAAGTTGGACCGGTGGGGGTCACATACATGTCAGGTGGGGTCATGCAGAGTATTCCAAATAGTCGTGGAAGGCATATTCGAAAACTCAGATTCGAAAATTCGGCACAATTGTCCTAATGTAGATATAATGTCGCAATGTAAAGGATGTCATGCGCTTTTTATCGGAGGGAGCAATACCGATTTTCAGAAATTATCGTAAAGGGCTGAAATTCTGCAGTTATACTTAATGGCTTCTCATGAACGAATACGAAGTTAAAAGTGAGCATTGTGCGACCAAATCCAGATTATGTGTATGCAAAATGTACATTTAAGTTTTCGATTTTTGTTTTCGATTTGGCATTGTATATGCATATGACCCCGGGGGGAGGATCTTATCAACTTTTAAGGTCAATCAGACCACCCCCCTCGAGCTCAAGGGGTGTGATTACATAATTTTGGTGGAATTACTTTTTTTTCACCCTATTACTACATTTCGTTGCTATGATTTATTTACTCATAAATCCTGGTTCGGGCTAAGTGAAGCTATTTGAGAGATATTTTTTTGTGCGTGATTTTGCTGTTGGCAACACAAATATAGCAACGTGGTGACCACTTTTCCGAGTAGATTTTCATGAAAACCACCTCGGGATTTTGTCCATACCTCAAAGCGACAAACGAGCTCCCTCCCAGATTTTTTTAATTTTGATTATCAAGACTTGTTACGTTAATGATACAAATTTTGAGGGGGAGCTCGACTGCTTTGGTCACTAAATAAATTACCAAAGTAATGCATATTTGGGCCGCAAAGTATGGGATTACCTAAGGTGTTCTTTCTTCCTGTACACTTTTACACCTGAAGAAGGGGGCAGTTGAACCCTGAAAGCTCGTGAATAAATCACTTTAAAAATGTCATCCATACGATCCGATAATTCTAACTTAAAATATGTATTAATTTATGTACATTTTTTATCCAATCCACCTTCTCCGAGGAAAGTGAAAGTATTTGTAGAACAGATTAGTAGTAGAACATTTCTTATTCTGATAAAATTCGTGACCAGATTTGGCTTTGGTTTAGCAATTTTATTGAGATTTTGCAAATTAGTAGCTTGTAATCGGTATAATTTCGGGGCTGTCAATTCGAGATGGAATAAAAATATTACGTCAAGTTCAAATTATTACTTGTGAAGATTTCAACACTCATTTATTTGGCACTTTCGGTTACCTCTGTCCCAAAAAATAAATTATTCAATAATTTATGAAACTCAATTAATAAGCATCACACACAATACAAATCATACATAACATGTATATACATATATATGATAAGCAATGCTTAATCTCAATTAAATAATACATAATAAAGCTGTTAATTGTACATTGCACGCTAAAATGACACAAAAATATCTACTGTTAATTAAACAGTACTTATTTATCTAACTGTTATAAATCATCCCACTAATTGAAACATTAGAAATTTTCGTCATGATCGCACCCACACGATTTTTTACTAAAAAAATAACAATTTACATAGTTCAACTTTTAGTCAGCAGAAATAGTGGGTTAACTTGTAATTTAGTAAAAATTCCAACCTTATCCCCCAAAAATACGAATTCCTTTCTCCAAAACAAAATAAATTAACAACAAATTCAAACCCCAAAACCAAAAAGAGTACGAAAAAACAAGCCATGCAATCCCTCTTAAAAATTAGTCAAGTCTTTCAATAGTTAAATATAAAGAATTATAACTATCGCCTCCTTTCGTAACTTGCGCCATGGTTGAACTATGGCGCAAGTTACCAAAGTAGTATACATACATAAATTACATATTAAGTCGTCACTTTACATAAGCCCAGTACACACATATCTTACTTACACCTTATCACTATAGATGCACCGCTATTGTATCTTCGCCTAAAATGTTAATATTATCATAGTTATCTGCCTGTCCCATCCCTCTCGGTTGGGGGTGGAGGGTGGCGTAAGCGTGCGAAAATTGTGGGGACTGATTCCTCTGTCGTTTATTAAGGTGGTGATTATGATGATGAATCGAAGTGACGACATTATTGTCACCTTCCTCACCATCTTCGTCCTCCTCCTCGATGTAGTTGACTTCCTCATCGTCATCGTCCACCCCGATGTCAACACTTCCGTTGGAGTGGTCCAACTCTGAGGCGACTTGCATAGTCAGCTCTTGCTCTTCGTAAGTCTTCACTTTACTGTAAAATAAATAAGGAAATGGTTTAGTTAAAATTTCGAAATGTTTGGGAACTTTGAAAAAGGTCAGGATCACCAGGTCAAGGGCATCCGAGTATAATTCATTCGCAACCATTCATGCGTAAATCATGTCGAATTCATGATTGTTATGCAAGAATGAGGAATAAATTGTACTCGTGATGGTAAAAAAGGATTAGATTTTGTGTTAAAAGTTAGTAATCTGCTAAGTTTTTTTTTATTCATTACGTCGCGTTACGTAACAATTAAGTATTATTTTTGTTAGTAATGTTAAATGTTACCCTTAAAGTAAATGAGACAAGTAAATATCATCGCAAGATAAGGAACGTTATGACACGCTATGCTATGCAGTATAATAATGAGGAAATGCATACATCAATTGTGAATAAATGCGAGGAAGCACAGTTTAGTTGAAGTATTAATTAGCCGTTTAAAAGAGGACTGACTTCATGGGTGAAGAGATAATCATAAATCGTGAAGAAATTAGCATGTTTATGTACGTTGTGTCGTCAATTAGTTAACAGATAAGTGAAAAAAAAATCCCACGATGTTTGTATGAATGATATCTATTTTCTCACGGAAGTTGACAAACGTGCAACAATGTCGACACGTGTGCCTCGAATTATAATTAATTAATTTGAAAATTTAAAAGTCAATTTCCCAATCACTCCTCCTCTTGTTACTTCTACGACTCCAATTTCTTTTCAAAGTTCCCAAAAAACTCTGACTTTTTGACTTGACCCTAATTTTCCCGAGGCCACCACCCCCACCACCGACGCTACTAGCAATGTCCCAATTACTAAATTTACTCAGCCCTCTTCTGGGACGCAACGAGCTCGCCGTGGAATGTCGATACCCTAACACCGACTGAGACGACGTCGTCGGAATGAAATACTGCCCGGTTGGTGGTCGGTGACGATGAAAAACGATATTTTTCGGGGAGAAAGTACTAAAATTTGCACTGGATCCTCCCCCCAGCCAACTTTCACTCCGACCTAAACCACTCCCACCCACCCGACTATTCCAGGAGGGGAAGGAGTCAATATTTAGCAACAAATCGTCATCGTCACCACCACCAAGACGACTCCGTCTGCCTCGAATCCTTCCACTAAACCCACTCCGACTAATGCTAGCGAACGATTTCGACCTTTCTGGCAGCGCTGAATGTCTCCCCGCACTGATAATGCTTTGTTCTCGATAAGGTTGTAGAGTCAGGGAGGGTGCCGGAGAAAGATAAGATCTCATCGTGACGGCAGATCCACTGCCGGATGACATTTCTCTTCTGCCAACAATATTTCCAACCTTGTTATCGTCAAAATAATGCTGATATGAAGATGACGTCGGCGGCGGTGGGGCAGGGATCCGACTACTGTTTCGAATCGGTCGAGCACGTGGCCTCGGTCGGCTGATTGTGAACCCATTTTTACGATAATCCGATTTAAACGAGCGGAAAGAATTATTATAATTAATTGATGAGCCTCGATAACTAAATGACTTTGCTCTCCTCCCACCACCGTTAAATGCATGATGATACCTCGTCAAGATAAAGTTTGGATGATACACTAATTTGGCGTTGGGCTCGTTGAAATTGAAATTATTGTTGTTAATATCATCCCTAAATTCTGGGGGACATTGGACTAAGTTATCATGATTATTTGCGACTAACTGATCAATCCAGAGAGGGTTATCCGTCGCCATGTCTTCAATCATGTCGCCACCTCCCACGTTCGATGCGTTGTGATGGCGTCCAGTCATGGTCATATTTGGCGTGCCGGGAATCGAGGGGTGGCTCACGTGCAAGGGGTACTTGCTCATGGGTCCGTAGATCGTCTGCTTTTCAGAGTCCGTGCTGCAAACAAAAATCAGGATTAAATCTGTCCTTATCTTTAAGATAAGCCTTTCTTCCACTCACTCTTTCTCATACATCCGATTGATACAGCAGCAGCACGCGATAATGGCGGCGAGGCCCATGCACAAAAGGGCGATGAGCGCAATCAATCCGGCAAACGCCGCGTCAAAGGCGTCCCCTCCGTTGAAATAGTATTCGTTCCCATCTCCGTCGACGGAGGAGACCGCGGGGACCGCAGAATGGAGGACGATTGGCATATCGGCAGTGCGAAGGTGGTCATGCCCGAGGTCTAAGGCTTGCAAAAACTGGGAAACCGGGACAGGCTGGAAGGTAGTTTTATCGATGGCTGTCACAAATACGTCGCTCCTTAAAGAAAAAAATCAAGGTCAAATCCGGGTCAAAGGTCACGAAGAAAAATTAATCAGCATACCATTCCTTATTAACGACGAGGTCTTCTCCCACGTGGGGTGATATTTTCGTTATGAGGACATAATTTCCGGTAATGTTCGTCAATACGTCGATAAGGCCTTCTTTGATAAGCGACTTTGGTGGTGATTCAACCGTCAGAATGGTTTCCTGCGCCGACTCGACGACCCAAACTTGCACCTGGGTTGTGTCAGAGTGATACGGGGCGACACTTTCTCGTACCCCGATCTTGACCTGGAATCTATTATTTCCGCCGGAATATTGTCGCATGGCGGATTGTGATAGGGTGAGTCTTCCTGAAATGGCATCGACCCTAAACGGGGATGGAATGACGGACCCTCCAGACCGGAAGTCGTCGAGAATAAGGTTTGCCCCGAGCAGGGAATAGGAAACGGGGGAGGTGAGGGGAGAATCGATGTCGATCGATTTTAAAGTCATGATTTCACGACCAGGTTCTGCCTCCGAGTTTATGGCGGCGTAATATTGTTTTTCGACGAAACGGGGACTGTTATCTGCATAAAAGAAGAAGAAAATTAGTGAATAATCGCCTTATCTGAAGCTAAATAATTATATAATAATTAACCATTTTCATCTAAAACTGTGATATTGATTGCTGCAAGGGAAAAATCATCCAAAAATTCTTGATAGTCCATCAGCTCCATTGATTTCTATTGATTTTTAAAAAATATTTGAAATATACCTTAAATTTTGTCTCGGAAATCTATTTTTTCAAAATTATTACACAACTCACATTAAAAATGGGTGACGACACCGCCCTCACGTACAACTGGTAGGAATCTATCCGCTCCCTGTCGAGGACGGCGTTGCTGTGAATCATCCCCGTTTTGATGTCCACTCTGATGTCCTCCTTCAAATGCTTGGTGGCTGCAGTGGTCACGAGGAAGTAGAAAATCTGGGCGTTTTTTCCCTCGTCCTCGTCCTCAGCGGAGACTTGGCCGATGAACGTACTTTCTGGAGAGTTCTCTTTGATCGTAAAATCGTACTCACGACGCCGGAAATATGGTTTATGGTCGTCAATATCTGAAATTTTTATGGTGAGGACGTGCTGGGCTTGAGTTGAGACGGGAATTCCGGAATCTTTTGCGACCACGACGAGCTGAAATATTGGGATAATTTGTTAATTAGTTAAAGATTTTTTAATTATTTACATAATTGACTAGTTAATTACGTCATATTTATTCATCTCTTCGCGATCGAGGGGTCGAATCTGGTGGACTTTTCCAGTCTCAGTCTCAATTCGGAACCGTTCCGTCTCTGTGACGAGATTGTCGCCTTCTTTGAAAAAGAACTGCATTTTTCCAGCATCCCCCTCGTCCGGGTCGAAGGCAAGAATTTGTCCGAGAACTTTGGTAAAGGCGGAGTTTGCGAATTTCTCGATTTCTTCGACGTTTGACTAGAAAATATTTATGAATTAAGATTTTCAAATTTTTGAATACACCATTTCTGTCCCAAAAGTGCCAAAATCTCGTCCATACCTCATCCGCCACCAGAGTCGAATTAATCTTATTTGGAAAGAGGAACTCTGGCTTTTTAAAATTTCCTGGTAATATCTGCACCAAAACGGTCGTCTTATCGGTATGATCCCCCATAAGCTCTTTGTCCCCACCAACGTCATCCACTTGTATCGATAAGCTCATCTCGCCCGCTTTTTCGTACGCCTGAGCTGCTCGAAGGACTCCGGTTTCAGCGTCAATCTCAAAAATTCCGTTTTCATTGCCTTCCTCCAGAATGGAGTAGTGCATTCGGTCCGTTTCCGGTAAGTCCGCCCCGTGTGACGCTGCGACGCGGAGAATGTCCTGTTTCGCCCGGAGTGGAGCGTGGACCGTGATGTGGTAACTCTTCTGGGGGAAGGTTGGCCTGGTCAAAGTAAATAAAAAATAAAATTTAAAAAAAAACTTCAAATTTTCAAAAAACGGGATTCTCACCGATTATCGTTAATGTCAAGAACTCGAATTCGCAACGTGGTATAAGCCACGCGCTCTCCGTCGCTGGCTTTGATGCTGAGACTGATGTGGGAGTGATGCTCCATCGTTTCGCGATCGATAAGCGCTCTTCCTTCAGAAGAGATGGACACTTCGCCTAAACGGTTGATCTCGAATGCGGGAGAATATTCGGATGGCACAATTTCGTAGTTAATTGTCGAGTCGACATCCAAATCGGTCGCGGTGACTTGAGCGACCACTTTTCCTGGTGTGGGGTGTTCTTCAAGGGAGGCTTCGTACTCGGTCTGGATAACGATAAATGATTAGCGAGAAAAATAAATTAAAAGATAACTACCTACCTTATCGAATTTGGGATCGTTATCGTTATCATTAACTAACGACACCATAATCGTGGCGGTGGAGGATAGCTGCGGGACCCCGCTGTCCACCACGACCACGGTCACATTGTAGCTGGGTTGGTGTTCATAGTCTAGTCGTCCGGCCACTTTCACTTCGCCGGTTTTATTGTCAACGCTAAAATACTCGGATCCTGATAAGAAGAATTAAGATAAGATACTCATCTACTTAAAATAATAATTGTATCTTATGTATTTGCTACCTTTTTCTATAAAATAGTGCGAAATTTGGCCGCCCTCGGGATCTTCGGCTTCCAAGGTGAGTATGGCTTGACCAGGGGGAAGTTCTTCGAGGATTTCAATTTCCATATCTTCCACAGTGGGGGGCTTATCGTTCACCTGGAATTTAAAGTAAAAAGATAAGATACAACCTTCCCTTATCAATGAGTATTTGTTTATACCCACCTCGAACACGGTTATCATCAAACTCCCCAAATTTTTTGAACCAGGTTTTGCCCACTCCGATGTGATCATTACTGTCAAATTCATCGCGGTAACGAGGTCTCTTTGCAGGGCGTTGGCTACTCTGACTTTCCCATCGTTATCGATACGAAACCATTCCTGCAAAAAATAGTGCATAATTTTTAGCACCTGCAAAATTTGAATTCGCAATTTGCTCTTCTTCTTACCCGAACCATTTCCAACCCTGCCCCCGTTATGGCTTGATTATCCGAATTTCTTGCTTCGATCGGGTCCACAAAATCGAACTGCAACCGATCCCCTAAATTCAAGTCCTTTGCATTCGTCCCTATCACGGTGACTTCCTCCCCAATTTCCGCACTCTCAGAAACCTGAATCCTCTGAACGCCTGGCGTCATCTTGGGCAGTTTATGGTACACGTCACCCACGCTGATTTGAACGCTGATGCTCGTCCTCATTGAGGGGCTTCCTTGATCATAAGCGGTCACGAGGAGGTCAAAGTTCGACACGGCGTCGTCATCCAACTCTTTCACTAACGTAATATCTCCCTTGACCGGGTCTATCTCAAAGTATCCGTAGGCTCCCTTGTCGATCGAATAGCGGACGACGCCGTTCTCACGAAGGTCGGGATCCAGCGCTTTCACTGCGACGATTAGTGAGCCCACGGTGGTATTTTCCGGGATGGTGAGTACCCTTCCGTCCAGCGTGGTTTGGCTGAATGAGGGGGCGTGATTGTTGATATCGGTCACCTAAAAGTGGTCAATATTGTGAATTTTGTGTATAATTTAGTGAATTTTGATACAAAATACGACCCCTTACCTGCACAAGTACCGGAACTACGGCAGAATGCAGTCCATCCGACGCTTCCACTTTGAACGAGTAGTTCGCCGGTGGAAGGAGTCCCCTTCGGATCGCGAGTTCCCCAGAATTCTCATCCATCCTGAAGTACGTGTGGATACTGGAGTTTTTCGGGGCCAGGATTTGGTACGTGATGACGGACAAGGCGTCCAAGTCGGACGCCACGATGTAGAAGGGAGGTTCAAATTGGGCCGAATTTTCTGGCAGAGTTCGTCCATATTTCGGCTCTGGAAACGTGACGGGAGAATCGTTCGAGTCCGTGAGGATGATTTGAAGGGGGACGACGCTCTTAATAAAACCGTCCCGTTTGAAAGTGTCACTCGCCATGTAGAGGAGATCGTACGTCTTTTGAGTCTCGTAATCCAGGCAAGGGAGCGAGTCTTCCTTGGGGGAACAGGGAGCCACGTAGATTTCTCCGGTTCGGTTGTTCACGGTGAATCTGTGTGAGATACAAATAATTTGGATTGACCTATTACCCCGATTACATATTATGGACAGGACACCAACCTCTTACTCCCAGTCCCTATGATTTGATAGATGAGTCCCTCATTCCCAAATTCATTCGAGTCTGGATCTTCCGCCGTAATTTCGCCAATTTTGGTACCAGGTTTGGTCGACTCTGGGATGCTGATTTGGTACACGTCCCGATCGAACTTTGGTCTAATTCAGGACCCAAAAAGCATTGTAAATTACCCAAAAAATTACTAATCTCTTAATCAACTTACCGATTATCATTCTCATCAAGCGTAACAATCGTTACGGTGGCAGTGGAAAAGAGTTCTGGTTCGTCCGTATTTTGAGCGACGACCTGTAAATTTTAAAAATTCGTAATTAAAATTTGCTCCCTCATTTTCAAAATTTTTCAAAATTTTTGAAATCTTTACCAGCAAAATGAACTTTCTCTCGTTCGGATTCTCATGATCAAACGCTTTCTTAACCCGAATAACCGGTTGGACACTTCCACTCGCAAATTTTGGCTGGATATCAAACAAATCTGCTAACGGGCCCTCAATTCTGAGCGTAAAATCGCTGAAGGTCCCCTAAAACAAAACAAAAAATTGTTTAAAAATCATAATTTTCTCTATGCAAATCATTCTCTAATTTCATCAGTACCGTGTCTGCATCCGAAATGACCATGCCCAAATCCGGAAGTGGTGTCCCCACGCCAGTGTTTTCCCCAATCTCGGTGAAATACTCTTTCTTGTTGAACTTTGGCTCGGAATCGTTCACATCGTCAATCAAAACGGTCACGTTTTTAGTCGTGGTGAGAATATCGATGTCCGCCTGCGTCGAGAGGGTCAGTTCTCCCGGATGAGGAAGCTCCATCGCTTTAACTTCCAGGGTGAGCAGACTCCCCAACGTTTCACGGTCCAGGGGACGCTACGGACAAAGGAAAATTAAACCCTAAAGTTCAATGACCTTTCACCAACAGTGGCCGCGGAATCTGTGGGACATCTGGGGATGTTAACACTGTAGGATAGGGGAGGGAGGGGTTTATATAACATGGGCAGATGATGAGGACATCGAATAACCGTGGGGACATTGTCCCTCTGTCCCCACCCTTCCGCGGCCTCTGTTCACCAAACTACTTCTTACCGTTGTTGTTAGTCGGCCTGATTTCGGGTCAAGTTGGAACACTTCTCCAGGATCTTAATTATCAATTAATTAATTAATTCGCTAATTAAGCTTATCAATTTTCTTTGAACTTGCTTACTTGTCAACAAACTCAGCCGAACGTCTCTGGGTTTCCCGAGGTCTCCGTCTCTCGCCTGGATCAGCATGACCAGCGTTCCGACATCCGCGTCCTCCATGACGCGACCTGCCATCGCACCGGTAAAAATTGGCGGAGTGTTTTGCACGTCACGAATTCTCAACAGGATTTCGACACTGCTTTTGTGTTCGCCATCCTGAAAAAGAAAAAGTTTAAAAAATAGTTTTATTCAAGTTAAAAGATGTGGACTTGAAAAATCTTACCGATGCCGTCAACTTGAACTGGTAGAGGGATCGCTTATTAAAGTCCAAGGCTTGACCGAGGCGAACCTCCCCCTTCAGAAGACCAGCCGTTGTTTCCTGCACCACCACGGGGAATATGGTACAAGCTTCGGGAGACTGAAAAATAATGGGTAATTATTATTTTTTGTGTAAAAAATCATAATTTTTTTAGAGTATTTAATTGTCGTTTAAAGTATGTCAAATTGTGGATTAAAATTACTGCCAGATTTGGTTCACAATGTAACAACTATCTTATCATTAGATTATAAAATCAAGACTTGTTAACTATGTCTGGAAAATGCATGGTTTTTAGTAAGATGCAAATTAAAATATATTTCGTATTTAGTTTTGTATATTTTTAGTTAATTGTTTTTACCAAACTACCAAGAGTTATTAAAAATTTTCATTTCTAGTTAGAATAGCCAAACATCTTGCACATAAAAAATATCCAAATTCCTTCAATTATTTCATATCGACGGAAAAACCCAGCAATAAATAAAATAAAACCATTCATAAATTTCAAGGTCTTCTGGTTGTCAGAAGAAGACCTCAAATAAAAATTTGAAAGTTCTCACTCACTGCCCTCATAAATACATACTTGTTAAAAAATGTACAAAATTGCGAAATGCTCATCACACTACATTACTATAAAATGTGCAAATTTTTCGCATCAAATTGCCTCCTCAAGTCAAAGAGCTCACACCAACCAAACCACACAACAATGCAACAAATAACAATTCGTATTATTCAATTCTTTCCCTACTTTTAGTCTTCACGAATTCTTTAAATAAAAGTGAATATACAATAAAAGAACATCCTTTTTACACTTATTTGCCAGAATGACGCTGAAATAAAAATAAAAATATACACAGACGTCCCCTCACTCACTCGCTTGTTGACTTGGATCCGTTCGTGACCATTTTACCACAATTTGCCTGTCTCCCTTTCCCTATTGAAACTTCTCAACCGGCACAAAAACACGGTCTCAATTTTAAATATTTTAAACTAAATGCAAAATTTTCTGAACCACTTTTTTTTCTTTCGAAATGTGTCAAGGTTTGAAAAAGATAAATTTGGCACGGATTACGGATTAAAGTTATTTATTTATTGCTTACCTGAGGTGACGCGGTGCACGTGAGGGATAACGCCATCCCGGTCAGGTCGGGATCGACAACGTCCACGCCGAGAATTTTAGACCCGACTCTCGTATCTTCCATGACTTCGACGTTTTCGTAAATACTCTGAAAAAAACGGGGATAAAATTTTAGTTTTTTCGAAATTTTTGTACAAATTATGTATGATTCCTCACCTGGTTAAGAAATGTGGGAGCATTATCATTCGAATCGGAAATGGTGACGGAAGATGGAATTCGGACAACGTTATTATTTTCGACGCCCTCTTTCACCACGTCTTCTATCGTCACGACTAGTTTTAAGCGGTCCGTAGTCTGAGGAAGGAAAATTTTGAAAATTTATTCATGAAGAAATAACTTTTCATTTGAAAGTAATGCATATTTTTTTTAATTAATACTTTTCGAATTGTACAACTAAAATGCCAAAGATGGAAAGTTAAATAGTTTAATTCGTAAAATCGATTTAACAGATCATTTTAACATTTGACGTTTTGTGCTATTTTTCATAAATACATACATTGAGCTTGGCCGAGTGAAAATAAATAGGTTTTCGAGTCCTCAAAACCGTTTAAAAATCATTTTAAACTATAACATAAAGATGTCGAAACAGATATAAATACATTGGTTATCAATTATCATACATTGCTTATCAGTCATTATTCGTTATTATGCTGAATTCATAGATTCTGTATAATATACCGAATCTATGAATTATTCAATGCTGAATTGCATGCATACATATTTTCAGAAGCTACTCACAGTACTCACTTGTCTCATTCTCATTTTAAACACCTCTTTAACTACAGAATTTATTTTACCTGATTCAGCTCAACTAACTTAACTTAACCTTAACTTTTGGCCTTGGTAAAAACTTAACCTTCTTACATAATGCATCCTGATCTTTTTCCAGACAACTCTATCTACCAATGTACAAAACAAAGCCGTAAATACAGGTTGGTCTACCTTTTCATGTAATAATTAGGGTGAGAATTACACAACTTTTAAGCAAGTACACAACTACGTTGTCCAGAGCATTGCATTATTATGCAACATAACATAACAAAACAAACACACTTTGTGCATCCGTTTGTTATGCATAAATAAATAGTGTGCAATACAATAAGCATTTCTTCTCCATCTATATATGAGCCGATCTGACCATATTTGACAAGTTGGGGTTTAGTTTAGCTCAATTGAGCCCAGAAAACAGCAGGTTTTTCTGTCTGAATGGTAAAATTTCTTTGTAATTTGTGGATTTAAATTTCTGAACGAATTTAAAATATCAGAATTTCTAAAATCTTATCCAAAACCACAAAATTAAGGTGTGACGCAAAGGTTCATCTTCAATTTCATTAATATGCGTTGCGCAATTTTATCGTAAGTTTGGCATTTTACTTTTACATATTTTTTGTGGAAACTTTTTTTTCTTAATCAAATTGATTCAAATAATCTTGTTGTTTCTTAATTATCTAGATTATCCATCATCGACAACCCGATAAGCCACCGGCTTCGCGGCACCATAAAAATTACTGGACTTAATGAAGATACCAACTTTTCCTCGAAATTTCCTGAAGCCACCCTCAAATTTGAGGAGGTCCAGTCCCTGCACGAAGTGATGCCGTCGATAAGCCAGATGCTCAGTTATCTTGACGGACACGGCTACAAACTGGTCGCCACCACGAATGTGACGGGTTATCATGTCGGCGAATGTTTCATCATTTGGAATCTTAGCATTCCTTAAATATTTTCTAATTTACTTATCATCGCCATTTAAGTAAGTGTTTCATATATAACGAATCACCTCAGCCTTCTAATTGTAATTACGATGTTAACCACTTATCTATCTATATAATTAATATTGTAATTCATAAATTCCAAATCGAAAATCTAAGTCAGTTTAGTTAAGCCGTTCATTCACTTTTCCTGATTTGGAAGAAAATTTCTACGTTTTTGAACTTTTTTTTTTGCAAAAATAAAATAAAAACATCGTACCTCACGATCTATCACTTTGACCACGGTGACCACCCCAGTTTTTTCATCCACTTTTAACCGATCTGTCCCCATGAGACCGAACTTGACCGGAGATCCCTCGGGGTCAACCCCCTTCAACGTGTAGACGATCGTCCCCAACGGCGTGTTCTCCGGAATCACATGATTGTTCATATCTTCGGTGAAATAGGGAGGCAAATTTGCTTCGCATTTTCTCACTGAAAATTTATATTATTCCGATAAGCCACAATTTTTCTATGCATTTTTCTCAATTTCAAACCACAACTCAACAAAAACCTATGACCAAAACGTGGTCAATGTCATCATTAATCATCACCTGTCAAAATTACATTGATTATTTTGCTACATCCTGAAAAAATCATGGTCATGGTTTTGTGCATGGTCGACATTTCATCCTCCTCCTCAAAGTAATTTCATTTCAACGAGTTAAAAGTAAACTTAAACGTAATTTTGAGCAAAAGAGAAGGAAGTGGTGCTTATCCAAGCGTGTGGTCCATCATGGTTTGGTTAAGGATAAGTTCTTATTCTCTCTGTGATGAGGTTATTTACACCGGTATGGAATCAAAAATCTCAATTCAGGAAGTAATTCTCTCAGCCTCGTTGCGGAAATGGGGAGATGATTTTATGAGAGAATGTATCAAAAATGAGAGTGATTTTAGATTTTGGAAACAGATACTTATTTCCAAAATTGTAAGATTTTTCCGGTTTAAAACTACCATGTGTAATATTTACCTTTTTGATTTTAATCATAGGGTTTTTGACTTACCTGTAATTAAGATGATGATCGTGCTGATTAAAATGTGCAGATACCCAATCGACATTTTTGGCTGCATTTTTGGCAGTAAACTTTTCTTCTCAGATTTTTGTAATCCCATCTTTCCGTGCACTTTTTTTACACAAAATAGTTTAAAAACTTGTTACTTTGTTAACTGCACTGCAAATTTTCACATGTTAATTAATCTTCTTTTAAAAAATTGACTAGATTTCTTCCTCCGTTCTTCAAATCGAGTCGATTATTTTCTACATTTTTGTCACAGTTTAACAATTTTTTGAGTAGTTTCGATGTTATCATCCATCTGTAAAAAAATTAATAATTTATAACACAAAAATTGACAAAATCTCCTCTCAAACCAAAACTTGTCGAAAACCACACAATTTTTCTTTCCCTTAAATCTTTTTTTTTTACAAAATAAATATCAAGTACCGTACTTTTTAAACCACTAACTCATTCTGAATTTGGTGTATGTAAGTAACGCTACCGTAATTTTGATCACATCCTCATCCTAAAACTACTTATCTACCTAAAATTACTTCCAGTCCAATTCTTCTCCAAAGCATCATGGTCTCAATGCAAAAAAGATGTGTATTTATTTAGATACCACAATCTCTCTAACTAACTAACTACACGTAAATAACTAAGTAAGCAGATAAACAAAAATAATAAGAAATTCGTTCCTCACTTTCTTCGACAACAACCTATTCGCCATTCGTATTATTTTTCTTTTCATTCAGAATAGCACACTCTCCCCACGAACGAAACAAGCCACGCCATCATCGCAAACACATATCTGAAGCTTGCAAAGTAAAAATTAAATGAACCAATTCACACGATTATTAAAGAAAGCGAACGTTATTTACGAGGAGCATCAGCAGCCGTAGAACTTCTGCCTGAGCAGTAAAAATGCATATGTACATATCACTTATAAATCAAGGATAAGGATGTTCACCTTACTACACATTTACTTGCACATTTTCCCATTTTATCTGAGGAAACCTCGCCAACAATCATCATCTCAGCATCAGTCCAACAATGTAGAACAAAGCAATAATCCAATAATATGGGTTAAATAGTGTGCATGGTGTGCAGAAAAAAAACCTCATATTAACCAAACTAATGATGACATGCCAGACTACTAACATTAACAATGCTTAATAATTGTGCAACGAAATACGCAACTAAATCCCAGCCGGTACAATAATAACACGTTAATCCTTCAACCTTCTGACCGTGGTGTCTTAAATGCTGGGAAATTTCATTCGAGAACAATTCATGTTGCAATAATGTCTTGACTTGGCTTGATGAAAGAAATGGAATCAAATTCACTTTCAGTATAAATATAGCAATGAAGAGGAAAAATAAAAAAAATGTATATAGAAAGGTCTCATTTCCTTAAAAGATTAGTAAACCGGCAATAATAAAGTCTTTAAGCCGAGTATACTTAATAAATTTAAGTAATAATATTCTTGAGTAATATGGATGGTTATCAAAGGCTGAAATTTGGATCAATGGTCACAATAGAGGTATAAACTCGGAATAGGTTAATTTTTTTGCTGAAGGGAACGCTTAGACCCCCACCGATTTTCATAAATTGTTTTGGAAAGCTGAAATTTGGTCCTAATTGCTTCTTATCAAAGACTTGTGAACAAAATGTCGACGGAGTTACCCTAGCGGGTGACCCACGCGGCCACATCAATTTCTACGAGTTATACAATGTAGCATTTTACATGGAGTTGGAGGCTAACAATGACTTTTGAGTACCAAATGCAACTTTAGAATTTCGAACATGTTCGGGCTATGCAATCCTAAGAGTTTTTTTTAACTTACTTTGATTATTTTCATATGTAAATTCCATTGATGCCTTTTGATTAATGTTTCACATATGAACATGTCTTAAACTTTTTCTTGATTTGCTACATATAAAAGTGTGACGATGCTTTTTATTACTAACCAGAAATCACCAGATAACTAGAAAGCTCTGATTTCGAGTTTGATTACAATTTTAATTTAAACTACAGAAAAATTTGTGAGATTAAGACGCCAAAATTTTAATTACACGTTAATCCCCATATTATAACTTACTTAATCAGATTTTATGTACTAAGCACTTAATTTACATACTTCTAAATGCAATCAATTTTCATCCAAATTAAATAACACTTAACTTTTCACAATTTCCATTTTTCCCATTCCCAAATTTATGCCAAAAATTTTACACACTTTTAACATCATCCACTCCTGATTGACAAGGACGCTGCCTGCTTTGACCGATAAATACAACTTCGAAATTTCGAACATGTCGCAAAGCTATATTGAAAAGTTTTTTAAAAATTTACTTATTATTTTCATATGCAAATTATGCAAATTTCATTGATGACAATTTATCCTAAATTATACACACTTAATTTCATTTATCTACCTCTGATTGACAAGGACGCTGTCTGGCTGCATTGACCGTCCTTCCCGTGCGACGAAAGACAGAATGAAATTATTGAGACCGTGAATAGCACTCCACGACGGACATTCACTAACTTGCTAATTATTTCTGCCATGCTATCTGTCATCGCAGCAAGACATTTGACATGCTAAACAAATCGAGGGTTTTTTTCCTTTTCTACTTTTTTTTGCTATGTTAAGTGGTAAAGTGGTGAAACAATTAGTGAAATGAAGAGCGTTACATTAAAAGAGCTAAAAAAGAGGAAACAGCACATGGCGGGCGGTGTGCAAGGCTTATTAAATTACAGTCCAATTAAATTCCAAATTAAAGTGCCGGTCAGTAGTGAACATAAGTAGTCCAATTTAAAGAAAAACATGTTAAAAAGTACCTGCTATCAAAAAATTATACCGAAAATAGGTATGCTACACTTTTTGATTTACTAGACTAGAAAAAAACATAATCTAACAATTTTGAAAAATAAATTTAAAAAAATGATTTAAGACAAAAATTGTACTGTCATAATAATATAAATGTTCTTGTGCATAATGACATCAAAAATCAGTGAAAAAAACATAATCTAACAATTTTTTAAATTTTCAAAAAAATGATTTAAGACAAAATTGTATTGTCCTAATAATATAAATGTTCTTGTGCATAATGACACCAAAAATCAGTCGGGGTCACAATTTATCTCAATTTATTTAGAAATTTTTACTCGATTATGTTATTATTCGTCGTCACCCCGAGAAGAAGATCGACACTCTCGTGACCATTATTGTCTCATTTTCTTCATTTAGATAATCTCACAATGTAAAAATTTAGAGAAAAATTCACCATTTATTGTTCGATTTTGGATTGTAATGCAGCCCAACAACATGCTGAACTGAACTCTGCATGAAAAACCGGACTGGCAAAAAGTAGGCTGAATGAAGAAGAAGAAGAAGAGAACGTGTAATTGCAAATGTAAAATTCTTGATTGCAATTTTGCTTGCTTTGCTTTGCTTTACGAAATGTGCACAGTTTAGTTGTGCCAAAGTTTGTGTACTCCTTAATAAAAGGAAAATAATTTAGCCGATGGCGTATGAAATGCATTTGTACAAGTAAAGTGATGAGCATTTTCTTCATAAAAACCTAACTTAACGCAAGAACATTCCCAATTTCTCATTCGACATTGCAGATTTATATTAATGCGCAAATTTGTAATACTATTTTTTACTTATTAATGTTCTCTTTCACTAATTAGTAGCAATATTTTAAGTGCAAAATGTTACATTTCTTATTCCCCAGCAAATAACAATTTTCTTTTTATTTGATTTACAAGCACACGTATGAAATTGCTTTCAAGGTGAAGTGAAACGTGTCTTTAACTTTTGCCTGATTTGTTACCTATAAAAGTGTGAAGATGCTTTTTATTACTAATCAGAAATCATCAGAAAGCTCTGATTTCGAGTTTGATTACAATTTTAATTTAAACCAGAGAAAAATTTGTGCATAAAAATTTGTATCAACAATTTTGAGACGTATGTAATATCTAAAATTCGCAAATATCTCAAAATTTATGGGTTTAACACGCCGAAATTTTAATTACAATTTAATCCCCATTTTAACTTACTTATTCAGGTTTTATGTACTGAGCACTTAATTATTTAATTCTCCATGCAATCCATTCTCATCCAATTTCACAATTCCCATTTTTCCAATTTTTAACACTTTTCCTTCCTCAAACAGAAAATTCACGTAAGCAAAAAAAATCACACCACACAATAATTTTCACAATAACATAACACACACACACACACAATTATAATTACATTGCTGTGCTGCACTCTTCGTCTCAAATCTCAATGCAGCAGCAGCCAGTTAGTCAAGTCAACGGACCGTGTACCGTAATCCAACGTCTTCTTCTTGGCAAGCAAAATGTGACCGGTCCACAAACAACCAACCACCTCCAACCCTATGAATAATACGACTGCTGCTGGTCACTACCAACTACTACAAATCTTCAACAATGCGGTTATTATTATTATGGTGCGTCCACCATCCTTATACAATAAGATCTACTCAGGCCACCTTAATTTACAGGTGAGTCTTCTTACTCATGAAAGTACAGGTAGGGTCCACCTTTCCCAAATGTATGTGTAATATCTTAACAATGCATTCTTCTTAACGTGATGATGATTGTGTTACCTGCTTAAAAGCAGTTCCATTCCATTACCAACGATATATCTATCTTTTCCGCATATTCCGTCTCCATTGTTGCGTTTTTCGTCCCCTTCTTGTCGCCTATTTAGTGTTAAAGATTCGAATAGTTACAAGGTGCGTCTACTGACTGAGGAAAATCGGGGTAGGTTCGTAGGCAGGTATTCTCTCGAGGGCGTCTTGGTATTTAGGTTGAGATATAAAGGCAAAGATTCATAAGTATTAAGCTGTATAAAAAAGATGATGATTTTTACGCTATATCTTGAAGCCATTCACCTACAAAGAAAAGTATACAGCCGGGTTCCGTAGTAGTATGTAATGTACCACGGTTTGTAGTGGTACTGGCGTCGCGTATGAAAAAGCATGTAAAAAAGTGCATCTCTTCAACGGGAAGCGCATCTTGTAGTGTGATCAGGTTTATGCTGTGTTATTTTTTATTAATAACAAAATATATGTGAGACATTAAGGAAGAAGAGATGAGATGAGAAAAGTGATGATACTTTTTAGCAGGGTTGAAGTCTCACACGTTTCTATTTTAACGGATGTCATTCGCACGACGATTTACTTGCTTTGTATGGAAGTTTGCACATCTATTCAGTGGCCGCGGAAGGTGTGGGGACATTAACATTGTAGGATAGGGGAGGGAGGGGTTTATATAAGATGGGGAGATGATGGGGACATCGAATAACTGTGGGGACATTGTCCACATCCCTTCCGCGGCCACTGTGCACATCTATTAAGATGTCTATCATGATGTCATGATATCTAAAACATGTAAAAATAATCTCGCGTTTCACTAAATTTTTTTCTTAATTACAATTAATTCCGTGTATTTTTGTGCATACTAAATAAATATATATGATGTAACAAAGAGGATATTTTAAAAACAATGGCATCAGTTCACGAGGACTTAACTTGAAAATACTTATCTTTCTGCATCTTTTAATTTGCGCACGGTTTGTGGTGGTGTTTATGCGGTTGATAATTTGCATGCACCGTTTTGTCGACAGAAGAAGCGATGTGGCCTGGTCTGGTCGTGGTTTAAAATTTAAATTTTACTAAAAATTGAGACATCTCTTTAAAATATTTAAGTATATAAATAAACAAGGATTTTCTTCAAGAATTTTTTAAAGAATGCATGCAAACCAAACCACAACAGCCATGCACGCTAACTGAACTAACAAGTGAAATCTACATAAGCATGATAATTAAATTAAGTCCGTCATCACTTCAAAATCGTCAATGACCACTCACTCACTCACACAAATTTTAAGTACGTCCATTGTGTTGTTATTTTTTTCCTTGGTGGGTCAGTCGGATAAAAATGCATAAAATAAAAATGATGATATTCATTCCGGCTCGAGGAATGCCGTTAGGAGATCTCTTTCGCTATCACAGACTTTAAATCACAGCATGGCGTTCCTGTCATGTTGTGAGATGCGACGAGGAATAGTAAAGTTTTGCATTTTATTTATTTATTACAAGTTGACGACAATAATAAATAAGACATGCAAATTATAAAAGTGGTCATAATCTGGGGGATGGATTAAATTAGGGATATGTCTTGTTACACGATTAATTGACACAGTTTCTAACAATAAGAATGGCGCGGTGCCCCATTGGAAATATGTAGAATGATAAAGTTTCTATATTATATTATACATATCTTCCAAGGTCCTGAAATGCACTTCGGCCTTAATTATCACTTTATAGGATCAATATGTCCGTCCTGTGTCCATCCGTTGATCCCATAAGTCGCGAATAGATGCGAATCTGGAGATGCGGTTTTTTGCAACGTGTTTTGTGGGGACGACGAGTGAAACAAGATCTGCTCGCCACGACGGTGTGGTCATGAAAATGTTTTAAAGTAACTTTTGCGAGCGCAGTGGGTGCATAATATGTTTGTGAAAGTAATATGCCCCCACGATCCAGATTATCCCCACAAACATCGTGGTTCTCCCCAAGCCAATCAAGTGTATTTTGTATTTTGTCCTTAGAGTATTTAATAATAATGTTATTATTAAATACTCTAAGATTTTATCAGTATTTGTTAAATAAAAATAATGAATACAATAATTTGCGAACTTCGATTGCATATAAAAGTGTCAAATAATATTGGGAACCACGAAGACACGGAGAAATTGAGATGCATGTATAGTTTTTGAAATTAACAAGGGATGAAATAAGTGGCTTGATAAGTCAGGTTTTTAATTTCAAATTGTTGCGATTACCTTTATTTTGTTATTAATTTCGTAGTTATTAACTCAAATTCGACTCATTACAATTAATCACACATAAATAGACACAATTAACTAAATCACAATTTTCAGTTCATTTCACAGTAAATCAATAGACTAAATATTTTGTCAAAAAATTGTCAATCCGATTTCACAATTTTTTGAGATTATGGTGCTAAATAATAATACATTTCTTAGCACCAAAATAGCCTTCCCTTTATCTTCTGACTAGCGACGCGACGATGCGAAAAGTGCATTAAACGCAGCACTTTTAATTACTAATATTAATTATAAAAATATACCATATCGCGTCCTTATTTATTTTATAATTCGACATTATTTCTTAGTGCCCAGGCACGATGCTTGGACCGGACGTGTAGTTTGACGATATTTCGAGTTTTAGCGTAAAAATCACAGTTGCTCTTTGGACAGGTATAAACTTTGCCGTCACACATTAACTCTGAGATTATGTCCTCCGGCAGATCAATCATGGTGACGTAACATAGCTTTCCACGAATTGGTTTCGGTAGGGATTCCAAATAAACCCTTTGTTCCTTAGTAATCAACCCGAGATTGGAGAGAAAGTCCTCTTTTGGACTTGGCAATGGGATTGGAATGGATTTTATTTGTTTTGCCTCATTTTGAAGTCGACAACGTTTTTTGGTTGCATTAGATTCATCCAACACTGGGTCAGATTTCTCTTTATAATCGTATTTGGTTGGGTTTTTGGTCAGGGTCATCAATTCGAGTACAGTCTTCTTTGGGTGTAATTCATCTCTGCGAAAATTTTATAAAATTAGTAAAATTTCAACACCACAAAATTGTTTTTGTCCAACCTGTGTGCTTTCAGTTCAGCTTCTGATGTCCACAAAAATCCACAGATTAGACAGGTTCTAGCAATAATCCCAGCAACAAACGTTCTGCCTTTGACGTCAACTGGTGCCAATTTCTTGGACACGACAAGTGGTTTCTTTTTACGTCGTGTTTCTTGCATTGTTTTCTTTGCAATGGGTGGACGTTTTTTAACTTTGTCAATACCATTTTCGATGGGGGAGCGTTGCTTCCTCTTCCGACTACCGTTGATGACAGTGCTTGAAGTACCAGTTATAGATGACGACGCCTCGCTATTTAGATGAATCAAAGACCCTCGACCCCGTTTTCTGGGGGCTCTGCCACCGGCAGTGATAGCAGTGGAATTTGAATGCCCGTTCGTTGATCCTGGGGGTCGATTAAACTTGGGAGGTTTCCAGAAACGACCTGAATTATAAGACGACAATATTTAAGATCTTGCTAACGATAAGCTTTTTTATGTGTGATATATAATATTTAAATTGTGCAGTGAGGATATAATAAAAAAAGTGAAAGGATAAGGGCTAACTTTTATTACTTGGAGGGGTCCAGATTAGGCCTTTTTTGTCAACGTTTCGACCTCTTGGGTCTTCTTCAGGACGACGAGGCGTTGAAAAAAGGCCTAATCTGGACCCCTCTAAGTACTAAAAGTGAGCCCTTATCCTTTCACTTTTCCTAGCTTTTTTATGTGTAACGAATAAACCGTACCAATATCGTCCTCGGCAATTTTTCCCTCTTCAATTAACCGTCGCCTACGTGCCATGGCGCACCTAGCAATGGTACTGGCTGCCGTTCTTTTCTTCCTCCCAAAGCGGAGATGAATTTCATAACAGTCGTAGATTGACAATGGTTCGACACCCCTGCAAGTAAAATGTAACGTAAGTTAATAAATTGAAAAATAAAACGTCCGCCTAAGGGTGAAAGTATTTCCACAATACATTATTATTCAATATTATTCTGGCAAAAACACTATTAAATTTACTGTAATAATGTATTCGCAGCCCTCACAGAAGAGAAGAGGGTAACGTTCTTAATGTTTCAGATAATCGTCAAAGTTCAAAGAGGGAATGTATCATCATCTATTTTAGGATCACATCCAGGAGACAAGCTTGAGGAGATATGCTAAAAGAATTCCATTTTAGCCAGAGCTTGGGCTTATGTGCCTGTCGTGTCCGTCCATTAGTATTTCAATAACTCGGAAGTTTCGAGTCGAAACTCGACTATTGTTGAATAAAGCTCAAATTTGGTATATTGCTTGCTAATCGTTCTATATGGAAGAATATGAACTAAAATTGGAAAAATTTTTGGTCTACAGGGACCCCACTGGTGATCCATACCGAGTTTTCAAAATCGAGCCAAAATTTCAAAAACCTATCAGTATAACTTTGCTTAGCCCGAACCAGGATTGATTAGTAAATCCATCTTTATCGCTAGTTTTCTACAAAATTTTGTGCTACCATTTTCCACTAATTCTTGCATTAACTAGCACCAATTCTTCATATTACTTGGTTCCAAATTACCAGTGGAGGTCGCCCCTCCACTGGTAATATGAACTTTATATATTCAGTTCATATGAAAAGAAAAAACTTGTAAAGCTAGGTTATAACACATCAGAGGGGCAGAGTTTCAAATCATTCATTATTTTTGGTAAGGTATACAACAACGCACAAAGAGATACAAGTAAACGAGTAAATTCAGTTGCAAATATTAGTGGAAATTTGTATATCATAGAAAGAATTATTTATATCAGTGGTTCAATGGAAGTGCTCGTTTTCGTTAGGAGGTTGACAATTTCAGAAGAAAAATATTCCACCATGTCTTCAAAAGTTGTTGGAATTAGTGATCACGTTAGGATAATATCAGCTGAAAATATTGTACCAAAAAAATATATTGGCCACTTCAACCAGTCGGGTAAATTAATTAATGTTACAAAACTTGTTAACTCTGTAGAGTTGGAATAAAGCAGTGTTGCAAATTTATTTCAGTATTTGTTGTTGCTATTAATTTTGCTCCGTACATAATGACTTGCCCGAATCTGCGGGCAACAGCGCCACAAATCATTCTCTTAATTAATTAGTTATAATACGCCAGGAGAATTTATGCATAAAACACTCGACATCAAAGCAACGCAGGAATAGACAAACAACTATCTGCAGGAAGTGTCATGTATAAAATTCTTGTCGAAGTCTGCAGAATACTGTTTGTCGAACCGGGTCGACACAATTTTTATGCAGAGAACGACAGAAATATTCTGCAGGAATTATTCTGCAAGGTCAGGCTGTCTAACTCTGCAGGAATAGACACGATTATTTTTGTACGGGAGGCCATACTTGCGGGCTACTGTGCCCCAGACATGGCCCACAAATAAATTCTTTATCGGGTAATAGCTCATAATGAAATAATATGAAGCGAAATTAGTAACATTTTTATGTAAAGTTTCCCTAGGGGGTAACTACCCGTTTGCCCATACCGATTTTTAGAAATTGTCTTAAAAAGATGAAATTCGGTACGGTAATACTTAATGGTTTCGAATGGAAGTTAAAAACGAACAAAGTGGAACCAGAGTAGCCCTAGAGGGTGACCCGTACCGTCTAAAAGTCACTATTTTAAAAGTTGGTAGCTGATATTCGGAACATCGGTCAAACTTGTGTACTAAAGTGAAATGGGAATGTTAGAACGAACGAATTACTTAAGAACCGCAGTAGGACCACTGGTTTGGAAAACGTAGAAGACTAAAAGTTGACATGATTCTACAGGGTTAGAATAGCTTAATAAATATGAAGTAACTTTTAAGATTTTTTTTTGTCAGGAGGACCAGTAGGGTTTTGGAATTAGTTGCAATTTTGCATGCTGGATTATGGGAACATTTTTGACGATTGCGAATAGTAGTTGGTACCGGTCACTTGACAAGCATTTTGGCATTTAGAAGCCGACTCTGTCCCTAACTCGGGCTATATTATACTGCACATTGTAGGTTTTTCTTTGTGTGTCAACTTGGATTTCATTATGACTTTCATTTAGCAGCCATTAGCAAGCTCTATACAAAATTTCGACTTTCTGCTACAATTTTGAAATTTTGGTGCATAATACCCCGCCCACTCCGATGACCTCACCGGTCAACCACTTAACCGATTTCGCCCATCTGTGAACTCTTTCCCTAACTTTGTCCAATATGCACATGGTAAATCAAGTCGGTTGGTCAGTTCGTTCGAGAGTTATCGAAAGACGGACATGACCTAGCCCTGGTTCGGGCTAAAATTTTAACATCAACCCCAGAGATCCGAAAGATTATTAAAAGTTATTGTATTTAGTTGGAATTTGGTAAAAAGGATCAAATTAGGGACATATCAACTGATAAGTGTGCATAGTATGAAGATTTACTTATCCAAGCTGGCTCGGGCTCTGCGTAGGTACAGTGTAGATTTTAACCTGGGTCAGGGCTTATGTAAGCGGTATGTCTGTCTGTCTGTCTGTTTGTAAATAATTAAAAAATTTTGGTGCAAACTGTCAAATAAAAATTTTATAACAAAAATTCTCGGGGGTGGTAATAGTCAAGTCAATTGGGATAAAGCAATTCCTGACTCGGGGTAGATGTAGCCTGCATCACAGAGTTGGTTATTTAAACAAGGGATTTACTGGGGAATAATGTGCCCAAATTAGATGTATGGATAATCGAGGTTTCCGAGAAGGTAAAACTATTCCCCAGTGTAAAATTTATTGAAAATTAAAGTTGAAATTTCGAAGTTTAAAATTAATAGAATTACTTAATTGTTTAAAAAACTATACTTTTACAAAGTAAAAAAATAGAAGGAACTCACCACAAGGTTCCAACGCTCCTGACTTTCCAATTATGCTTTTGAAAGTTGAGGTTAGCGCAATTAAATTCTGTCTCAATGTACCTCAAACTCTTTACTGTAACCTACTCTGCGCAAGTAAGTCCCTATATCCCTATACAACTCCGTAGTTTGCACTGCAGGGTTTCGGACTTTGATCACATGCCAACCCATCATGCTCCAGAGCTTTAAGATATTTACCGACAAACGAAGACTGTGCGTCGAACGCACAGACAGACATAGCGGATACACAAGCCCTAACTCCGGGTTCAGTAGAAAATGAGTTCAAGTTTAATACCTATAGGGATACAGCGCTGTGCTGGGGACTGCATGATCCGGGTAAAATTTGGGATCATCATCGTCGGTCTCATACTCACCCTCTTCAGGGTAGAGAACCAGACCAGTAAAATTAGTGCAATACGGTGTCTTGATAATATCAGTGTCTTTTGTAATTTTCGGTGGGGGTGGTGACGCAGTACCGTCATCGGGTGAGTCGATTTGGGTAAAAAAATCGGCATCATCCTCAAAAGTAGCTGGCGCCTTCTCAACTTTGCACTTACTGGTGGGAGATTTTAGATTACCTCCTTCCGCCTGAGCAATTTTTTCTTGCTCTAATTCCCATTCCAGTTTCATGGCCCGATACCGATTAGCTTCAAAAAGTACTGGATTTTGTAGCGAATTCAGCTCCAAGTTGTGAAGTCTGATTTCATGAGCAAAACAGTAACTTATTTGTATGAACGGCTTTAAACATGTCGGACAGACAAAATGATTTTTTCCTTTGTGACGCTCGCGGTGAAGGAGGAATAAATTCTTGTCCTTGTATACCGATGCCGGTCCATCGGGACAGCGTAAACAACGCATTTCTCCTGTTAAAAATACATAATTTTAGTGTTCCCTATAGTAAGTGCACACTACTTATTACTACATAACTATATAGGCATATCCTCCTGATATTGGCTGATATGTGTTTTATTAATGAAACAATCAATCACACAAGGGAGGAAGTAGATAGAAATCAATCAATATACGTGTACAAGACACTACAAGAAGTGAGAAAGTAGATATTGCAGTCATTCAATGAATGCACAATAAGTGAGGAAGTAGATAATCTAACGTTCAAGTAAATGAATGTTAATTATAAGTACATTTTAATTTTGGCGTAAAAGTTGTGCATATTTGTGATATGTAAGCATCACACCGAAATTTGTGGCCAATGATGTTTAATTCAGAGCACAGGTAAGTCAAAATAAAAATAAATATTTAATACATGTGATTTTAAAAGATAGTTATCTATTTAAAGCGGAATCAAGAGTTGCCAACTCTGAGTTGGGGTAATATCGAGTGCTTGAGATGCTCTTTGACTTAACTCACCAGCTATATCGTCTTCACTATCATCGTCCAGCGTGATAACTTGGACCTCTGGAGCAAATCCATTCAACCCGTTGACCCAGCTGCTATACGCAATAGTATCTTGATCGTCAGGATCTGAGTCATCATCAGAGTCGGAATCCATGTATGGAAAAGTTCCTGGAAGATCGTCAGAACATTCAGAACCGTATGAGTCGGAACCAGTATCACCGCTTTCGCCTTCGTCCCCATCAGAAGAGTTCGCAGAAGACTCGCTGCCTGGAAAGATCAAAAAAGGTATTATTTATTAATTAACTATTAGTACTTTACCCGTTACAGTTAAATAATTATTTGGTAACAATATTATTAAAATGCATGGTAGTTTTAAATATAATAAATTTCGTTAGGTTTTTTTTTCCTGCTGGTGCCAAAAATTGAAGCCAATATTGAACTGTAATACTAAGTCGCTGGAGGAAGAAAGGTGTGTGTATCGTCGTCCCCCGCGGTCATTTGCAGTCTTCATGTCTTTAATGAAGGGTAACCACTCCTGTCCCCATACACTCAACGTCTCAATTATAACAGGTATAATAAAAATGAGTAGGAGAAATTTCTAAATGTTAATTTCTTTCATTTTATCTTTTTTTTCTTGGTTGCGGACTGTGTTGGGAAGATAACTAGGGGGTTAAAATTAATTAAACACAATGTATGTATTATCTTATATGTAAAACTACCATGTATTTTAATGACATTGTTAACAATTATTTGATTGTATTCATTAATTAAAAAAATAAATTACATTCTTTTCATTAGAAAAATACTTGTCAAATTCATAATTATAGTCGTAGAAGAAAGAAAAAATACAAATTAATGAACTTCAGCTAGTACAAAAATTCAGGTAAATTACAAAACAACGCTGGAGGCTGGACTATTCTTAACTTGGAGAACAAGATACAATATAGATATTTATTTGTTATTCCTTACCAGAAGATGAGGAATATTCGCATTCAAATTCTTCATCCCCCTCATCATCACTGTACAATGTTAGTTCTTGACGCTGGAAAGTTTGCAAGAAGTCTTCCCACAGCTTATCTTCTTCCAACTCCTCATCCAGGTGCGTGTTAGTATCCGTCTCCATCTCCACAGACAAAGATTAAATCACAGATGACAGACCGAAGTGAGGGACTACACTACAGCATACAGAAAGAGTATAGATTCCAGATAATAGAACCACAATTTATTGCCAACAAAACAAGCCGTATATTACCAATTAAAACATTCCACGAAGTGAGGGACTGACTTAACAGCATAAAGACTATAGATTCAAGATAATAGAACCACAATTTAGTAAACAAAACAAGCCGTATATTAACAATTAAGACATTCGGAATGTCACATTCCACACATGTGAATTCATTTTAATTATAAAGATTAATTTACCTGTGAGTTGTCCGAATAGACATCAATTTTGAACTGAACGATGTCTCTCCATGAGAATTACGAGAATTTAATGTTCAATGTTATTGTTTACGTTAATAAATCACGACTCTAAAAAAATTATAAATGTGTCAAATTATAAACTGTCCAAAAACCAGTCCGTCCCAACCCCCCCACGGGTATCCCCCTGCTCCCCTAAACCAACTAATTGTAACAATCACCACCTTATTTAAAATTTCATTTATACAACGTCGAGAAAACAAATCTCGTCAAATTTAAAAATCTTTCCTCACAGAATTTATGTACTACTCCTCTCTCAGCAGTTTTTGAGAAAGTTCCCTCTCTCACTTTGATTCGTTCACCACGCCACTAACGAACCCGCTCGCGTTTGGTTGGCGTCATCCCATCAAAGGAAAAAACGTACAGGCAAGCCAGCCAGCAGTTTTAGTGAACCTAAAAATCCTATCGGGGAGCATCCATATATTACGTCGTCAAATAGCTAGGAGTGTGGTTTTATTTCGACTATCTTACTCGTGTTAAGCTTATCATAGGGAAGGGGTGTGGGCTAGACTTTAGTTAACCGAGGGTCTCCGATTGGGTAATGTGATACGTCATTTTGTTCGTCTCGGCGAGCTGAACAAGAATATCCAAGCGCGAAAGCGCGGAAACGTCTAGTTCAAAAGTTATGGCGGGGTATAGTTTGAAATTTTTATTGCATTTTTGGACGTTTCGGAGAATTCTAAGACTTTGTCTCACTTTCCCCCGTGGCGGGAAATTTTTTGGGGCGAAATGAGATTCTTGGGGTAACGTGAGATTTCATGTTTTTATTGTAGAAATCGATTTCTAATCATTTTCCTCCATGGCGGGAACTTTTTGGAGTGAAATGAGATTTTTGGGGTATCGTGAGATTTGCATTTTTTAGCGGGGCGGGTCATCCAACGTGTTTACGACCAACCCGGAGCCCCGCACTTTTAGACCGCGAGCGAAGCGAGCCTAGAAAGTGGGCAAGCGGGGGCCCCGCACGTTTAGACCGCGAGCCTAGAAAGTGCGAAAGTGGGGGCCCCGCACTGTTACTAATTGTCTAATATTGGGGTATTGTTCGTATTTTAGCGAGCGAAGCGAGCAGGTTAGGTTAGATTAGGTATGCGGAAAGTGCTACCTAGGAGAGCTACCTAGAAGTGCTACCTAGAAGAGCTAGCTAGTAGTGCTACCTAGGAGATCTAGCTAGAAGTGCTACCTAGAAGAGCTAGCTAGTAGTGCTACCTAGAAGAGCTAGCTAGTAGTGCTACCTAGGAGATCTAGCTAGAAGTGCTACCTAGAAGAGCTAGCTAGTAGTGCTACCTAGAAGAGCTAGCTAGTAGTGCTACCTAGGAGAGCTAGCTAGTAGTGCTAACTAGGAGAGCTAGCTAGTAGTGCTACCTAGAAGAGCTACCCAGGAGAGCTAGCTAGAACGGTGTTGGGTGGTCCCGCCCCGCCAAAAAAACGCAAATCTCACGTTACCCCAAGAATCTCATTTCGCCCCAAAAATTTTCCCGCCACGGAGGAAAGTGAGACAAAGTCTTAGAATTCTCCGAAACGTCCAAAAATGCAATAAAAATTTCAAACTTTAACCCGCCATAACTTTTGAACGGGACGTTTCCGCGCTTTCGCGCTTGGATATTCTTATTCAGCTCGCCGAGACGAACAAAATGACGTATCACATTACCCCATCGGAGACCCTCGGTTAACTAAAATTTTTCCCCGCATTTATTTTTTATTCATAAATCGAGTATTAAATAATTCATTTCGACGTGAAATTATTTAATACTCGATTTATAAATAAATAAATCGAGTATTGTATAATTTATTTTGACGTGAAAATCACTCAATTTCCCAAATTCCAATCACAATTGAATGATTTTCACGTCGAAATAAATTATATCGGGTATTAAATAATTTAGAAAACCTTACGCAGTTCGGCTAATGTACTCGTACATTATTTTGAACTCTTACAGCAGCAAACGGAACAGAAAAAATTTGCATTTTTTCGATAACGTAATATATGGACGTTCCCTCTTCAACTTTGTAAAACATCCAGCAAGCGACCGACCGAACGGACCGAGCGAGAATCTCCCTCTCTCTCTCTTTCTCCCTCGTTCACTCTGATCTCATCCACCACTCTGAACACACTGCCAACCAACACTCTCTCAAAAATTATTATTTTCTTCACCCGAAAAAATGGTATGTTCAAAAAATTTGGAAAATTTCGTAGCAAATTTTGTCGAAAAAGTGTGCCTGAGTATTTTTTCGACTAAATTTCTAGGCAGGAGGTAAAGCTGGAAAGGATTCAGGAAAGGCGAAAGCTAAAGCGGTTTCCCGGTCGGCGAGAGCAGGACTTCAGGTAAAGTAAAAATAATAAGTAAAAATAGGTGTTGATAAGGTGGATATAATTTTTGTGAGGGGGTGGTTAAATATTTTTAGTGGTGGATATGTTATTTATTTTTTGTTTATAGTTCCCCGTGGGCAGGATCCATCGCCACTTGAAGAACAGGACGACAAGCCATGGACGTGTCGGAGCAACGGCGGCGGTTTACAGTGCCGCTATTTTGGAGTATTTGACCGCTGAGGTTAGTAAAACATTTTTTAAAACTAGTTTTGCGTTTGGCGTAGTAGTAATAGTAAGTAGGTTAGATAAGGGGTTATCATCAGGATGAAAAGTTTAGCTTATCATGGTGTTATCATTAATATTATACCTATCGCATTTCATTCATCGTCACCTTAACCATCCAGCGTCATCATTATCAATCGACGGCACCGAGTTTCGTTTTATTTAGGAGGGAATGGAGCAGAGATTTTAGATAAGCGATTTCCGTAGTTGTGAGTGAGTGAACGAGCGAGCTTTCTGCTTTACAAAGTTTATGATGACGAAACGGAGGGAAAGAATTTCTAAGTTGTTGGTGTTATAAAGTGAAGAAGGGGTAACGTTCCTGTGCCGGCCTGGGAACTTTGGGAGGGAGAAAAGAGGGAAGCCACCAAGTAGTCGGCAGTGCAGCAATGGTGGTGGTGATGGTGAACCTAAAAAAAGGAAAGCATTTTGTTCGTTCGTTAATATTTCGTGATGATGGTGGTGGGTTGGATTGGAGGGAAAGATTTCATTAACATTGCACTGCACCGGTTCATAGGAGGATTCAGATATCTCGCAGTGAGTCAAGGAAGTGTTACACGCACTCTTCGGAAAAGGGTGTAATAGCTTAGCTTTGTGTATGTATGTATATGACGGGAAAGTGTGGAAAAGGGTCCGCTTTTCAGGGAAAAGTATAAAAATAAACAACAAACAAAGCCTCCAAGTGTCCGCTTTAAAGCTATTTAACCTGGCGCCGGATGGATACCTTTCGATATATTTAGGCATGAAGGGGAAAAATTCCAGTGTATAAATCCATAATTCATTGCATGCTGTATGAAAAAAAATATGTGCGGCATATTTGGGCGGATGGAATGCATAATCATATTTAGCAGCCAAATCCTTCCATAGTTTAACCTTGACTTAAACCTTCTGTCTTTTCTTTTCTTGCATTCTAAATAGGTCTTGGAATTGGCTGGAAATGCCTCCAAGGACTTGAAAGTGAAGCGTATCACTCCCAGACATTTGCAACTTGCCATCCGAGGAGATGAAGAGCTGGATTCCCTCATTAAAGCAACCATTGCCGGAGGAGGTAACCTAAAATTTTACTTATCTTTATCCATATAATTTCCATACTCTTAAATTTTCCTCCTATTTTCAGGTGTCATTCCACATATTCACAAATCTCTCATTGGCAAGAAGGGTGGAGCCGGAGGGCCAGGTCAAAAACCAACTTAAGGAGGAATTATATGAAAAATTGTGTCTGTAATAATGTCCTCATTCTTTTTTACCAAGACTGGTTGGGTTTCTTCTATGCAGTTTAGATTAATGTTTTAATTTAAAAATTTTTATAAAAGTGTGAAATAATTTCTTGTTACAAATATATTTATTCATCGAATAAATCTACAAAATCAAAGAAAATAAGTTGAATAAATAAACTATAATGTTTCCTGTAAATACTTATATAAGAACCAATGGATTTCATTTACATGAAAAAAAGTATCATTGCATAAATTCTAAAATTGCGTCTAAAATGAGTGATGATATAACACGATCATTTTACAAATAATTATTGTTTTTGTAGAATTTCCTCTATTGGCGATAGTCTAATAGATACTTTTTGAGTGGTCTTTCTTGGCAAGTGAATACCTACTTGCACATCTAAAATTTTATGCATCACAACCTTGCGTGGTCACTTTACAGCAATAACAACAAGGCAGACAAATTTGAGAAAGTAGACATCATCACTCACTCGCTACGTCAATATTCTCTTCATCTTCAAATCTTCAATAATATTTTTTGTATGCACTTTTTAAAGAAAAATTACAAACTTCCGCAAAATTCAGTCTTCTTCCTGTGTGTATCACTCACATTAGATCGAGCAAAAATTATGCTTCATTTCATTTCTGATTGTCGAAGTGTGACCACGCATCATTTTCATTTTTATACAACTCCAGATCTCACCCACGAATAGGAATCATGTCACAAAAATATTTGGTCATTCTTCTAATCGGCGTTACCATCATCGCTTTTGCAGACTCGAAACGGTTCGGGCTTCGGAATCCGCTCCTCCTCAACAATCAGACCCCGTTCGTCCTCCTCTATGAACACGAATCTTTCAGAGGTAATTATATTTAATTTAAGTTATTAATTATTTTTAAGAATAATTAAATAATTACAAAATTTCTTAGGCAAGGAACATGTCCAATTTCTCGGAAAGACGTGCACCACTCTTGCTCCGCAGTACGCCAACTGGACCTCGTCCATAGATTCGCATCGAAGCTGCGTCTCTGTCTGCCAAGACACCAATTGTGAAGGGCCGTGTCGAAAAGTGTTCTCAAATCAAGGAATCAGTCGGTTAAGTCAGACCGGATTCAATGACAATATCCAATCTTTGATTAGTTGCTATTTCTGATTTCTTGTCGATCTCGATTATTTTATTTGGGTAATAAATAAATATGTCCTTGGTGGAGGTGGTAATACGGTAATAAGTATTTTTATCAGAGCCTCATGCAATTTTATTTAATTTGCATTTATTAATACAATAAGAGAAATATCATAAAAGTTGATTTTCTATTGCTTAATTACGTCGGGCGAATAGAATAATACAAGAATAATTAATTATCGAAATAAATAATCAATAATGAAAACTTATGCGAAATTAGTAGAGTCGAATTCAGCCCATTCCAAGGGTAAGGATTCCGGTGGAGTGCGAAACGAAGTTGTAGAAGAAGCAGAATCTATACGAAATAATAATTACACAGTTAGATAAAGTTTAAACTTTGCAGAACTGCATTGTAGATAGATTTTTAACTAAATTCAATTACCTCCACTCGGACCCAACTTCACCGACTCTGGTGTTTTGGCGTCCATGACTATTTGGGATGGGAGATTGAAACCAAATGAAAATACTGGCCGCTCCGGAGATACGACGGCAGGTTCTGATTTGACGACGCTGCCAGGTTTCGAGGCGGTGCAGGAGAGACACTTGTCCGAGTTGGCAGGGTTGTTGCTGTAACAGCCATCACAATCCCAACTTCCTTCTGGTTTCTTGAACAATTCGGAGAGAGGTCTTTGATCACCGATAACGGGGGCAGCATCTTGACCCGATGGTCTGGCAGGAGAAGAGGATGGAGATGTGTTTGACACTAGGTCCACCATTTCTTCAAATTTTTGTTTAAACTCCGCACACTAGAAACAAGAATAAGATCCGAGTTAATTGACAATTTTGTATGCATCAAAATGTGTTTTTCATTTAATCACTCACCATGTCTTCCTGGCCAAATTTGCATGTGAATATCTCAGGTCTCGCTTCTTGTTCGGCGTGATCGACAGCAGTCCACCTGACGACCTTCTGACTCTGATAAAAGTCAATTTTCATATCTCCGGTGAGTCGATGATTGCAGGCCAATTTTCCCACTTTCTCTCTCCACATCACCACGCGCACAGAGCTTGGTTTGTCATTGTCCTGCAGAATTTTAATGTTTCCAACACCACGTTCCTTCCATTCCTTCACAGATGAGTCGTATCGATAGATTTTGGCACGATGCTCAAACACGGCCGTCTCGTTCTCATCTCCCAACTTGACCTCAACAAGAGGTGGAAGTTCAATCACTGGAGTGAACTCGGCCGTGCAGACATATCCTTCCGCATCTTCGCCTTCAGAAGTGGTTCTTGTACGCTCCTTCCCTTCCCCATCTTTCTCCACGGCTGTGGAAGGCGTCAGATTTCCGAAGAGGGGCTGACCAGCATCGAAACCCTTAAAGTCGACAGGTTTACTGAAAGCTTGGGTGGATGCGGCGGCTGCGAGATCGCCAAATCCTCCTCCAGCAGAGAATGAAAACTTCTCAAAGGGATTCACCTTCAATGGGTCGTCGGATTTTTGTGGCGTAGATGTCGAATCTGCGAGGATTACAATAATAAATTAAATAAATCATTCAAATAGAATGAGGACCAAATAATAATGAAAAATGAGAGCTGTGACTGCTTACCACCAGTTTTCGGAGTTTGCTCACCACCTCCAACTTTCAGACCTGGTGGTGTCTTGAATGCATCACCACCAAAAATTGAATTATTTCCGAACCCTTTAAACTCTGGTGTTTTGTACTCCGTGACTGTTTGGGCTGGGAGATTGAAGCCAAACGAAAATGCAGGTGTTGTTTCTGGAGCCACGACGGACGGTTCTGGGTCTGATTTGACGACGCTTCCTCCAGGCTTCGACGCGGTGCAGGAGAGACACTGGTCCGCGTTGGAAGGGTTATTGCAGTAACAACCATCACAATCCCAACTACCTTCTGGTTTCTTGAACACTTCAGAGAGAGGTTTCTGATCAGTCACAACGGGGGCAGCATCTTGACCCGATGGTTTGACAGAAGAAGAGGATGGAGATGTACTTGACACTAGGTCCACCATTTCTTCAAATTTTTGTTTAAACTCTGCACACTAGAAACCAAAAAGAAAAGATTCGAGTTGTTTTAGTTAGTTATATATTTGTTGCTTGTTTTAGCTATGTTCTCATTAAATTGATAATGTAGTTAAATATCATAATTTACCATGCTTTCTTCGCCAAATTTGCATGTGAATATCTCAGGTCTCGCTTCTTGTTCGGCGTGGTCAACAGCAGTCCACCTGACGACCTTCTGGCTTTGATAAAAGTCAATTTTCATATCTCCGGTGAGTCGATGATTGCAGGCCAATTTTCCCACTTTCTCCCTCCACATCACTACTCGCACCGAGCTTGGTTTGTCATTGTCCTGCAGAATTTTAATGTTCCCTACACCTCGTTCCTTCCATTCCTTCACAGATGAGTCGAATCGGTAGATTTTGGCACGATGCTCGAACACGGCCGTCTCGTTCTCATCTCCCAACTTGACCTCGACAAGGGGTGGAAGGTCAATTACTGGAGTGAACTCGGCCGTGCAGACATATCCTTCGGCATCTTCACCTTCTGAAACCCTCCGAGGTTTGGTAACATCTGCCGCTGGTGAATTTGTCGAAGAAGTGGAATTCATATTTCCAAACAAAGTTCCACCACTTACAAACCCTTTAAAGTCTATTGGTTTACTGAAAGCTTGACTGGATCCGATCGCAGCGAGATCTCCAAATCCAGGCGAAGAAGAGAATGAAAATTTTTCGAAAGGATTAACCTTCACTGGGTCGTTCAATTTTTGTGGAGTAGAAGTAGAATCTAATAATAATAGAAAATACAATTTATTGAGTCAGCCCGACTGTGGAGAGACATAATTAATTAGCAATGAGTGTCATAACTACATACTTACCATCAGTTTTCGGAGTTTGCTCACCACCTCCAACTTTCAGACTGGGTGGGGTTTTGAACGAATCAGCACCAAACATATTATTTTCAAATCCTTTAAACTCTGGCGTTTTAGTGTCCGTGACTGTTTTGGCTGGGAGACTGAAACCAAACGAAAATGCGGGTGTTTCTGGAGCTATGACGGCGGGTTCTGATTTGACGACGCTGCCAGGTTTCGAGGTGGTGCAGGAGAGACACTTATCCGTATTGGGAGGGTTGTTGCTGTAGCAGCCATCACAATCCCAACTACCTTCTGGTTTCTTGAACACTTCGGAGAGCGGTCTTTGATCAGCCACAACTGGGGCAGTGTCTTGACCCGATGGTCTGGCAGGAGAAGAGGATGGAGATGTGTTTGACACTAGGTCCACCATTTCTTCGAACTTTCGTTTAAACTCTGCACACTAGAAATTAGAAAAAAACGGTTGATTTATTTGATTATAACTGATGTGTTTTCTATTTCATCACTCACCATCTCTTCTTGACCAAATTTGCATGTGAATATCTCAGGTCTCGCTTCTTGCTCGGCGTGGTCCACAGCAGTCCACCTGACGACCTTCTGACTCTGATAAAAGTCAATTTTCATATCTCCGGTGAGTCGATGATTGCAGGCCAATTTTCCCACTTTCTCCCTCCACATCACTACTCGCACAGAGCTAGGCTTGTCATTGTCCTGCAGAATTTTAATGTTTCCAACACCACGTTCCTTCCATTCCTTCACAGATGAGTCGTATCGGTAGATTTTGGCACGATGCTCAAATACGGCCGTCTCGTTTTCATCTCCCAATTTGACCTCAACAAGGGGTGGAAGGTCAATCACTGGAGTGAACTCGGCCGTGCAGACATATCCTTCCGCATCTTCGCCTTCGGAAATCCTCCTAGGTTTGATTGGCTCCGCTGCTGGTGATTTTGTTGGCGTAGTCGAGCCCATATTTCCAAACAGAGCTCCACCACTTCCAAATCCTTTGAAGTCTATTGGCTTGCTAAAAGCTTGGGTGGATCCGGTCGCAGCCAGATCTCCAAATCCAGGGGAAGAAGAGAATGAAAACTTTTCAAATGCCTGCAATTTTGGTGGCTCGTCAGTTTTTTTGGGAGGAGAATCAGCAGCATCTAGGAAATAAAATACCAATATTTAATAAACAGTTATTAACTATTTATTTACAGATGTTAAAAATAGTTACCAGGAGTTGTATATTTCTCATCAGGTTTCAGGGAGGGTGGAGTTTTGAATGAATCAAAAATGGGAAGCTTGTTATCACCAAATCCTCCAAATCCCTTGAATTCTGGTGCCTTGGTCTCAATTTTAGGATAAATCGAAGTAGCTGCCGTGGGTGGTGGGATGTTCATGTTGCTCATACCGAAGGAGAACAGAGGAGGAGCAAGAATAGCTGGCGGAGGGGCAGAAATAATAGCCGAAGGAGGAGGAGCAGCAGGTACAACTGCAGGAATTGATGATGGTTGTGACTTTACCACAGTGGGGTTCGTGGCTGCTTTAGCCTTCGGTTTAGTCGTCGCAGCAGCAACCACTGCCGCCGCATTACTTGCCGTGATGGCTTGAAGGTCGTGAATTTCCTGTCTTGCTTTACGAACGTCGCCATGCAGTGCTGCAATCTCTTCGGATACGTTCCCCGTCAAAGAAAGAGATTGGAGCTGACTCGTCACGCTCCCCACTTTACTGTGAATTTCTTTAATTTCTCCCGAGAGAGAAATCTTGATGTTGTTGATAGCTGAGAGAAGTTGCACATTCTGATCCGCGATGCGATCCATCACGTCGTCACACTTTTTCTCTAGGTAGGACATTTGCAACATCATCCTCTCCGGGGATGGCTGGGGACACGATGTTCCCATCCCGATGCGCTGCTTGGGCGTTTTTAACGAAGATTGAGGTGAATTTGCCATCCTGGAGTTGTACGTGGGTTGGAAATTGGGCTGGGGTCTGAGAAACACAATTATTATTATCATTATTAGACACTTTAGTTAGCTAATTACTAATTAGTTAACAACTCTTACTCACCTGCCTGCTGAACCGTTCCCATTAATCGGGCTCTTCCCCAGTGGCGTGGGCATTGTTCCACCCCCCGTTGACGGGACAAAACTCCGACTAATCAGCGTACTCAAAAAGGCTCGCCCACCACCACCATTGTTATAAGAACCGGGCATGTCGCTTCCATTGTTGAAGTTAATCCTACCGTTTGAATATGAGCTTCCGTTCAGCGAGGTATCCATTTCTGCCGTTTTTTGCAAATCAAACCAACTCTGACGGGATTCGTGCGATTCACTTGGTCCACTTCCTTGAGCCAGTAGGTCGCAAACTACAAGTAAAAAAGAACGTCATTCACAATCCTCCAATTATTTATTATCAGTTAAATTAAATATTTAAATTTCCATACTTCGATTCAAAGTTTCCCGATTTTGTATTTGTTTATACGACTCTTTATAAGATTCCAACGCTTTCTCTTCCTCGCTAAGTTCCCAGTGGATCTAGGTTATCAATAATTAATTACATACTTAACAAATATAATCATTATCAAATCAGTAGTCAGTCAATCACTCACATCGCCCAGCAATCTAAATCCTTCTCCCGAATTTGGATTTCCTTTGAGAAAAGTTTCCAAATGTCTCTTCGCTGATTCAAACTCTTTAATCGATGCGTACAATTTTGCGATGGTGAAGCACTTTTGGACTCTCTAGTTAACGGAGAACGACACGATCAATAAATATGGATCGATAATGGATCGATCGATAGCATATTTTTAAAATAAACTACTAACCTCAGTATCGCTATGAACCTTTGCAAGCAAGTCTCTCACATGGGTGTCCACTTCTCGTTTCGTTGTAAACATAGTCACCTCCTCGGAAACGTTGTTGTCCCGATTAAGCAGTTATCATCAATTCAATGAGCAAGATGATGAATCAACCAACTCGTGGTGGCTGTCATAAAAAATATTATTACATTTAACACAACCCAAATTAGACTATAATAAATGATAACTTAATCTTCATCGTTATTATCTTCCTGAGAAAGGGGTGAGAAAAACGTTGGAGTGAGAGGAAGACTAACGTTTAACTTGTGTATTGAAAGACGACGACCGACAAAAACGTACGTAAATAGTAAAAAAAAACTTACCCGTCCTAACCTTCTTGATGGTCCCTTATCCCGATAAGCTTCACCTTATCTTATCTTATCCAATGAGCAGATTGAAATCAAACTTTTACAAACTATTTTTGCAACGCAAAAGAAGAATATCTTGAAGAAGATCAGTCTTCCTTCGCACGGAAAGAGAGATGAGATTGAGAAGCAGATGCAGCAGATGCCCAACGTCCTCACAGATTCATCCCGCGGTTCGAGACTCTTCTTCGTCGAGAGGTGGCACAGCCCAGCGCCTTCCAACACCAACGGCTCTTATAATCTCAAAATCTCATCTTTTTTAGAAATTATGATAACATTGAATGGTTATCAATATCTGCTTATCGTGATGATTATCTTAAAGCAATTAATCAATTAATTAATTAATCTGGCCAATTATCACTAATTTTTTGTACCAGTTACCTGCGGAAGATGTAAAAAAAATGTCATCCACAAACAGCTCTCATCTCAAAGTCTCATCTTTTTTTAGAAATTGTGATAACACTGAATGCTTATCAATATTAACTTATCTTACAGCGCTTAGTTAATTAATTAATTACTCTATCCAATTATCACTAACTTTGGCTACTATTTACCTGCGGATGATGTCGAAAAATCTCATCTTCATCTTGAATATTAGTGAAATGTCTCAATTTTTCTACTCATTTCGTAATTATTTATTTCAGTTTGATAACACCAATAATGCATTATCAACACAAGTTTTTAATAGCAAAATAAATAAATAAATGTGGCATTAAATAGCATTTTAAATTATTAATGAATGTAAAAAAATCTCAAAAAACTGTTTAAAAAATCTCACATTCATCTTGAATATTCTTGAAATGTCTCAATTTTTCTACTCATTTCATTTCATAATTATTTATTTCAATGCATTATCAATCATCACAATTTTTTAATAGCTAAATGAATAAATAAATAAATATAGGCGCATCAATTATTATTTGTAATTATTAATGAATGTAAACAAGTTGAGACGCATTTCCCCATAGGTTCGACGTGAGGGAGGGGGCATAACACCACACTGCTTTCCAATCCTTGCCACCCACGGTGAGATGAACTTCGGCCTTTAGTTGTCTTTGGTCGGCCCCAGTTGTTGTCTCTTGACTGACGGAAGAATCTATAATAATAATTCATGGAATTTGCAATGGAATGGAATGGAATTAATGGAATTCTAAATCTAAATTCTAAATTGGTTTAATTACAAAAATTTAATTTAGCACGAAATAAATAAATTGTCCTTACCGAGGAACCTTTTCGACCCGTTCTTCATCTCGATCGCCCACTGAAATCCGTGCGAATAAAAGTATGCATTTGCCCTGCAGACGAACGTTATCGTGTCGCCGACATTCAGCGTGCGCACTACGGAAGAAATCTCGATGGTTCGGAGGGGCTCAAGGTCATCCGACTCGGTCACTGTTAAGGTAAAATTTATAAATTAATTAGAATTTACTGGTGTGAAATGAAATTACAAATTGCATACAAATTGTAGAATTCCTAGTTAGAAAATATGTCAACGATTCATCCATTTCGTTATTATTAACTTCTTCCTGCCCCACTTTGTCACGACATTCAACGAATCCGTGTCGCTTATCGTTCCAAACTTTGAGCTCGGTGCAACCCTCGCCACATTCGACGGGGACGGTGACAAAGTTGTTGTTCTCTCGGTGGTGACCATGCTTCTTGTTCTTTTTGTGGTGGTGGTGGTGATGATACTGGTTTTCTGGATCTTTCTGCAAATGCATTTCAGGGTCGTCCTGTAACCAAGATTTATACGATTAGTTTAAGTGAGTTGGATTGATTAAGGGATCAGATAAAAATATATATTTGACCTCCATGAAACGCTTCTTTAATCTGCACGCGTTCGGATTTGAGCATTCTACAGCAAATAAAGATGGAGGTATTTTCGAAGTGGGGGACACGCATTTGAAAATGTTTAGTTTCCTGTCCACCCAGAGTCCGTATTTCCCTAGAAGAAACGTGATAACATGTTATCAATCACTATCATAACATAAGAGAACTTTTATCTTATAGACATTGTGCTAATTAACCACCTTGATAAGCATACCGCCAAGTGTGCACGACCACTTTATCTTTCGCCCTGATGACATTTACCACCCCGGAGGCACCCTTGGACAACGCGGCAATTTCAAAGGTTCCCACAAACGCCCGATTTCCTTCTGGCTTGGCGAAAACGCCGGAATAAAAGTTCCCTGCCGACTTATTCTCGACTTCAAGCTCTTCTACTGACTCCCACACGAAGCGAAACGGTGGAGATCCGTACACCGTTTCTTGAGGTGGATTAAACACGTGGGCTGCAAGAAAGCAGAAGCAGAAGAAGGCGTCATTATTATAAGAGAAAGGTTATTTCGAATTTTTGTAGGTTTACATTTTTTCAAAAAAAATTATGACTTAAATGAATTACTTACGCGGAGCCGGATTAACATGATAAGTGACCATATCGGTATCATCCTCTACATTTGTGCTACTCGTGCAAGCATAAGTTCCCAAAGGATCCGAGATTTCATCCAGATTCAGAGAAAATCCGAGTTTCAGGTCGTAATTCGTGTAATCCGTAACGTCCGATATTGTTCCCTATTTAAATTAATTGCATACTTGATTAACGCAATTAAAACCAATTAATTGAAGTAATTGCTCACATTCGGATTCTGGTGGAACAAATAGACGTCCGCGTTCGGGTTGTTAATTATGCAGGGAATATTAAACTTTTTCTTGTTAGGTGACAACGTCAAGTTCTTGGTCTTTCCTCGCTCGACGAAAAATGGGCGTCCCGTACCTATCAATTTTCAGACACGTAAAAATTAGCAGCGACGAAGATGCAAATTAAAATTATTAATTGATTCGTACAATAAATATCTGCGGGATAACGTAACGTCTCATCCACACCGTCCCCAAGGCAGGACACAATCCCAGACTCGATATCGGTCCTGATAGCGACACACCCTGGACCACAATCCTCCTCCACTAGAGACTTCCGTTTAGACCCTTTCCTCCTCTTCATACAATTCAGAAACACATTTTAGTTGACATTGCTTGGGCGTCAATGCATTTTTCTCGAATAATTTTCCTACCTTTTCTGACATCCCTTCATCAACTGGACACCCATCGTCCGTCAGTTTAGTCAAGGTGAGCTTCGGCTTGGTCGTTCCGGTGGCGGATTTGCAACTAAATATTTTCTTGCTTCCTTCTTCCCTTTGACTTAATCCTTTCTCAGCAAATGCGGTGTCATCTGGAGAGGATGAAATAATTAATTATTATTTATTTAAAGATGTAATTTTATTTAGTAATTTACTCACTGATCACAACAAATTTCCACGTATGGACGAGTATCTTGTTATCACTGGCGACATAGGGGACGGAAATCTGCCCAGATTCGCCCTCCCGGAGATTGAACACTTCGAAAGAATGGATCCCATAGTCATCAAAATGACCAGCTTTGTGCAGCTTCCACGTTCCGGGGGCCAAGGTGTGGTTCACCTCGGCCCAGTTTGAATAGTCGGTCGACCTCGTCTGCCACTTGACGAAGAAAGGCACCCTCGTGTACAGTGTGGACGATTCCGGTGGGTAGAACTTATCCGCTGTGAAAAAAAATAACAATTTGAAAAAAAAACTTTTCTTCGAAATTTTACAAATTAGATTTGAAAAAATCTTAACCAGGTCTCGGTAGCAGGATTACTTCCAAAATGGTTTCTTGCTCTTCTGGCTCCCCTCCAAGTAACGACATTTGACCTGGTCTGACCGGATGTCTACTCAGGGCCGCATTTGCTGCAGCTGCCGCCTCCAAAAAGGTTCCATTGCATGACGCTTCCGGTCCTAGCATAACTTTTTTAATGACGCAGCCCATGCTGTTCATAATGTTCATGGTTTGAGGGAGGAAGTTTGGTGATAGGATGGCGCCAGCAGCTCCGCCGCCGCCGCCTCCACTTCCTCCTCCAGGACGTCTCTTGTTCTTGTTCTTTTTCTGCCCAGAAGACTCTTCTTCGAGTGAGGCGTCTTTCTCAGTCTGTTTTTCTTTATTTTCCGAGGAGGATAATTCTCCCATTTCTTCCGACGATGTGGGAGCAAAGGGTCGGATCGTGGGGCGAAGGCGTTGTCCCAACTTATTCACAGAGTTGATCAGACTGGGAATGACTTTGATCCGGTTGAGGTGCTGATATTGGGATAGTGGTGATGCCGATGGGTAGACTGGGGGAGGTATAGAGTCATAGTGTTCTTGTTGTAATACAGGGGTCAAAGGTGGCCAAAAGTAGTCTTTACTGGGTTGTGGGTCCTCCTGTTCTGTGGACGAAGAAGATATCGTCGTCGTCGTCCCTCCATTTTTTTCGGGTGTTAAAGTCTGTAATTAATTGTGAAATTAATTCGGTTGGCTGATTATGTTAATTAATTAAACGTATACCACGTTGTTCAACTCGGACTCATTATTCTGCACCGTGATTGACACGGGCAGCGCAATCATTGCGGGTCTTATCATCCCTGGTGGTTGTTGGTGATAAGAGGGCCGATTATTGTACGAGGAGTGGGGATGAAGTTGCAAATTTGGTGGGGGTGGTCCCCTCCTGAAAGGACCCAAGAGTGGTTTAGGCCTTAATCTTAGATAAGGCCCGCCTCCATGTGGATGGTGGTGAGGGTGTGGTCGTCCACCCCTGCGGCTGAATTGGTTATTATTCCCTCCACCAAGAGAGACTCGTCGTCTCTTTAAGTAAACTGGCCCATTTTTATTTTTTCCTCCCCTCCGCCGGAGTCGATTTCGTCGCTCAATTTCAGACTCGGAGTAGGTTATAGAAACCTCTTCCGGATCGATAAGTGGCATCCCTATAATATTTTTTTTATAAGTAAAGATAACCTGTTATCTACATATATTTATATCTTTACCATATTCCGCCGCAATTTCTTCACTCGTCGGAAATGCAGAGAATCCCGGTGACGTTGACGTTTCTACTTGTTGCACTGCGTAGCGTCTAACTCGCACTTTTCGGGCATCCGACTCGTCTTTTTCGTCTTCTTCGTCACCGTAAATTTTCTTCTTCTTGAGGTTCGTCTCTTTTTTGTCAACTTTGCAAACGTAGTGTCCATAAATTTCTGGGGAGAGTTCTACCTCGAAACCGACATAGGGGTTGAATTTCATTGAAAGGGAGGAATCCATGTTCATTCTTTTGAGAGATCCCTGTTCACAATTAAAAGATACCAAATTCTACATCACTGAATTTAAATTTAATAGAATAAATTGGTCTTAAAAAATATACACAATTTTTAAAAAACCGACACATTTTGTATTCTTTTTCCACTTACATCGCCCATTTTTTTGTACAAATGAATCGAGCTCTCCCTATCCTCCACGCGACACGGGATCACAACCGAGGATGAACGGCTTGCCGGTGTCAGTATGAAGACATTCTCCTTCTCAAAGATTGGGCGTCGTTCCTCTAAAAAAAAGAATTACAAGTCTATCAGTATTTCGAAAATCATTATATATTTCCTCATAAACATAAACTTTAAATATGCAAAACTCTCACGTGGGACAAACATATAAAAGGAATTCGACAAAGACGGCTTTTCCACACTCCGGCACACAAACGTCCCCGTGAGCTGGTCACTAATCTTGTTAAAAGTGATATCCGATTGATGCAGGTAAGTCGTAGGGCTCCAGAAATCTCCCGTTATTCGTCTACTGGTTATCTCAAGTTGGGGAAATTTCTGAAAAAAATATAATTGTGAACATTTTCTAAAAAAAAGATTCTCAAAATCACGCACCCCTTTTCCCTGATAATCCCATTCGATCGGGCCACTTTTACTGGAACATTGTAAGGTCACTTGTGTCGCGTTTGGTGGCACGGACCACTCCTTGATTTCATCGGTATCCTGACCCAGCCTGTTTTTTGCTTCGTCACCACCACCAATTTTTATCAGGTCGTCACAATTATTTCCCTCGCCACAAGCGACGCCTTCCTCCATGATCCTGTTGGGGTTCAGGTTCTGTAGTCGGTATGAGGAGACGCGAATTTTTGGCCGGTCCATTATCAGTCCGGTGAAAGGGATACTTTTCCCTGAAGAAGAGGAGTCGGCACATGACAAGTCTTCGATAAGGCAAGTTGTGATAATTATGAGTAAAAAGAGCTGGATTTTTATCAGCTCATGAATCCGGAAATGCCACCACCAACGGAGTCCCTTCATTCTTGGGATGCACACCACACGATATAACTTTTTAAAGGGTTTGAAATTTTGTAGGATGACAATTTTTCACCACCTTTTTCACATGCTCACTAATTAACAGACCGCAAATTCGGGTCAAGGAAATCCCTCAGCCGGGGAAAACTAAGTAAATATGTGTCAAAAAGTGTGATGCATGCATGGGGATTTAAAAGTCTAGTCAAAGTGTGACAACGATGGCGATGCGAAGTATGTAGCTTTACAATATTAGATATTTTTCCCCGTTTGTTTTTCCTCTTCTAAACTGTTGGTTAAATGCAATTGGCAGATTTTAAATTGAATTAATTTACATTGTTGTGTATACATACAGATCATCATCATTTTCATCATCGCGTCTGAGATCATAAAATCGATGTGATGCTAGGGTCAGATAAACCGGTTCCCTAAATCGGAGCGGACAGTTAACTCGCTAAATCTAATAAGTCATCATCGTCACCAATCAAGGGAAATATCTACGATGTAAATAATATGAGTTGTTATTATGAGAGGAAAGTAAACGAGAAATCTAAGTAATTGGATGAAATGGATCAAAATTTCATGAAATTATGGCAAATAATCACCAATTTTGTAAGATCAACAATACATTGTTTATAATTACTGCCAAAATGTTAAACAAAGTGACAAAAACGGTAAACAAGATGGATCAGTAATAAATTATAAAAGAAATAAAAGTTAAGACCACAAATAACAATAAAAATAGTGGCCTTTCAGAGTTGGGCGAAATAGGGATTAGATTTGGAAAGTAACACTTGAAACGCCGGGTGGGAGTTCCAAGTTGGCTGGGAGTACAGACGAGACCGTGGGTACTGCTTCCGCCGCGGGTACCGCTCCAGCCGCGGGTACCGCTCCAGCCGCGGGAAGAATTTCCAGCGCAGCCGCCTTCGGAATCGGAGGCACCCATCCAACCGGTTTAACTTCTGGAGCTTCGCCCGTTTCGCCCTTTCCGAAACCGAAGACGTAGTCTTTTCCGTTGATCTTCATGATGCCATCTTTGACGACGAATTTCCACGAGTATCCTTTCCGGATGATCTGACAAAAGAATGGATGGAAGCATTTAGTATGGATTTGGCAAAGTATTTTTTAAATAAATAACGCGACCAACCTTTTCATACTGGCAAATGATCAAGTTATCCTGAGTATACATCTTTTCCCGTTGTTCTGCGAAATAGGCTCGGTATTCCGCCGCAGCCTTGTTAAGTTCTTCTTCCTCTTCCTACAAACCGGAAATAATTGTAAATTTAAATATGCATATACAGAAATATAAAAAACAGTATTGATATTTCACTCACATCGATACAATCCATATCTTCGTCATCCGACTCTGAATCGAGCCCACCATCCAGCTGAGGGATTTGCTCGTCTTCAAGAGCACGTTTCCGGCCACGGCCACGGCCACGCCCCCTCCCTCTTCCAGCACCTCTCCCTCCACGACGAGGCTCAAACGTGATCTCCTGTGGCTCATCCACATCGCTTTCGTCTTTGTCGCTTGTGGCGCGAGCAGAAATTTTGCCAGGTCGACCACGACCGCGTCCCCTTCCTCTAGCAGCGCCCTTCCCTCCACGACCAGACTGAAGCTCAGTTTCTTGCTCATTATCCATGTCGTCTTCTTCTTTATCGCTGGTGTCACGAGTGGCAATTCTGCTAGATCGAGCGCGTCCCCTCCCTCCACGACCAGGCTTAACCTCAATTTCCTCTTTATCATCCACGTCGCTTTCGTCTTTGTCGCTTGTGGCGCGAAGAGCAACTTTGCTAGATCGACCACGACCACGGCCGCGACCGCGTCCCCTCCCTCCACGACCAGGCTTGGGCTCAGTTTCTTGCTCATCATCCTTGTCGTTATCTTCTTCATCGCTGGAGTCACGAGTAGCAATTTTGCTAGATTTACCACGACCTCGACCGCGTCCCCTCCCTCTAGCAGCGCCCCTTCCTCCACGACCAGGCTTAAGCTCAGTTTCTTGCTCATCATCCATGTCGTCTTCTTCTTTATCGCTTGTCTCAAGAGTTTCAATTTTGCTAGGTCGACCTTGACCTCGCCCACGACCGCGTCCCCTCCCTCTGGCAGAACCTTTTCCTTCACGACCAGCCTGACGCACAATTTCTTGCTTATCGTCCATGTCATTTTCTTCTTTATCGCTCGTGTCACGAGTAGCAATTTTGCTTGATCCACCACGACCAGCCTGAGCCACAATTTCTTGCTTATCATCCGTGTCGCTTTCTTCTTTATCGCTCGTGTCACGAGTAGCAATTTTGCTTGATTCACCACGACCACGACCAATTTGAGGCTCAATTTCTTGCTTATCATCAATGTTGTTTTCATTTTTGTCGCTCGTGTCTTCATTGTCGCTTGCGTCTCGAGTCTCAATTTTGCTGGGTCGACCTCGGCCCCTCCCTCTAGCAGCACCTCTCCCTCCACGACCAGGCTGAAGCTTAATACCCTGGTCATCATCCATGTCGTCGTCTTCTTTATCGCTTGACTCACGAGTATCAATTTTGCTAGATCCACCCCGGCCACGACCACGACCGCGTCCCCTCCCTCTAGCACCGCCCCTTCCTCCGCGACCAGCAGGCTTACGCTCAATTTCCTCTTCGTCATCCACATCGCTTTCATCTTCATCGCTGGTGGCACTGGTAGCAATTTTGCTAAATCTACCACGACCACGGCCGCGTCCTCTCCCTCTAGCAACACCCCTCCCTCCACGTCCACGACGTCCAATCCCCCTGCTCTTCTTGGGTACTCGCCCTTCGATAATGTGAAGCCCACGCTTGCGCAATTCTTCATTCACTCTGGCTTGCACGACCGTAGTGAAATCTTGCTCGCCCGAAACTTCAAACATTCCGGGCACGGAAATGATTTGCTGACAAAAAAAAACAAAATATTACTCAACTGATCTTATCGACTTGCTCTTATTCCCTTGTTTACCCGTAATATTCCTCCATGTAGAGCTGCCACCGGGACCGTTACAGTTACACTCGGCCCATCCTCACTGACAGGTTGGATTACTACAGGAACACCAACATTCTGCGCGGGTGGAAGGATGTAGACAACATCCCCTTTCGCTATATCTGCGTTAAACCAAAAAAAAAGATGTTTACAATAGTTTAGATTAAACTAATTGTTTAGTTAACTAACGTTTAACTTACCGTTCATTGAGGACGAAGGCCCCGCTGATGTCGATGGGATTTCGCTATCCTCTATGACCCTGTTGTCCTTGAAATCCGTCACAGTTCCCATTTCGGCCAAATTTTTTCGCCACTGGACACCCAACTCGACAAGGACGCTTTGATCTATCCCTGCGTCCAAAAAAGTCGCAGACATATTGCGGATCACACTATCAATGACATGTTGATAATGCCGATGCTATTAAAGAACAACATTATGCATAAATAATTAATTAATTACTCCAACATCAATTTAAATTTAACACCCTTACCACAGACACCTGAGAATTTTTAATTATCGGTGGAGTCCCCATCTTGATTCGAATCTATGATCAATTCCCTATAACAAATAAAAAGAAGGTTAACCAAACTTTACAATCATTTTTTAGAAATTATGAATTATTTTTTGATTTTTTACGTTACTTTTTTTCGGAAACCAAAAATTCAGTCAGTCAGCCAGCCACGCGTTCTCCTCTCGTCACTCACTCGTCACTCACATCCAGCAGATGACTCTCTCGACAGCCTCACGCAACTCGGTTCGTCTCAAGTTGCCTCACCGTCTCAACTTGCCTCATCGGTATGACATGTCGCTCAACAGGTATTTAGGATCAAAAATCAATGATTTATTCACGAATATTAATTAAAATTCATTAAGAATAATTAGTAATTTATATTCACAATAAGTTACTAATTAATAATGATAACCCACAAACTTGCCTCATCGGTATAACATATCGTTTAACAGGTAGGATCAAAAATCAATGATTTATTCACGAATATTAATTAAAATTCATTAAGAATAATTAGTAATTTTTTTGTTCTTCACAATAATTTACTAATTAATAGTGATACTCACCAACTTCCGGGTCAGAGTATTTATAAATTTTTTAAAGTTTCCGATGGGAACATGAGACGAGAAAAGTCCACTTTTTGCCCCCGATCATCGCGGCTACGAGCTCCATCCATATTTCATCATCTCATCTCATCAATTCACAGAATTTATTTTGTCGTCATCTTTCTTTCTTGTGAAATCTGTATAAATTTTAATTATTTAGTTATCGTCGTCGTCGTCACCTTATCTGCATCTGCACCTTAATAGTTACCTTAATTATAAGAATAGTTAGCTAACACAAACTTTTTTTTAATGTTCCTCTCCTCCCGTTCAGCCCGGCTCGCCACAACAGCGACCCGTAATTCCTACCGGATAACTGCTTATCGTCTCTTTTCATCAGTTAGTGGATATGGGAATGCGTTTCGATATGAAGCGGTTATCGGTCACAGCAAACATCGATCCATCTCCGCTGCGGGGATCACATCACTCAATCAAAACCTGAGAAGATACTCTTCCAATAAACGGGACGATGATAATAATAATGATGATAAGCCAAAGAAGAAGGATGAGGAGGTAGTAAATACAAGATAATTGTTAGATAAGTGAAAATAATAATAATTATGTCGTAATCATTGCAGCCGGAAATCAAAAAGAAAGAAGACTCTCCTAAAGAAACGGAGAGCGAAAACCACACCTACAATCACCGACCTACCGGCCCGATAACCGCGGTGACGATTAAACCAACCCCACAAATCCTCCCAGCAGCGATGCAAGTTCCAGAAGAGTTTCCGTACATGCCAATCGTCGCAATCAGTAGAAACCCAGTGTTTCCTCGTTTCATTAAAATCGTTGAGCTCAGCGATACTCGACTGATTAATTTGATTCGGAGAAAAGTCAAGCTGGGCCAGCCTTATGTTGGCGTTTTTTTAAAAACGGATGCCAAGTGAGTGATCACTATTCAAATTAAATTGAAAAGATAATTAATAATTTCAGCGTTAATTATTTTACCATTTTTTTTTATCCAGCAATGATAAAGAAGTCGTCTACTCTGTCAAGGATTTACACTCGGTCGGAACATTCTGTGGCATCGTTGAAATGCAGGATATGGGCGATAAGTTGAGAATGATTGTTATGGCGCATCGAAGAATAAGACTAATCGGACAAATGGTTCTTGACGAGAAGGAACTCGAAGCTGAAGAAGCTGCCCTCGCACAATCACAACAAGCACAAAGTGGATCCGATACTCTTAACAGTTTGTCAACCGAGAAGAACGGGCGACGGAGGAGGAAACGCCGTGTCGCAGTTCACTATGGGAATAATGGGACGGTGGAGAACGGTGAGGGTGTGACCTCGTCCGACCACCAGTCTGGCGGAGATGTGGCTTCCTCCACTTCCGGTGGTGGAGAAAGTGCAGCCACTTCTTTGCTTGAGGATCCAGCTGAACCTGAATATGAACCTGTTCCAGTTCTCATGATTGAAACGGAGAACGTTAAACCGTTAAAGTTTCAAGTGGATACGGAAATTAAGGTGTGACGGAATATTATATTTTTGCGTTTTAGTAAATCACAATTTTTTATAACTAGTAAATTTATATTTTTTGCAGGCCTTAGTTCAAGAAGTAATTCGCACAATTCGAGATATCATGCAGCTAAATCCACTCTACAGAGAGTCCGTTCAGGCCGTGATCATGCAGGGGGATCGAGTCGTGGAGGATCCCGTTTATTTGTGCGATCTCGGAGCGGCAATTACGTCCGCGGACAATCCCGATTTCCAAAAAGTTTTGGAGGAACGAAACGTAAGAAAAAATTATTTCCGTAATCTACTCATATTTTTAAAAGAATGCTTTGATCTTTGACCTATTAATTATTTCTTCTGCTTCTTCAGTTAAAAGAAAGGCTCATGACGACGCTCAACATGCTCAAGAAGGAGCTCGAGTTGAATCGAATTCAGCAAAAGATTGGAAAAGAGGTCGAAGAGAAGGTCAAACAGCAGCATCGAAAGTACATGTTACACGAACAACTCAAAGCTATCAAAAAGGAGTTGGGAATCGAAAAGGATGACAAGGACACGATCGAGGAGAAATTCAGGGCGAGATTAAAGGTGCAAAAAAGACCTTGCAATGGAAAGATAAATTGGAAATTATATAAATATTTTTGACAGGGTAAAACCATTCCTCAAGCGATATCAGACGTTATTGAGGAAGAAATTGGAAAATTAAGGTCATTGGATTCTCACGCGTCTGAATTCAAGTATGTAAATCATGTTGATTTGTATAACTACTGTAAATTTTAGTAATTAATTAATTATTTTACATGAATTCAGCGTAACTCGAAACTACGTCGACTGGCTGACCATCCTCCCGTGGGGAATCACCAGTGAGGAGACGCTAGATTTGGACAAGGCGAGTGGAATATTAGATGAAGATCATTACGGGATGGAAGATGTGAAAAAGAGGATTTTAGGTAAACTATTAATCAAATTAGAATGATGCCCAAAAATTATTTGCAAAAAAATCAATTTTATATAATTTTAAATTTTTGTAGAATTTATTGCCGTGAGTAAATTGAGGGGTTCGACGCAAGGGAAAATTCTATGTTTTTACGGACCTCCCGGCGTGGGCAAGACAAGCATTGCGAAATCTATTGCAAAGGCGTTAAATCGCGAGGTGTGTTTTTTTGCACAAATTGTAACCTCAACTGTCACACATAATTAATATGTAAATATCTTATTTTGCGCAGTATTTCCGCTTCAGCGTTGGTGGTATGACGGACGTTGCTGAAATCAAGGGTCACCGTCGCACCTACATTGGCGCCATGCCTGGCAAAATGATCCAATGTTTGAAGAAAGTAAAGACGGAAAATCCACTCGTTTTGATTGATGAGGTGGACAAAATGGGACGCCACAGTTACATGGGCGATCCTACTTCCGCTTTATTGGAGTTGCTCGATCCGGAACAAAATGCTAACTTTTTGGACCACTATTTAGGCAATTAACTACTTAATTACATACAACATGATTGTGTGTTATTATATTAAATCTCCTATTTATTTTATAGACGTGAATGTTGACGTGTCGAAAGTCCTCTTCATCTGCACGGCAAACGTTACTGAAACAATTCCTGAACCACTTAAAGATCGCATGGAAATGATTGACGTTTCTGGCTACGTTTTAGAAGAAAAGTTGGCCATCGCTCAAAAATACTTGATCCCACAACTTATCCAAAGCACTGGACTGAAGGATGCTAAGGTCACAATAGACGAGCCGGCACTGACCAAATTAATCCACGCTTACTGCAGAGAAAGCGGGGTGCGAAACCTGCAGAAACATATCGAAAAGGTAACGCACACACAATTATTGAACATCCTGTAAGAATTTCTTAACATTGTTATGCAAATTAATTTCTAGGTACTTCGTAAAGCGGCCTACGCCCTAGTCAAGGAAAAGGTTGAAGCCGTCACTGTAACGGAAGAGAATATTGAGAAATTCGTCGGAAAACCAGTCTTTACTTCGGATCGATTGTACTCTGAAACGCCGCCCGGTGTCGTTATGGGATTGGCCTGGACCGCGATGGGAGGATCGACCTTGTTCATTGAGACCTCTCTGAGGAAACCAGTCCCCAGCGAAGGCCCCATGAAAGACGGTACCCACAAATTAAAAAGTTTTACAATATTACTAGTGAAAAACCCGTTTCGAAATTTTGAAAAAAAGTTTAGCTGTGCAATTTTTAAACTTTCAACCAGTTTTGTACTGAAGACTAATTTATAATGTGCTCAATTGCGAGCATTTTGACATAAAATTCCTTAATATTTTTCTTCAGGCTCCCTCGAAGTGACCGGCCACCTCGGCGACGTGATGAAAGAATCGACCCGAATTTCCTACACCTTTGCGAAAACTTTCCTCTCCGACCTCTCCCCCACCAACAACTTTCTCATCAACTCTCACATCCACCTTCACGTGCCGGAAGGAGCCACACCAAAGGATGGACCCTCTGCCGGAGTCACCATCGTCACAGCCCTCCTCTCCATCGCCATGGACAAGCCTACCCGGCAGAATCTCGCTATGACGGGGGAAATCTCCCTCACCGGCAAGGTCCTCCCCGTTGGTGGGATCAAGGAAAAGATCCGTGCGGCTAAACGCGTCGGTGTCAACTGTGTCATTCTTCCAGCCGAGAATAAAAAAGATTTCGACGATCTACCAACTTTTATTAAGGACGGATTAGAAGTCCATTTCGCCAATCATTACAGAGATGTTTATGACATTGTTTTCAATTCTAGTTAGTAGTTAATTAGTTAATTGCATAGTTTGTTAATAGTATTTTTGAAAGAATTTAATATGTATATGTAATCTAGTTAATACTGTTGACACTTTTTTGTTCAATGTCTGTTTAATATTTTGTATAGATACGTACAATGATTATGCAGATTTTATCTGTAGATTTACGTACCAGAGTCAATAATTGTTGCTTTAATAACGTGGGTTTTTTTATATAAAAAAAATATTTGCAGAAAATCTCTTAATCAAAATCTTACATATTTATTACCTACGTTCCCGACACTCTTCCTTTGACTATTTACACATTATTATTCAGTGACTCTTTTCATTGAGGGATTATCCAAAATGAAAAAATCAAAAAAAGTGGTTTCATATCATTTAATGAATATAATACCGATTCATTTTGCTGTTATAAGGTACAAAATCTTGCCAGATTTTTGACCGGATTCAAGGCAATCAGGATTGAAAACCAGCAGTCAACACAACAATGTACAATTAAAAACAAGGTGTCCAGTTCACTCTTCTGAGAGATTTGAGATCTTTTTGCCCAAAGTTGTTGAACTCTGAGTACATTGCATGAATGATTGAAATTACGAATTATAAAGATGCCATTGCTGATTATTGGATTGTATTCACCAGATTTCGGAAAATTATACGCATTCTTCCTCTCCCAGCGTATATTAAAAAATCTCTCACTTTTTTTTACTCACATACATTTCATTTTTCAGACAAAGATCAAAGTTTAGACACGAAAGGCTTTATTTTTCAATGCAAGACTGCTCATCAACGGTTTTATCTCGGTGCACAGATCACCTCAGAGTTATCACGAGCACAACCGGTTTTTATGTCGTGGAGTGGATGGCAGAAACACTTGCACTTTTTTCTCCATTTTTCTCTCTACCCAGTATTTCAAAAACTTGACATAATCACCCAGCCAAGACGGCCATTAGCTTCTTCTTCTTACAAGGGACACTCACGACCTGTCGTTTGAGTCCAGGGTACCCACTATGTTTTTTAGAATCTACTAGGACCCCTGATGAAGGATTCATTCATATTTCCGTGTAAAACTCATATTTGGCCCAATGGCGTGGCGCCAAACTTAAAAATGTGGATTTTCGACCAATTTCAAACCCCCATAACTTTTGCAGTTTATGTCGGATTTTTAAAGTTTTATGCTTAAAATGATCAGAACCGTCGAAATTTTAGAGAAAAAAATAAAAATAAAAAAATTTTAGTTTTTGAGATATTTTTAGCATTTTTCGACGAACCCGAAATTTCAAAATTTTGCGAAAAGTTGAAAGCGATAATTTTGGAAAAAAATTCATAGAATACGAAAGTTGAACTCCTTGTCATGATTTTTGCCAAAAATTTTGAAAATCCGTCCAAGATTTCAAAAGTTATGGTGGTTTTAAAATGAAAAACCATCAAATTTGGCGAATTTGGCGCCACGCCATGGCGCCAAATATGAGTTTTACACGGAAATATGAATGAATCCTTCATCTGGGGTCCTAGTAGATTCTAAAAAACATAGTGGGTACCCTGGACTCAAACGACAGGTCGTGAGTGTCCCTTGTTAGACCGGTTTCTCATGCTTACTAATTCCCCATCTCAAGTAGTAAAAGGGTGATTGCACTCGGTTCCAGCTTCCAGTCGGTGAGACAACGTCGCTCAGACAAGTACACTTGGTTTATCAAATAGCTTATCATCATGAGGGGTATTACCACCGCAGTATTTTTTACGGTGTGCGTCTTCGCCGTGGTGAGTGCCGCACCGAGTAACAAAAAGTGGGGGAAGAATGAGGCCCGTGTGGATGACGATGATTCGGAGGGAGGCATCTACCCGTCCGATCGGACCAGACCGAGCTCACCGAGACGTGGGGGTCCAAGTGAAGGTCGCTCAAATACGAGGGGAGGTCAAGGGCCGTACCTTTTCTTCAGGGAACCTAAAGCCATTGGGTATGAAAATTATGAATTTTGATAAGGAGTTTTGAAAAGAGCAAATTTGCATAAAGTCAACTTTTTACATGGATTTAATTTAGTGGTGTCCCATCCTCCCCCTGGGGTCGTCGTCCCATCGCAGTAGGCAACAAACCATGGCCACGATACATTCAAGGCAGAGATGACGAAGAGGATGACGACGAGGATGATGAAGACGCAGAGGATGACATTCAAGACGACGAGGGAGGCAGTGACGAAGATGAGTATGCCTTTGATACGCCGAGCTGGGATGATATCTACCCCAAGGAGGAGACTGGACGTGAGTACACATTACGCAATTAGTTAGGAGTTACCCGTGGGGACATTAACATTGTGGGATAGGGGAGGCAGGGGTTTATGTAAAACGTGGGTAGGTGATGGGGACGTCGAATAACCGTGAGGACATTGTCCCTCTGTCCCCACGGCCGCTGGAAGTTGATGATTGATCTTACTTAACATTTGAAATTCATGCTTTCACCAGCATACGCTCAAAGGAACGCCCCCATTCAGCAGGGACAAGGTCAACAATGGAACTCCGTCCAAGGTCAATCTGGGGGATACTCGCTGTCTCCGGGAACTCCAGGCAGCTCGGGGTACCAGGGAAGGAGTGGTTTCAACCGAGCCCCATCAAAGCCTTGGCAGCAAAGAAATTGGCAGGGAGAAGGACCATGGGCGACTGGTGGTCGTCGACAAGTCCGACAACGCCGACCCATAGCGTGGGTTCGAGTCCCGAAACAGGGTCATTATGAGGATCAGGATGTCGAGGTAAAGTGAGACGGTGGTGACCTGGCAAATATTTCCGGAATTTCCGAACTAGGTTCGGAGGAAACCGGGGGGAAAGTATGTCCTCTGGGAAGGCATTTTAAAATTTCCGGAAGATTTTCAGGAATATTCAAAAATTCCTCGAAAATTTTCGAAAATTCCTGGGGGTTTGGGGGAAATATATTTTGGGACGGAAAAAACTTGGAAAATTTTGCCAGACTGATCTTTTATGACACGAAAGTGACATTTTGTGACCTCTTTGTGACACGAAGTGACATTTTGTTACACGAAAGTGACCTAATTTCTTATTTCTCTTCAGGGTCCACCACCTTCTTGGTCTCGCTGGTCTGCCGGAAGCAGTTCTTCTGCCGGAAACTGGAATTCTGGTTCCCCAGCCGTCTACTATCGTCAACGTCCACAGTATGTTCGCCGATCGTGGAACTGGAGGCCATCTCAGCGCCCAATTCAGGTAGAAAGTGAGGAAGAAAGTGGTGAAGTTGCGCCACCACAAGTCTGGTCGTCTGCTGGCCCTCGTCGCTTGGTCAAGAGCTGGGCAAGGACACAGCCTCCAACTTGGCAAGGACGTCAGCAAAAGTGGGGGTACTACTAAATCAAAATAAATGATGTCTACACATTTTGAGAAAATTATGTCAAACTAAATTATTCTCTTGTTTCTTCAAGTCTTCACTCTTTACGTAAATTATTATTGTTTTTCTTACTAATTTGAATTGCGGTGATAGAATAATAATCATTTCATATTTCCAATATTCGAATCCAGTTAATGAATGAGGGGAATGATGTATTTAAAATCTTGAATAAATAAAAAATCAAACGTTTTCAAAAATATTTAGCCACTGGTGTTGCTTTTGATTTTTTTTAGCATTTTCATAAAAATTTTGATAAGAATTTGCATAAAGACTTTTGCACAAAGTCAAACTTTTGCACAAGCATTTGTAAGAAGAATTACAAACTTGCAAAAAAATGTACTTGAAATAAGATTGCAATTTCACTAAAATTCATGCAAAAATTCATGCAAACTTTTTTTGCACAAACAATAATTACAACTTTGCAAAAAAATTGTAATTCAAATATGACCAATTTTTCTAAAATTCATGCAAAAAACGCAGCGAAACAAAGTAACAAACGAGAAGCTAAATCGTGCCCGATCGCAACAGGGAATTGCAAATCATTCAGTTTGTCAAATCATTAATTTTTTCTCCGGTCGGTGAATCGTCTAATTTTTGCTCAAAATTAATTGCAAATTTTCTTAAAAAGTTTGCCCCAAAAGATAAGTAGGTTCAAAGCAAAGAGGTGAGTTCTAGATAAGGAAAAGATTTTGAAACATTTAGTCCTTGACCGACCAAATTTTGTTATTGTTTTTCTTGTTTGTTGACTGTTTTTAATTATGATTTTCAGGTAGACATGATTTCGCAACGTTTCGCCAACCTAGGTGTCGAACAAGGTGCGGGGGTGAGCGGAACGAAGAAATCTGCCACCCGGGACATGCCTGACTGGATGTCGGCGGAGCATTCGACAGGAGTAAGCAACATTTTTCAACGATAAATAAATAAGAACTTATCATAATTATAAACTATAAACTACTTGTCTATTACAGACCACAATCATGGCCTGTGAATTTGATGGAGGTGTTGTAATTGGAGCAGATACTCGAACGACAACTGGGTAATTTAATTTACTCATCCTCGTCAATGACATTTATTTCATTTTAAAGTTAAATAAACCAGATACTAACTCCTACACTTACAGCATGTACGTCGCCAACCGAGTCACCGATAAGCTAACCCGTGTCACAGATCGTATTTATTGTTGTCGATCCGGCTCTGCTGCGGACACTCAAGCCATCGCTGATATTGTCAGTTATCACTTGGAATTTCACGAGTAAGACGATTTTAGGTTAAAATTTTTAACAAATCAATTACCTAAATGACTTCTAATTTTTAAACCAATTTATTTAAATTAGAATTGAATCTGGTGAGCCTGCCCTTGTTCGTGGCGCTGCCGCCGTGTTTCAAGACATGTGCTACAACTACAGAGACCAGCTTTCGGCCGGTATCATTGTTGCAGGATGGGATTCTCGCCACGGGGGACAAGTCTACTCTGTACCTATTGGGGGGATGTTGGTCCGGCAAGAAGTCTGCATTGGAGGGTCCGGGTCTGGATTTCTCTACGGTTTTGTAGATTCCAACTTTAGACCAAAAATGAGCAGGGACGAGGCTGAAAAGTTTGTGACGAGTGGTAAGTATGGGAAACACTTATCATGCATGTTATCACGCATCTCATCAATTCCTTCTTCCTTTATCATAGCTGTCACCCTCGCTCTCAATCGCGACGGTTCAAGTGGTGGTTGTGTCCGTCTTGGAACCATCACGAAAGATGGAATCGATCGGAAAGTCGTCCTGCACAATGAATTGCCAAAGTTTTATGAAGGTTAAGTTAGCCAATTCGGTTCGCCGCTCATCATTTCATCCAATTTCAATTTTCATCAGCTTATTACTACACTGTAAGTAAGTTAGTGAAAGTAATTTAATTAATTTGTCAAAATCAAATAAACTAAATGTAGCAGGAATTAAGCCTTTGGGAGACTGGATAATAAAATAGGAAACATTTTTTGATTCAAAATTTTGTTACTACTATGAATAAAAAGTAGCGCTCAGTCAATTATCCAAAACTTTTATACACTATCCTTTCGTGAAATAAATAATGATACGTCTTTAACTTCAAAATTGTAAAACTTAATGGGATTTCGATTAATTCGCTTGATAATAATTACATATTTGTATATGTAGTATTAACACTGGTTCAAGATTTTTCGTAAATATTTTACAATTAAGATTAAATGCTCGTGTCGAAGTTAAATTGAATCAACCCTGTTTAAAAATGTGGTCCAAGGCTGCACCATTGTAATTTTGGCACAGAGTGCATTTCGCAATCCGTAAGTAATATCCCTATCTAGCCAGCCAGGCAGACATTTCATTAACGAAAATAAAAAGGATGCACTTAACGCCAATCGGTGTAATTCGTCTCGAAGGACAGTGTTCCTCATAAATTATAGCATTCCACTGGCCAAAAAGGCTGAAATGCATGCGGATGTATAGCGTGTTATTGTAATAAGTTGGCCTTATAGAATGAGTGCGGACTGGATATAGCCCGAGCCTCTGCACTGCAATGCAGAGTCTGAACTCTGCATGCACCAGATTTTCCAAAACGGTTTGACAAAACCAGTGTGGATCACCTTATCAAGATGCGCATTTTATGAGCAAGTTGGTCAAATTGTTCGCTAGCATGACCGTCGAACATGATAATTTTTGCAAATATTTTTGCAAAAATATTGCAACCATTGAAATCCCCCTCCTTCATTTTACCATTTATGCATGACGAGATCTAATATCACTAAAAATAACGTACTAAACACATCCAAAATTGCACCCCGCATTGATCTCAATGTGCAACAAATATTACTTTAAATGATGCAAGGACAAAACTTAACTAGGATAAGAATGTATGTAAATTTTGCATAAATTACCCTCCCCCATTCCGCCGCCAATTAGCCAGAACTGCATAACCAACCTCGTCACATTTATTTATTACTATCAACATCATGTTTCAATTTATTTCTTCTCTTGCCAGTTAAAAATTAATTGAGCCTCGAAAAAAATCAGGTCCACCACATTCATTTTATGATCTTATTCCTCACCACTACCAACTCATAGTCATGCATATTTATTACTAATCATCATGACATGGACGACGACGATGCTGCTAGTCGACTCGACACCAGACGCCGCGTCACTTTCCTTCTGGGTGCCACCGACCCCACAACCACGAGTACTTTGCGTCTCCCTCTTCCTCCACCTGCGGACGCTATCACCATTCCACTCCTATTAACTCGGGAGGAACAAGATTTCCAAAAACTTGAACAAGACTTGGAAACTCCGAACATAATTTATTTCGAGGAATTCCTCCCCAACGAGCACGGTCACCTCGAAGACCGCTACGGAGTCCGGGGGCGGAGGAGTTGTTGTCCTTGTTGTCGAAATTCGTGGTTGTGCTGGGAGTGGAGAAGCCTCAAAATGTGGTGCTGTTGTACGGGGCGGGGTCGCCTCTGTTTGTGTCTGCTGGTCGTCAAACTGGTCATTTTGGGGGTTATCTTCCCCGTCGTGCATTTGCAAGAGGAGCCCCATAATTTCGATCATGGATATCCGCAGCCGGATGATAATCATTATAACGGGTAGGAATAAAAGCTTATATATTTTCAAAGGTTTCGGATCGGTGGTCGCGGAAGCGTGAGGACAGAGGGACAATGTCCCCACGGTTGTTCGATGTCCCCATCATCTCCCCATGTTATATAAACCCCTCCCTCCCTTATCCTACGATGTTAACGTCCCCAGATGTCCCCTCGGCTTCCGCGGCCACTGTTCCGGATTTCTGGGTATCTAATTTGTGTATATTTACTTTAAGACGCAATCATCACGGCGGTGACGACGGGGGGCCTGACTACGCCGAAAGTGTGCACGTTCAACCACCCACCGATTCAGGGGGCGGAGGGGGTGGCGGAGACGACGACAACATACTCGTCGTACGGCATGACGGAGATGAATCGGTAATCCATTTCTGCTCTCAGGGCGAATTATTTTTGGTTCGAATTTTGTTTAAACAGTTTTTTATCACAAAATTTTGATTAAAGTTTCCCAACGGGTTTATTATCATGTTATCGTACCAGGGTGGTGGTGGTGGTGGGGGTGAAACGGTAGCTACTTCGACTACGACGATTACATCCGGTGATGCTGGGGGTGGGGGTGGAGGCGGTGCAGGTGACGATGATGGTGGTGGGGAAGCAGATTCTACTGCTGCTACTGCTGCTACTACTTCCGGTTCGAGTTCTGAGGCTGCTAAATCGTCAAGTGCTATTACCACGTACGAGTTTTATTAATGAATAAAGTCATTTTCACACTTTTAATTTATGTATTTCCGATTATTTAGTGACGAAGAATCTGGAAAAGTGTGTCAGAATTCTAACCCGAATCCTCTCGAGAACAAGTTGGTATGGAACGCCATAAGATTCACGCCTTATCAACTAAGATAAGCCTGGGGCTTAATGACTAGAAAAAGTTATTAAACACTTTATTCTACCTTTCAGGAATCTATCATTTCCGCTATTTCAAATATTCACCAGAGTATCGAAAAGATGGAAACTTTGGTAAATTTCTAATTTCATTTTCCACTTTCTCTCCCCACACTCTTAATTCTATTCCTTATCCATTTTGCCTTCAAGATGCAAGGAACCCTCGTCGAAGACCAGAGAAACAAATGCATCTCCGCCATCCTGTCAGGAAACGGGACGTTGGCTCAGAAACATTGGGTCCAGATTATGAAGTACATCTCCTCCCCAGAAAAGGTCGAGGCCACGCTGGCCAACTTGGTGAAGGAGGCGTACAACGGAGTCCCAGATCGTATCGCCCCCTTGGCTTCGTTCATCGCAGAAACGTCACAGTGCTCTGGATTCGCCACGCTGTACTCGGAAATGACCAATTATGGGCACGTTTTCGGGGGTAAGTTATCATTAATTTATGGGGAATGTTTACCTGATCATAATTTAATACTACTCCCGACCATACCAAGTGTTTTTTTTTTTACAGAAATACTCATAATAAAGTGTTTCGTTGTCCATAAGTACTCGATTTTACCAGAAATGATAAATCATCATTGATAATACATACGTGTTAAGACCGCTTTAAAATCTTGGATTTTAGAAAACTTTACAAATTTTATCGATTCTTATTAGCCAACCACAAATGGCTTGGAAGCCTTTACTTGTCAACCAAGCTTGCCTTTCTTTAAAGACGGGATTTTTTCTCTGTTTTGGTCAATTTGAATTTCATTTAAATGAGAGGAGGTATTCGGAAGAAAAGTACTAATTATGATTACAAAAAATATTAAATTATGCCCAGTTAAATAGGACCCTTAACTTATTTCACACATGACACTTAATTCTTTCCTCTGATTTCATGACCTCACTATTTTTCCAGGTCATCCCTACATTTTCCCGGTCGCCATCGCCGTCCGAAAGAGTTGTCCCCATCTGTCCACCGACCTTCTCCCGTCCACCCTGACGACCATGTTGGGCGGCTCCTTCCTCCTGCAAAACAAGCTGAACCGTGGCTACCTTTACTACGCGAAACGTTGCGTCGCCCGGCACTATTACCACTGTCTCGACGTCCTCACTAAACGCGTCCCCTCGGACGAGTTCGACGCCCTCGAGGAACGTTCCGACGAATGGGGACGGTACCGATGGCGGCTCAATGTCACGGACGAATCCGCAAATTTCTTCTTTATTCTCAACGAAGATAAGTATTTGCCTTATCGATTGCAAGACTTGAACAATTCGCCACGATTTAAGATGGAGGAGGCGAGTTCAAACTTTGAAAAGAATATGGCCCACTTCCAAATCGGGTTGGAGACCGAGGATGAAGTCGTTATTCGGGTGGGCGAAATAAAAATATGGAAATCTTGAAATTGTGACTTTTCACCGATTTTTTGTTTTCAGGTGAAAGACACGGACATGTTTTTGGAAGGGGAGGAGATCAAAGTTTCCGACGGTTCGGCGGAAGTGCTACTGCATTCGTTCTACAAGGCGGAGAAAGCTGTGGCGACGGATGGGATCAAGTGGATCGTGGGGGGGAGGAGGAATAATAATGGGGGTGAAAGTGGTGGTGGTGGAGAGAAAGCTAGAATTGGGAGATCTCCACTAAAATTTCCGCTATTGATTCACGGGAGGTCATAATAAGTTAACGTTATATTACATAATTAATTTAGTTAAGTAATTAATTAAATTGTAGATAAATAATTTTAATATTAAATAAAAGTGTAATCACATTTTGACTGAAGGTTTTAAATAAATAAATACATTTTTAGATTTCCGTGAGATTTTCATATATGAATTATTATTCCAGATATTTACTATTTTTGGTAGTTTTTAAAGTCAATTAGAAAATTGAGTATTTAATCATGAATTACTAATTAATTTGAATTTGAATATTGGATTGCTTTTATTTAATGAATATTACATCTCAATCATGTTTAATTGACATTCCTTTTACAGTATTTGTTGTCATTCATTCGAATTTTACGTTTACAAAATGATCAATAATTTCAGTCTTTTTACTTATTACACTATTTTTCGTACCACAACTGAAAAAATGTTACTTTTTCGAAGAAAATATTTCCGTCATGTTAATTCACGTCCCTTTTCCAAAAATCCAACCCCACCAAGAACTTGGAGGTTCAGGGTCGGAAGGAAATTGTAAATTCATAAAATCTTGAAAATTTTCCATCGTCAAGACCCCAATTACGGCCATGGCGGAAAGATACATTGTTACAGTGCTCCAAACCTGCAATTCTCGCACACCCGAACGCAACTTGACCAGTTCCCGATTAATGTAGGTCGCCGATCGGACAAGATCTGTTTCAAGGTGAGCAGGTGAATCCCGGAGGAAAAGTTGGTCCAGGATGATGGGGTCGGTTATCTGTCCTGCTTCCACTTCCGGTTCGTGTGCCCCTTCTGCCTCCTCATCCTCCGATGTGTAATAATACTGCTCTTGGATGGATAAAGGTTGCGGCTTATCCAGTAGATCTTGCCCCACTTCGTCCTCAGCTTCGAGTTCATTGACCTCTTCCATTTTCTGCACATCCGATTTTTCAATTTCGGTTCGTTCTTCTACTGGAACTCCGTTGTTTTCGGGGTGGTCGTCGTCGTTCCCGTTGACGAGATCTTGATCCTCCTCCGCCTCCTCCTTCTGCCCCTCCAGTAAAGCTTGCTCTTCTAAAAAAACGTCCATTTCTTTCTCCATGAGGTCGAAATTTTGCTGATTCGTTCTCGACTCGCCTTCTTGAAGGATATCGTTGAACGACTTTGGAACGCGGATCACTTCACACTCGGAGGATGAAGAAACTCCATCCCCAAAAGTCTGAAAGGTTTCGACACTCCCATCCCCCTCACAAATTCTGGGGGAAATAATCTTCTCCGAAGCAATGTCGAGGGACGGACTGGACTCGACTTCCATTGGGGGAGGTTGCTCCTCGGAGATGGAGGGTCGCCCCTGCAACTCGAACTGGATGACGGGGTCATCCCCCAACTTGGGGTCGGACACGGTTTCGTGCAAGATTGGGGGCGCTGTGACGTCCTGAATGCTGGCATAGTTTTCCTTAGGAATTGACTGGGTCGTCCCGGAACTAGTGGTCTTGAACAAGGAACGGGCATAGTTCAGGTTGCCTTCATCGTCACCGTCGACCAGTCTGGATCTTGGCAACCATTCTTCCAAGGGAAAGTCGAAGAAGGGATCGAGTCCGGAGTTTTGGTAGTTCTGGGGACAAAAAAAGTGGTAAGATATGTTTAAAGTGGTAAAATTAAGGGTCAAATTACTTACCAAATGGTCATATCCTATTTGTGGTGGTCCGACCTGGTCTACAGACGGATTAGGTGACTTTGTTGGCGACGTAACTTTCACCGGGCTTGCTTTCACCTCAGGTTTTTTCTCTTTGTCGTAAATTTTCTTACTTTCCGGTCTGACCTCTTCACTACTTTTGGCCGAGAGTAAATCCGAGAGGTGTCCACAAATGGCGGACATTAGTGGAATTTTTAAAGGACCTTCCAAACCTTCAACTTCCGCTTCTAAGGCGTGCACTTCATCGCGTAATTTGTCGAGACGATCCTTTTCCTCTTTGTCGTAAACATAAAAACGTTCTGTCATCGATGGTGCTGCTGGGATATCGTCGAATTGGACACGATTCTGATTTTCGGGTTCAAGAAATTTCACATTTTCCGTCGACCTGATTTCCACCCTGGGTTGAGAAGACGTCACTTTGAGGATGGAGGATCTGCTCTTGACAATTTGAGGTTGGACGGTGTCACCATCGGACAAAGTGTTTGATGATTTCTGTCCCCCGAATGTAAAGGTCTGAATAATTGGAGAGGACACATCGACTTGTTCTTGTTCTTCTTGTCCTTTAGTTTCAACCACATTTTCCACAATTCTGACATGTTTTGGGCTTGTGGCTGGTTTTTTGGGGACGCTTCGGACAAGTCCGGTGTCAATTTTGGCTTTGACATTTCCCAGCCGTGGAATCATTGATGGTTTGGGGGGAGCTTTCTTCTTATTGTTATTGTCACGTGGTGACGCCCCTCCACTGTAGGAACCTTGTCCACGTCCAGCACCACCGACGGGAATCTTGCTCGACATGATTGTTACAATTTTATTAGGTGGGGGTTTTGGAAGCAAGGTGGATAAAACTGGGTGGAAACTATTATGAAATTTCGAAATTTGTAGTTACAATTCTAGCGTCAAAAGAAATCAAAAGTCAAGCAATCGTGGAATTGTCTATTAAAATTGTTGACACGCCAACGTTCATGAAATCATAGAATTTTGGTACGATTTATACGTTCAAATGTAAATTAAAATGGATGACCCGGCGGATAAGAGATAATCAACCATTATTTTTTCTGTGTTTAGTACTTATCACTAACTTATCAGGTTTAAAAATTCTGTTTAAGAATAATAGTTTCTATTAATGTGCATCCCTCCTTATCACAAAAGATATGTATGCATGGCGTGTAAATTTATTGAATGCGAATCATAGTTTTAACCTTGTTAATAATTTATTTGTCATCTATTCACAGTCGACATATCATTAATTAATATATAATTTACATAACAAAGTGTACAAAAATAAATGCATGGCAAACAAACATTTTCATACCATCGAACAGGAAGTAAAAGCAGGTCGAACTTTCACTTTCTGTGAAAACTGATGACATTTTTGACGAATAGTGATGAACGGACGGTCAAAATTAGACCGATATTAATTAAATTTAAATAAGGTCAATTTTCTCTCTACTGGTACTTTTTGTACCCTTCGTCAATCGCTTTGTAAATCGGGCTCGCCTGTTCTTGCAACTGCTGCGCTGCATGTCCAGATCTTGAACTAAATAGAGAATAACATTTAAAAATAAGATAAAATTCATCGCTTATCAAGCCTTATCAACTATACCTGAAAATTCCGCCCAACGGATTCGAAAACGAGCTGGCACCGCCACCACTCCCTCCAAACGGGGATGATCCACCACCACCTCCTCCAAAGAGGGACGATGCTCCTCCACCCAACCCACCCAAACCACCCCCACTGCTTCCACCACCAATACCTCCACTTAATCCCCCCAATCCCCCCATTCCGCAGGAAAGAAATCCCAAATTACAGATGAAATAGGCCGTTCCTGAAATGAGGAAGGCCAACCAGAGCAGCGTGATGGCAATGTTGATGATGAACGCCTTTAGTCCAAGCAGTCCTCCCAACAGGGCACCTTTAACCTAAAAATAAAAAGTAAAATTTCACAAAATTTCCTCAGAAATTTCCCCAAAAAATTCCCAAAATTTCTCCCACAAAATTTTCCTTAAAAAATTCCCCCTTACCCCCAACGAAGAAACCTTAATCGCCACCGGAACCCCGGCCAAGGCTGCGAGTCCCGTCAAATTTCCTGCGGAGCCGTTCGTACTGTTGAAGAGTGACGAGAGATCGGTAAGATTTCCGAGATTCATGGTAATCCCGAATCTCGGATTTCGCCTGCCCTCCTCACTAAATTCTTGCATGGCCTCGTACGCCACACTTTTTGCTAAACGGACAAACACATTTTCCCCCTCGGACAAAATTTGGGGGGATGACGACGAACTCGTCTTTTTACTACTTTTTGATACCAACACGGACGGTGAAAGTTTGGAGGTCGTGGAGGCGGCGGCGACTCCTCCGACGAAAAGGAACGTCCCGACCACGACGAGTAGGCAAGTTTTCATTGCGAATTTATTATTTTTTTGCGAAGAACAATGAGACGGATGGATGGACGCGGATGTGTTACCTGTGGTGGGTGAGATCAGGCAATAAACGTGTTCAAGTGTGCAGTCGCCGGAATTTATACCTTTTTTATCTACCTGGGCTGGTTGCAAATCATCAAATCAGAACCTTACTAATAATTTTGTGTCGTCACAGTTAGTAAAAAATACGCAGCCAGTGCGACTCCCTGACCGAAGGGAGAAGATCGTTACTTATTATTGTTTATGGGTTGTTGTGGGTGGTGGTGGTGGTGGGTTAAAGTTTGGTCCACAAATTTCTGCTCTCGGGCTACTTTATATTTAGCGTTTCGATGCGAGAGGAAGGATGTCGTTATTTATCGTTAAAGATTTATTTAGTAGGGACTTTATTACCAGTTAAGTCGTACTTAAGGAAGAGGAGGCTGATGGGCATTAGGATGTCGTATACTAAATAATTTACGGATCGTGAAGGGTCAAAGTGCCAAATTTTTAGTGAGTGAAAATGAAAACGTGCATAATTTCGGGTAGGTAAAATCTCCACTTTCATAAATTAAGGATGTGAGTGTATATATGTATAGTTTGAGGGGCTATGTGAGAATTTGAGACAAAATCTGGATTAATGGGGAATATGAGAAAATCTCATTTCTCATGTTTTTGCCAATATTTATTCCTTAAAAATTGCATACATGACGATACACTCATTTCATGCATATGTTGCTAAATCGTAATATTAGTGAATTTGAGAGGAAAATGTGGATAATGGGGAATATGAGAAAATCTCATTTCCTATGCTTTTATCAATATTTATTTACAAAAATTGCATACATGACACAAATTAGACACTAATTTCATCAATATGTTAGTAAATCGTTAGTAAATCGTAATACTAGTGAATATTTAGTACGAGACGATCCCATACATACATATATAAACTAAAATGCAGAATCAATCTCAATAAATAAGTGATCAAAATCAGTGATTACACTTTACACGACCCTATTATTAAATGTAACAACGTAACATTTCATTCCCTGCAGGAAGCCGAAACCAACTACCACATCGGGCTCAGTATACATACATAAATTGTTTTGTTGGGTGTATATCGTCTCATTTTTAGCGATCTACCATTCCATCCATCCCACAATTTACATGTCTCTACTACTCGATTACAAAATTTGGTACGTATTTATTTAGGTGTACGTACAAATTCGAAATTCTAGGTCACACCCACAATGTCCGCGGACAGAGAGTCGATGTCCCCATCATCTCCCCATCTTATATAAACCCCGCCCTCCCCTATCCTACAATGCTAATGTCCCCACAGCTTCCGCGGCCACTGGTCACACCCTTTCTGTAAAGGTAAAGGTTAAGTAACCCTTCTCGACTGAAATATTAAATGATGCCATTTCTGCGACCAGACTTAGATATTTTTAGTGATCGACTCCTTGCTGATTATCGATTATCGTTATCTGCTCGTCTATCCTCTACCGTATTTTAAATTGTCTTATTAACTAATCGGGTTGCGTATGGGGCACATACATTTCCTGGTTCGTTCGTCGTCTGTCAAATCAAAGCCACTTTCTGACCTAACCTTCTGCCCCGCATTGCATTTCATTTGCATTTAATTTATTTATGTAGGTACTAAAAATAAAAATGAGAGATATGGGTCACTAATGTGACACATGGCTGGCTGGGTCGCAGGAAAATAAATTTAAAATTCAGCCCACAAAATAAAACAATGACACATATTGTCCTTAAAGTGTCGATCTCCATGTGTAGGTCACGCATACAGATTTTAATAATTGAGCTTTTTAAGATTCACGATGATACGTACAAACTTATGCGTGGCAAATATTTCGAATTCCGATAAGTGAATTGGCACCTTTACAACTTGACAGGGGTACATTTCTCGCATAAAATTATCCAATTTGATGAAATTAATCACGCCATATTAAGATTAATACAATTAATTGAGAAAATAAATGTGTTATCTTCATATCTTCACCGATAACAAAAATGTAATTATCCAATTTGATGAAATTAATAGTAAGATTCCACTACATCGATTATCCATCAATGCAATTAATTGAAAAAATAAGGAAATTTACAATCTTCGTATCGTTACCGTCAACCCGATAGGAAAAAAATGTACGCCACGTGACCAGGTACGAGTCAAAGGGCAATAATGGATCAATTGTTCATATTTTCTTCCCTCCTCATTACAATTCAGTTCGTAGAGATCAAGATGAGCCGGATAAAGGAAAGGAATAATAATGATGAATACAAATACATACATGAACAAACAATACGCATCGCATCACATCCTCGCCAACCCCGACGACGACCCGTAAATATCGGGTCGTCTCGTTTAAGACAAACTAAACTGCAGGTAATTTTATTCCATTGCCGTTTTTATTCGATTGTCTTTAACAGCACATGTCTCAAATTTCTTGATAGTCCAGTGGCCGCGGAAGGCGTGGGGACATCTGGGGACATTAATATTGTAGGATGGGGGAGGGACGGGTTTGTATAAGATGGGCGGATGATGGGGACATCGAATAACAGTGAGGACATTGTCCCTCTGTCCCGCGGCCACTGTTTGATGGTCAAAGTCAAAGGACAGGTGGATGGGTGGGTGGTGGCAAGTCTGTAAATAAGTCGTCTCACATTCCCGGCGTCGACTTTCGCTACGCAAATACATCAATGAATACAACACAATGCAATGCAACATAAGTATGTAAATAACTTTGACGGAGAAAATTTCAAGTAGAATTTAATATCGGTAAGTGCATATTTGCTAATTTCAATTTTCAATGTTCATCCTGTTGTCGGGATGTCATTTCATTTTCATGACTTGGCCTGAATACTTTGGCAGGATTTTTCATACGTATATCTCCTCACACTCGTATCGTTAGAGGAGATCCGTTCCTTATTTGCGGTACATTTATTTAATTACCGTGCAATAATTATCGTACATAAATAAATACACACGTTCCCCTTCGTTCGATTTTGGTAGGCGAGAGGAAAAATTTCCGATTTCCAACCTTCGTTTTTGTAGTTTTGATTTAGTCTCAAGGTTGATAATAAAGAAATATATGTAGCAAAAATGTAATAAAAAGGGTTGAGATTCCCTTAAATCTGTACAAAAATAAGTACAAAAAGAAAGGAAGAGCGAATAATTTTCTACTAAATTTCATTAAAATTAGTACCAATTTTGAAAAAATGTAGAACTAACGATAAACATTTTTAATTATTTTTATGCTCCAACACATGTCGTCTCATATATTTATTTTATCTCTCACAATAGTTGGTTACCAGCAGTTGGTCATCTGCCATGCCCACCATGCCTAATTCATAAATATGCTAATTATATTAATTGCTTGAAGTGGCAATACTTGCATTTTCGGATTTTATTACCCGGAGACGAGAAAAGTGACACAAAAGCAATAAAATAAAATCGGGCTAACACACGATATTGTCAATCTGTTTAATTAGATGCTCGTCGTCCGTTCCGTCATCACCAGTGAAATTAATTTACTTCAGAATGGGTGACACTTTCCTCCTGCCCTGACTTATTGGCAGTTATCTTGCCTTCCTAATTTTATTTTACGACAATTTTACCACTAACTTGGCATAAATAACGACACGCATCACTCCACCCTCACCTGTCACCTGTCCCACTCCCAACCCAGTCCGAGAACGCATTTGTAGAATCCTAATTCTCCACCTGAGTAGGTAATGAAACCAAAGAGATGAGAAAGTAGGATGTAAAGTCTCAATGTGCCCCTTCTAAACGGGTCGTCTCATATTCTCAACTCACCCCAAGGTGAGACACTTGAGACGTTCATTCTCAAAATCCCCATTTCTTACAGAAATAAGAAAATCTCACTCATTTATGTTTCTTCATTTCAAAGTATTGCATTTTTATTCATTTTATGTATCCTTTTCCATATTTCATAAAAAATTCATCTGTTCTTTCATTTAACAACGTTAAATTTAGTGTTAGTTAATTAAACCTTAATCTGCACTCGGTTCTAACTTGCGCCATAGATAAATCATGGTGCAAGTCGTGAAATATAAGTTACTTACACATCGTATATCAATTCTTCCTCGTATAATATAATAATACCAATACTATAACCCAGTTACAGTTAGTTAGTACATACATAATTAACTAGTTACATACTATCATTTAGTTTAACTATACAACATAATTAAATAACTAATTTAACCCATCTTCGATGTGATGTTTGATTAATAGCAATAAAATGTGATGAAAAATACAGATTTTCTTCCTCCTCCTCTTTAAACTAGATAATAATTAAGTCTGGTCAACAATGAACAACGGGCAGTAACAATAATAATAACAGAATTAAGAGAGTGACACGATTTTGTACAAGTTCTTATTTTTAATTATTAATTACTTAAACTTAATTAACGTGCATATTTTTCTTCATTGTATCGTTTCCTTCAAGGTATTTAGGTATAGGTCGGTAGGTGTAAATGCAATCCGGTCTTTAAAAAAACGCAATGTTAAGTATATAAATTATTACAATTTTTCCGCTCATCTTCTGTACATAATTATGGACAATTTTCAATCAGAGACTCGTAATCATGTCAATTAATTAACTATTTAGCCTAAAGTCCAGGTAAAAGTTGAATGAGTATCAGTAATTAATTAATTAATCAACAAAACGTTTAAAATTTGTCTTTTTCTTCTCCCACCAAAGAGCGAGATTAGTTAAGTATGGTTAGCTAAATGTCGCGGTATCATTATTACGTACGTGCATAATTTTTGAAGAAAAAGGGGTAAAAGTTCGACCCAGCCAGAACAAGAATAAGACAGAATTCTGTCGTCGGAAGACAGCCAAGTTATTTCAAGGAGTGGTCAGAAGGAGGAAAAAAAATGCCGAGAAATACATGCCTTAATAAATACGAAATGCCACAATTACATTGTACACACGTTTATCAGTCAGGTTAAAAAACAACCGTAAAATTAGTAATTTGATATCACTTAAGTTTTAGTAACTACTTATTATGCAAAGGTTTCCTTGTCCGTATTTAGTTAGTAGTGTTTTGACTGAAATGCATTGATTTTTCGTGAATTAATATAAGAATAATATCCGTTAACCTAATCCGCAGAGGTAAAGTTATCGTCAGTAGCCTCCAGGTCCAGGACCTTGATTTTGGTATTGCATTCTTTGAGGGCCCCCACCCATCCCGCCCATTCCTTGCTGTTGTTGTTGCTGTTGCTGCATCACGAATTGTCGGACACGCTGGACTCCTGTCATATTGGGATTTTGCTGCATTTGACCGCCCATTTGTCCCTGCTGCATTCCAGGACCCATTCCTCCGACTTGATTTCCCATTTGGTTCATCTGATTTGGTTGCATGCCGCCGCCACTAACCATTCCTTGACCCATTTGATTCGGATTCTGCATCCCCATTTGTCCTGGGGGTACTCCTCCGCCACCGCCCATTTGCATTCGATAAGCCATTTGTCCCTGAGGTCCACCCACTCCGACGCCTTGTTGTTGTTGCATGAATGCAGTCCTTTGTTGACCTACCACCATTTGGGGGCGTTGTTGACCTCCAACGCCAACACCGCCTTGTTGCATAAAGTTGGAAATGTCTTGATTTGGGGGAGCACCACCGCCACTGACGACGCCACGAGCGCCAAGCATTTGGTTTAGTTGAACGTTCGTTTGTGGTTGTTGGTTCATCACGTTGGGGTTAATGTTTGACCCTTGAGCACCCATGTTGGGCTGGTTGAAGGCGTAGTTTTGGTTCATTCCTCCTGAAAAAAAGAGGTTGAATTGTACACTTAATACACCAAAAAGTGATAAAAACTGCATACCTTGCTGCTGTTGTTGCTGAAACATCATCCCCTGTTGGTTCGGATTAGGTTGAATCCCTGGTTGGCCTTGTTGTCCCTGAAAGTTTTGGTTCTGCATCACACCGGGCTGCTGCTGACCGCGTAAATGTTGCCGTAAAATGTTTTGTTGTCTTGGTCCACCAACTTGTTGCCCGCCTGGTCCTACACCACTAGGATTTTGAGGAAATTGACTAAATTGGTTGGGTGGTGGTTGTGGGGGCATTCCGCCAGCGTGATGTCGTGCTCGCAGCATTTGGTTCAAGACTTGTTTCGGAGGTCGTCCTGTAATTAAATAAATATTAAAATTCGGTTCATCTGATAACTTAAATTCATGTTTAAAAAGCTATTCACCTGGACCAGGCCCTTGCCCAGTCGGTCCTTGACCAAAGAACTGTTGCTGCTGCTGTGGTGGTGGTTGCTGTTGTTGTTGGTTCGGATTTCCATTATACCATCCTTGCGGATTCGCCCCTTGTGGGTAGTTTGGTGGCGGACCGGAATTTGGCACTGGAACGGGAGCCATCTGATTTTGTATTTGGGGTGGATTAAACGAATTCACCTGAAAAATATGATTCAAATTTATATCTTTTTTCCTTCACCAAAGAAAAAGCTATATTAGAATAATTGGATAATTTGTGCCCCACCCTCACCGACGGAACTGGAGGCATCTGCGGAGGTAAGCTTGGACTTGGAATGGCTGGCGGTGGGGGTTGACTCGCCGCTGCGGCTGCGAGAGCTAGGGCAGCTTTTGATTGTCTCTTCTTCCTTGGCGCTTTAGGCCGCACGTTAGTTCGCCCGTTGCCCGGCATTTGTAAAATTATCGGACTTTGATCCGAAGACATGGGAGATTGCTCTGGTTTCATGAGATGTTCTTCCTTAATTATGATTTCGTGCCGTACATCCACATCCTCCGGGGGGAGGGGGACGGGTTCTAAAAAGTGGGTATTAGACTTCATCATGTTGTGCGAGTGGAAGCGTAAAAATCGGTGGGCTTCTTCGTAACGGAGTGGTTTTCGTTCCATTTTTACGGCACCAAACCATCCCCAGGAAAGTTGGGCGGGGTTCTTTTGACCTTCAATAATTTCCCAAGGCGAGACGCGCTGCTTCTCCCAGACTTGAAGACCCTACAATGAAAATAATTCATAGATGAATTAGTTAAAATTAGTCTCAAGTCATGTCCTCATTATTAAACTATTTATTAAATGCGTACCGGTTTCTTATCCACATATTCAAAACTTTGGACACGATTTCCCTTCGAGTCGATAATCATTGAAGTGGCCGTTGTCACAATGATGTCAACTTGAACTTTTGAGAATGGGAGGAGTTGCCGCAGCGGTTTTATCGAGTCGGTGTCCTTGTCAGATAATTCCTACGCACAAAGTTATGAATTGATCTGTTCTATATGCTCATTCCCATTTCAATCTCAATTTGAAACCTTACCTTTTTCAGCTTTTTTATCAAATTCATATTTTGTCTCTTCATTTCTTCGATTCTATCACCAGGTTCAGCTATTTGTGTGGAATGAACGAGCGCTGTGACCATGTCGATTACGGTTGGGAAAATATCACTACAAAAACGTTTCAATTTTTCTTTATACTTCTCATTACATATTTTTTTAAAACAGCTCACTTGTTATTGTTTAAATCGACTACGCCATGTGTCACCAATTGCGCCAATACAACGGCCCACTCTGCCGTTGCTGTGCTACTTCGTTGAATCGCGTCAAACATGCCTCCAACCAAACTGAGGCGAAGGCGGAGCACGTCACGGAGAGACGGAGACTGAGGATCCACCTCCTGCAATAAAGAAATTAGTAACCTAATCCACGCCCAAACTTTACAAATCTTCTCACCGGAAGTTTGGCCAGGGCCAAAATTTGAGTAAATTGTGTAAGTAACGAGGCCAACAATCCTTCCCGTTGTTCATCCTGTCCCCTCAGACATGTCAAGATTAACGCGAGGAAGGGCAGATGCGCTTGGAGGCTGCCACCATTCGAGTTGTGAACCTGACCGCGGCGGCTCTTCTTTTTAAAGTAGACTTCCAACACGTTTCCTAATTCAAATCGAACAATCAGCTATTAGAAAAATAATACCTTAAAAAAATGATAAGACGTTATCTTACTCAGAAACTCTCCCGCATGTCGCAGCACCCTCCCTTGAACCGCAGAGCTCAACTTTGTCATGAGTGGGGCCAAAAGCCACGCCGCAGTTGGATTCCAACCACACGTAATGATTTCAATCGGTTCCTCTGCCTGTTTCTCGTTCCCAGATCGGCTGGGTGACTTCCCCGTCCCTTTGTTATTTTCATCCACACTACTCCCACACTCGCTGCTTGAGCTCGAACTACTCCCAGACCCACTGCTCGACACGGAGGGTGGATTTCCAGAGAGCGGATTTCCTCCACCACCACCCAAGATTAAATTCCCTCCGGATGGCGGCGTTTTCGCCACGGTGTCGAGAGTCGATGCCTTTTTCCCACTTCGAGGACTCTTCCCAGGCGTAGGTGACGTTACAGAGGTTGCGGCCGTCAACATGTAGTCGTGACCATCGTTGCCTCCGAGGTTGAACACGTCTAAGGCAGCACGGGCCACAATGTCCAACCAATTCCCGTGCTCGACAGAATTTCCTCCATTGTAACTACTACAGAAAAAATTCGATCAATTAATTTTAATCAAGAATACAAACTTTTCGCTGATTTAAATAATTTTTATGCTTAAATAAGACGAAATTACTTGTTTGTTAATTGCTTGTTCTGTAACGTCAACGTCAACAAGGCCTCCCTTAAATTCCACTGGTCTAGATTTTCCATGAGGCGAGGAATATGCGTCCTTGGGTCGAGTCCGTCCTCTTGCAGGGGAACTTCCGGGTAACAGATGAGGTGGAGGAGGCGTTGCGCTTGCTTCGGTGACACCATGGGATCAAGCAACGTCTCAGCGTTCCATAATTCGGACATTTGTTGCAAACATCGGACCCGTACCCATGGTTCGGAACACATTTGTTGGAGAGCACTGTACCCGAAACTTGTCAGAGTACGAGGTTCGCCGCTAAATAAACAAATTAATTAATTAACATCACCTACAAAACAAATCATTTTGCTAGCATCTTCTAGAATTCTGTTTGAAATTGTAGGAATTTTGCACATGATTTCAAAAATAAATTAACTATGTCGCATCAACCCACAGGTTGACCACTTACCGAATAATATCATTCCTATCTGCCGAGGGGGCATCTGACGTCCCAAGTATATGACTAATGCTAAGTTCTCCATGACCCGGTCTCCCTCTTCGATCTCCCGTCCCTGCTGCATCCGCCAGAAGTAGCATTGCCTTCAAAGCGGCACACACTGCGCCCAAAGTGATCGTCTTGTGCGTCGCGGATAACAACCTCCGATCGCAACTGAGTTTAAGTATGTTGGAGAAGGAGGAGGACGACGAGTTTGAAATGTTGCCACCCTCCTGCGTCTTGAACAGGCTGAGGAGCAATTGACAAGTCAGTCTCGCACCGGCTTCCGTGTCCGGATCGTACCCTGGACCGCGGCCTGGAATTAAACAATATGTTAAATCTCAGGCGATTTTTTTGTACAATTTTTCCAAAATTATACCCACCCTCATTCCACGCCTTTAACAACGAGAAGACCGCCTGCTTCACAAAGTCCTCTAATGAAAAGCACTGCCTCGCCACTAAGAGAGAAGTCAACGTTGCCAAACTGGAATGGATGCTCAAATGTTTTACATCCACGGCTGACAGGATATCTGCATAGAGTGGACTGTGCCTAGAACTCGACGGGCTGCACAACGTCTGCAGAACACCCAACCATTCCGCCGCAAGAGCAGGACACGCCGCTAGATTAAGATAAGTAATATAATTCTTAATAAAAATAGTCCTCAATCTCAAAATCCACAAACTACAAAAACCTACCCGTCATTTCGGCACACAACGACGACAAATCGTTCAGTCTATCGGCGTCCGCCTCATTGCAAATGGCCAGAACAGCATTGCATACGAAACTGTAGCGGCAGGAGGAGCTTGTCACATCACTCAATTGTCGAAGAATGGACGCCTCAACCTAAATAAAATCAAGTTTAACTAAAATCGTCCCATTAAAAAATGTTTATGTTGAATTCAACCTTTTTCTTTGGAAATTCAAGACACTCTGTCATAAAGGATTGATTCCAATTGTGCGAGGAAGGGTCGGCTGGACGAATATCATTGCACAATGATTGCCTTAACTTCGCCGCGACCGGGGACAAGTATTCCGTGACGCTTTTAGCCCTCAGAAACCCACAGCAGGACTGCAACTCGGTGATATAGGCGAGCACGCAGCGTTCCGCGGAGGAACATTCGTGAGTCGAATTTATCCTGCGGAGTAGGCCGACTAAACTCTCCCATGCCATCATGGTCATCTCTCCATCCACTGGAAGAGAAAAATATGGAGTTAATTAAATAAAAAAATAAGGCTATAATTAATTAAGTGTCTTACACAAAAGACAGGAATGATATCTCCTCAGAACAGCGACCAACTGAAGCTGCATGTTGGTTGTGTACACGCCCCCCAACGAACTCGCCCTTTGGCTCAGCAAAACTTCAACGGCCGCCAGCTCGCGCAAAATCCCAACGCACATTTCCAACAGGCCGATATAATTCAGTCCAAGTTCCATCAAGTCGGCCAAGTAGCCGATGTGTTCCACAGTCGGGAGATAACTGTTCCGACCTGCTCAGATTTAACCAAACATAATTAGTATTTATAAATACAAATATAACTTCTTTATCCAACTCACCAGACACAAACGTGGTAAACATTTCCACCACCGTTCCCCCAAAAGAACAAGTCACCGCGTGCTGATCATAGTACGGCAACGCGCAATACTTTCCGGTCAAACCTTCCAGATTCACCTCGTTCTTGGAATGTTTCTTCACTCGGCTTCCATCATTCACGTCATGGCAGAATTTCTTGCTGAACAATTTATTCAACTCTCGTGACACTTTTTTCACTGCATGTTTCGACTCTTCTCTCGCCCTTCCGACCCCGTAGAGCAGAATGTGTCGTTGGTTAGCTTCATGGGCATAATTGTCGTCCTGAGGAAGCTGGAAATTGGTTACATATTGACGATGACGACCCTCCGATTGGCCAACTTTCGAGTTCACTTGGTCCGAACTGTTTGTCGAGTTGGAGAGTGGAGCTTGACCACCCCCGCCGCCACCACTACCACCACCGCCATGTGCGTTTGGCGTGATGGAGCCAAAAGCCCCAGTGGCAGATGTGCCAGAGTCGTCTTTGGGTGAATCGACTTGATCCCGCTCCATCTGATCTTGCGTGATGTGTTGGAGTATTCGATCCAGGTCGTCGTCAATGTTGGGGTCGTCAAAGTCAGATTGGCGAGGAATTTCGGTCATGCGGGGGAGTGGTGGGAATAGGGGTCCATCCGTGTCGTGGTGAGGGGTGGTTGAAGGCCCAGACGAGACAGAGGCGGGCGTAGCGGGGCCACCTTGTTGGGAAAGAGGGCCTGGCGTGGCGACGGAGGGAATGGGTTGGACAGAGGATGGTGGCGCCAATCCCCCCGAACTTCCCGAGGGGCCTGATGGAGGAGGGAAGTTGGAGAGGTCGCCGCGAGCAATGAGAGTGCAGAGGTAGGCGTCATGAGAGAAGACGTCGTGGCGAATCAGGGAAGAAAATAGGTTGACGAGAGAGGCAAACATTCGCTTACTGTGACGTACGGATTCGTCTGATAAGAAATTAATAATTAACTTATTAGTTACAAATTCAAATTAATTAAGGTAATGATAGAACTATAATTACCCAAAATTGGCGCATCGGTATCCAAAAATCCCAACAATAAATTATGAAAAATTGGCAGCCCGTTAGGAAACCCGTCTTCATTTTGGTCTTCTCCCCCTTTTCCGGAATTACTCAACCCATTCACAATTTTAATATTGCTCGAATTCGAATTGGAGTTTGACCCGTCGGCGTTATCAACGTCCATCATGCTGCCATCTCCTCTCTCGCCATTAGTATCACTCGGACTCTCACTCTTGATATTCATTCCCAAATTATTCGTATCTGACGCTGGATTCGACTCGATTTCACTTCCACCTCCGCTTCCACCACCTGAAGAAGATAACACGTCTGCTTGACGATGCTCTAATAATCTGCCCACCACAAGGGCACGATGCTCCCCAGTTCTCTGACTCCCCACGGCCCACTTGCAAAGAAGTAGAATAATTGGAGCGTCCGCCTCGACGGGATCCTCCTTTACCGGAGGGCACGTAAATATTTGTGAGTACAAGGTATCCAACGAATTCGAACTGTCAATTTTGTCAAAATTATGTTTATCCAAGGGCTCCAGAGTGGCCAATACTTTTTGCAGAATCGACCCTGCTGAACTTTGCTGCCACTCGTCGCAACTCCACTTGGCTTCCACCGCTCGGCTTCGCAGCACTACAGAATCCTCCGCATCGTTGAGTTGGGCGCGGATTAAGGAATTATTTGCGCGATTCGGCATTGGAAAGATGGAAGGCTGAAGAGGTAAAATGTCGAGAGGAGAGCCACCCGGGACAGAATTTCGCCCACTCTCGCTCTGTGGCGCCATCGGATTCCCATTGAACACCATTGCGGAGGGACACTCCATGAGAACGACTTGAATAGCGGAGCATAGCCCGAGCACGGTGGGACGGTGGGTGGGACACTTTAGTCGCTCTATTAGCCCTGAAGGCGGTCCAAGTTGGTCGAGGCTGGATCCCGGGGGAGGTATAAAGTCTGCATCGGTGAATATGGAGGACAGTTTTCGCGCCGAGAGGGTAGCCAACCGTCGAGCGAGCAGTTCGGACTGGGCAATGTCGGGCAGGAAGGAGAGCATGACGGGGAGGAGGGCTTTCCACCCAGCGTCATCGACTGATTTTGTCTTGTCGCACATGTCGATTACCCAGATTAGCCATTCGTATCGATCGAGGAGGCCCTCCTAATTATTTTTTGAATAATTAGTTCAGATACAAATTATGTAAATTATTATAATTTCACCCACCTCGTACATATACTTGGCCAAGTCCATGCAGTAAAGCCACTGTTTCAAGCTCACACTTCCGTCGTCTGACAGTCCTTGAATTGGAGTTGACGAGGACGCGTTCGAACCACTGGTTGGATTTGGGCCGTTGATTGAATTGCTAAGAGGAGACGCTAGAGATCCCACGGATGGTGGTCCACCCGTCGTACTGCTGCTCGTACTAGAGGACGTCGAGTTGAGGAGAGAAATTGCCCCGGTGCCACCATTGTACCAGTCAGAGACGCGGAGGAGGATGTCTTTACAGCAGCGAGCCAAGGAAATTGTCCACTCTAACAATTAAAAAAACCACACGTGTTAAATTTTCCATTATTTTTTGCATAATCAAGATTTTGCATAATTAATTTCTTTACCTTGCGAGGGATCCGGCATCTGCCTCTTTTTTGTCTTAGCCTCCGAAATGGCAGAATTGTAGGATGCTGTCATTTTGAGGAACCATCCGGCACGAATCATGGGCACATGGTGTTCTGCCAGAGTTAGGAAGATTTCCTCCCGTTTGTTAAAGATGGGGACTTTTTTCGCAATGGCGGAGAGAGGTTTGCCCCCTGCTAGGTCACGCATCCAAGCCTCCAGCACCGTCTTGTGTCGCGGAGTGTGGGTCACGTGCCAAAAGTGATCTTTGGTATTTACTTGTAATCTTCGCTTTCCAGTGTCGGGAAACGTGTTAGCTTCGGTACGTTTGGAGAGAGCACCGTTCATAAAGGCTCCGAGCTAGTAATACAGATTAATTAGTAAATTAGCCATTGTTTAAAATTATAGCATTGGTTATATTTACTAATTACCTTCGCTGTGCTAATATTACAGTTTTTTGCAGTTCCGAATTCATCAGAGAGTTGAGGTATATGTGAAAATCCTTGTTTTACGTTGACCGCTGTTAGCTCGTCCTGAAATAAGTAAGAAATTGTAGCGTTAAATTTTCCATGCACAATTAACTAACTAATCTAGTCAACTAAACTTATTCCTTACCTCTCTCTGTCTCGGATCCTGCGGATAAACGTCCGGCGGTCCAAGCTTCGGCCGTTTTAAAGGCCTCTTCTCGTGAGAGAATATCATCGTGCTGGCCATCATTTTATTGCTGGGTTGTTTTTAATGAGTCTAGCTCACCGGCAAGAAGAGAAGAGATTAAGAGATCGGGGTTAAAAATAGTAGTAAAATAATCAATTAACAGCCTCCCTTCAACTATCCACTACTAATTAGCTATATCTTCTTTTATGACACATCTCACTACAACCAACTTGAATTAAATACTTCTTCAATTTCTACTAAAATAATTAACTTTTTTTCGTCGTCGTCAGTTCTTTTGATAATAAGACACAAACAATTGCAAACTGGCCACAAAATTTTTTTAATAGCTTTTTTCACAACCTTTTCATTCCAGTGATGTTATTTACCTCATTATTAGCTTAACTAATTAAATCCCTACTTAATCACTAGTTAAATTTAACAACAAGATTTCCATCCTGCCGTGATTTCCTCTTTTCCGATTAAATCAGAATAATAAATAACCCACCACTCCTTCCCACATAATATAGATCTTTACCCTCTTCCCCACCCATTTAATTAACTAATTACACACACAATTTTACCCCCTAATTTAATCCTTAATTAAAATTTAATTGTAAGAACGACATACTAAAAATAATTAAATTTTTATTAGGCTGGGTTTTCCTACTAAATAGAAATCGAGATTCCGTTAATTGTGGTGTTGTAGTAAATACAGTGACAGTTCAATTTCTACCGCGGAGTGAAAAAAGTTGAGATTTGTGTCACTTTACCCCATACAAATTTTTTCATCCATTCCAATGCATAAACAATTAACTTTTAACAATGCATTTATTTATTTTTTAATTGTTCGAAAATTATGCAAATTACTGAATTCATGCAGTGACATGAATGAATGAGACACAAGTCAAACCAGACTAGGTAAAAAAACGTAATAAATAATATTGTTGTCGTGGTGGTGGTTGAGTGAGATCGGTCGGTCGAGCATTCGTGTTTCTTGTCATCATTTCATTTCTTTCTACGGCAGAGTTGGTCGCAATTTAATTTAATTTAATTTTTTAACTAACGCAGCAATTTGCTGCTGCTGATATTTTTGCTGAGTTGGTTAGTGCAAAAGACACGGTTAGTAACAGCGTAAAGTTGTAAATGAGCTCCTCTCCACGAGCTAAAAACAAGGAGTAAAAAAGACAGACGGATTGAAAGTGAAGGTAAATAAACAAACACAACAATGAAAGTATTTGTGTTATATTTACTTAAAATAATTAAGATTGTGGTGAAATGTGTGTCAAGTATTTGAGTGGATTGGATTGGATAGTGGAAGTGAGTGAAATTGGGGAGGAACTTTTTTTTATCTTTGACAAGTGAGGTACTTACACCTTTTGATGATGTTTGTTTCATTCATTTGTTGTTATTTGTATTTGGGCAGTTAGTAGAGCAGTTAGTAATTGTTGGCTGTTTGTTTGGGGTATCGATTACAGAATAGTAATCCTTTAGTTCATTCAATGGGTTGACATTGAGCCCAGGGTTTTCATTTTAAGTGTGGTTAGTACGTTACGCATTTAGCCTTTTGTGGTGGAGGGTGGGTACGGAATGAGGAGTGGATCAATTGGTTGACTAAGTAATAAACGCAGTGTGGAATTCAATTAGAATTAACAGCCAACTACCGACTAGAATAGAACTTGTAGTATTTTATGGGCAGATACTTTATGGGATTTTAGTAGTTCAACAAGTTGTCGAGTTTAACGTGGAGTGGTGGAGTCAAGATGATGATGACGGCTATTTGTTATTGTGACCAATTAAGTATGCTAAATTGTTGGATAATGTGTCACTCTGAAACTTTATTGTTCTTTGTAATTTTCTTTGTGCTTTTCTTTGTGTTGGATTTATAGATATTCCGATTTAAAGTATTTGACAGCCAGCTGGATAGTAATAAATGAGGACAAGTCGATATTATAAGAATGTGGATAGAGGTTGTTAGATTTGGTAAGTAATATACATTAAAAAGTTAAGTCCGTTAAATAACCTTGCACTGAGACCTAATTAATTTTCCTGTACACACAGATATTAAAAAATTCGACCAGAATCAAAACCCTTGTACAATTATCCACCGTCCCTTCTTTCATAATTAACGTCTACATAAAATTAACAAAAGCACGATGAGTCTCGAAGACCAAACCACCCTTGAAAATAGCCAAAAAACGGACCATAGCCGTGTCCAACAAGAAGAACATGGACACGGTCACGCCACAACCACCAGCAGTACAAGTAGCAGTGATAACACGGTCACCTCAATTTCTGTGGAACAAGGAGAATCGACATACCGTATTACTAGCCCCCAAGAATCCCCCCTCCGTCCAGTCACCTCGCACTCTCCGCTGACCAGCACGCCGCTCCTTCTCACCAACACTACTAGTAGCAATTTTAAGACGCAATCATCATCTTCTTCACACGAAGCAGAAAATTCGAAAATAGTTTCTCAAAATAATCATTACAATTCTTCGACGGACGAAAGATCTTCCTCCTCCGCCATAAATACGGTTGAAGTCCTCCCCTCGTCAACGTCAACAACGCAGATCCATCACCAGAGTCAGAATAGTGTCCAAGAATCTACAAAAATAGCATCGACGTCGTCATCATCGTCCAACAATGTCGACCATAGCGCAATCACAATAATTCAAGTCCAGTCCAACAATTCTCAAAGGATCCAAGATTCTACCAGCACACAAGAGACCACCGTCGTCAAGAGGACTTCTTCTCACATGCAAGAGACCGACTTGGACATTGACGTTGACGGGCTGGCCATCACCCGAATCAGAGTGACTGGCGAAAAGTCTCCCTCTCCAGAAAACGATGTGGTCAAAGTGACAGTGCTAAATGGTTCTAGTAGTCACGCTATTATTGACGACGGTGATGGACAAATTACTCCAACTAATGGCGAGGATGCTGACGATGGGAGATGTTCCATCAGATTTGATAACAATCTCGGCGTCGGAGTGGGCGGCCTGGTGGGTTCGCAACCGTCCGATTTAAATGATACCGTGAGTGAAATGAGCAGTGTGGTCAATAACCCGTCAGTCATCTCGCAACTTCCCGACCGGTACGGATTCATGGGTGGAGAGCAGTTTACACATGAAAGGTAAATTTTTGAAAATGAAGTTTCTACGGATTTACGCAATAATTAAGAAATTTTGCGTATGCAGAGAATGAATTTTGTAAAATAAATTTCGTTTTTTGGACAGTTTAAAGTTTTTATAAGTTTGTTTGTACTCAAAAAGTTTATAGTTCTTCATAGTCTCATTTAGTCAGGAAAAAACGATCTCGTAATAGTTTTGTAATTCTGTTCAAGAATATTTTTGTAAAATAATAATGACACTCAGATCGAGATCGAAACCTCGCAGTCAGAACAGTGTCAAGTTTGATTTACCACCGCCATTTGTGCTTGATATAAATTCGGATGAAGAGTTTTTATCGTTTTTCGAATTGTGCGTGATCCTTTTGTACCTTTTTTTACAGAAAAATTTTACTAATCAAACTTTTATTTATTTTTTACAGTGAACCGGATCCATCCCCCGAAATAGTCAGACGTCGTGAAATGTGAGTAATTAATTGTACATGCATATCTTTAATCAGCTATCAGCCAATCTGTGTGTAAACTTTTAATATTTTAATGTTTTTTTTTTATTTCAGGAAATGGCTTCACATGATTGACAAATGGGATCACTTTATGCGTAAGGATTTCAAAACGGTTCGAAGTCGGTGTCGCAAGGGGATTCCTCGCTCAGTTCGTGGTCGTGCGTGGTACTATCTCTGTGGGGCTGCATTCGTCAAGAAAAAGGACCCCGACCTTTTCTTCAAGTTGTTGCAACAAGAGGGTAGAACCAGCGATATTGAGGACATTAAGAAAGATCTTCACCGACAGTTTCCGTGGCATGAGATTTTTGCAGAGGAGGGACATGGGTAACCAAAATTAGCATAAAATTAACATATTTTACTATTAAAATGCTTCTATTTAATTGTGGTGCTCTTGTACTTTTTAGGAAAAAAGATCTCTTCAATGTTCTCAAGGCACATTCAATTCTCAACTCGCAGGACGGCTATTGTCAAGCTCAAGCTCCCATCGCATCCATTTTACTTATGCACATGCCGGCAGAAGACGGTGAGTTTATTAGCGATTATATTAAAAATTACGAATTTACCAAAAATGAATATATTTGTAGCTTTCTGGTGCTTGGTCGCCATCTGCGACAAATATCTCAAGGGATACTACTCCCATGAGATGGAGCAGTTAAAATTGGACGGAGATATTTTATTCGGTCTCTTGAAACGTATAGCTCCCCCTGTTTACAAGCACATGGTAAATTAATTAATTAACTATCCATTTAATCTGTGGGCTAAAATTTTTATTAATTTTGTGCACTTAGAAAAAACAAAAGATCGACCCCGTTCTCTACATGACGGAATGGTTTCTCTGCGCCTTCACACGGTTAGTTTTCTTACTGATGTAAAGATAAGCTGTGATAATAGTTAATTGAACCGAATGTAATTTGGTTAATTTAATTAAACGCAGAACGCTCCCATGGTCCTCCGTGCTCCGCGTGTGGGATTCGTTTTTATGTGAAGGGGTCAAAGTATTGTTTCGCGTTGGTCTTATCCTTCTAAAATATACGCTGGGACGCCCCGGCATTCTCAAACAGTGTCCCTCCATGTACGAGACGTTGTCAATGCTAAAGAATCTACCAAATTATGTGACCCATGAGCAGTTCCTCGTTGCACAGATTCAACGGTACGTACACGTGTTATGAATTAAAAGTTAATGTAGAATTTGCTAATTGAAACATGTCACTCCCTGCAGAATGGATGTATCTGACGACCAAATGAGACGAGAACACTATAAACAAAGCAAGAAGAGAAAGAAGGCCGCAGCGAAATTGGAAGAAGCAAAGAGACAACAGGAAAGAAATGCTGCAAATTCTCGTCGTCCAGGCCAAAATAATCCTGGAGGAACATACAGAAGCCACGAGACATCATTGTAGCTTAATAGTGATTAAACTATGATTTAATACCAACCTGTATTTAAACAAACAGCAATTACTGGAATATTATTATCAATTACGGCTTACGATACCAAATAATGCTGAATGATGAATCGACAAAACTCAAACTCCTGTTCTTTCGATTTTTACTGGAAAATTAATTAATTTAAGACAAGTATAATTTATTACTATTAGCGTTTGTATGGGGTTTACTTAAAATACTCCAAGATTTTTGCACATTTTCTCTAAACCTTGTTCCGAGCTGACTGGTGCTTTTTTGTGAAAATGTACAAAATAATTGTAAAAGTAACTACATAAATTCTGCAAGTGTGCTTTTGCTACTAGGAATATTTAGGACTAATTAATGCCAGAAAATGAAAAGAGACTGTACAATACTATTCCTAAAATGTTCTAAAACTGTTTTTATACTTTACTCTTTAATAACTTGCGTCAATGTTGTAGCTTAACTATGGCGCAAGTTATTTAATGATTCAAATAGTATTTAAACTCTGCTTATTGTTAATTCTTCCCAAACCTTAAATATCTTTAATCATTCTCTTTCAACAGAACATTCCGACTCTTCAAATTTTCTTCAATCTTTTAACATTAAAAAACTAACTATTTAATTACAAAATCAATGCAACAATATTTAACACAGCATTTAATTCATTTCTAAAATATTTATTGTTTTTAATTAACTATTATTATCTAATATATGTAAACTTCATTCCGACTGATTACATACTCTCGTTCAATCCATATTTAAGCTTCTCAACTCTATTTCTACGTATGTACTTTCCATACAAAAATACCGTAAAAATCGCAAACTTTGTAAATACAGCCAGCATTTTTTAACAATTTAACAACTTTGAACCAATAAATTGTTAAAGTTATTCCAGTTAAGGATGACATAATGCTCAACTTTTTAATACGATACAATCTCAGATCATAGACCTCATTCAATGGCATTTTATTTTTAATTTGTCATTTAATCACTTCTCAGAAGACGAAATTTAATCCGCATTCCTTCCTTCAATCGATCCACTTCAGGTACTTTTACTCCTTTTCTTTCTACGCGTCTAAAACTAAACTAAATACTTTTCCACGAAGTCTATTCTCGCCTGATATATATTTTTTTTCATTCATGAAACTTTCAGCCTACCCAAGAAGCCAACAAACCAATCGAAGAAAGGGTCCCATTTCATGAAGGAAGGTGAAGCCCTTATTATCCAACTCTGAACTGAAAGTGCCCTTCATTTCATTGTCATTCATTTTCGGATTTTTGGTCCACTTTTCCTTCCAAGGGCTCGCCACCATCCGATGTCTGAGTGCCTACCTCGTGGTGCCTTCGACCTTTGCCCATCTCACGCGTCCATCTCGTCTCGTTCGGATCCCTCTCAACTTTTGTTAAGTAGAAAAGTGAAGTCAAAAATAAAATTGCCAAAATCAAGTCAAAATTTGTACTACGACTTTGGCAGAGCGTGGGACTGTGACCCGAGGTAAGTTCAGTTCAGTATTTAATGGTACGCTAAAAAAGAAAGAGGTGCATTTTTTCGCACAATAATATTATTATCTTTCGTCCCTCGTCTCGCTTGTAATAGTAAACAAAGATTAGATTAGTTTTTTTTACTACGACGAGACGAGTACATTTTTTGCTCAGAGATGAGATGTTATGTTGCTGGATGATGATTTTGTGAGACTGCGATGCCACAAGTGTTTATTTACTACTTGGCTGATGGCTCCATTTAGGTATTAGTTTTGTAGTGATGATGGTCGTGATTTTTGCCGGTATCGCATTGCATTCACAATATTGGTGAGAGAGAGCGAGAAGAAGGACGAAGGAGTTGATAATTTGCTTGTGGTTAACTTTAACTAATTGTGGTTGGTATTTAGGATCGGATTACATTTTCACACACATTCTTCTTCTTTTCTTTATGTGCAGTTATTTTGGAGGACGCAGTAGTCAAATAATAACGAGACGAGCTTTATTTTATTATTTATTGAGAGGACAAGGCCAGACCAGTCATTCACTTCACGGAGGGAAGAAGGAACGGAAACAAGTTGTTCGGAACAAGAGGGCGAAAAAGACGTAACAAATTTACGTTGGTTGTTCTTCCAGCGGAAAAGGTAAATTTTGATTGATTAATTAATAATGAAATCCATTTGTAAATAAATAATTTAATAATTGTAGAAAAGGGGACGATTGAATTTTGATTTGTGATGAAAATGGATCAAGCCGAGATGACCAAGGCGAAACTGGCTGTGGTTGGAGGGGGCAGCCCCATCCTCAGATTGGACAAGAACGGTGGAATGTTTCGGATTCCAAGTAATAATTAAGTTATTAAATGATTATCAATCGCCAGTAATTAATTTATTTATTCTAATCATATTTATCTCCAGTCTCTGATAAATGGGCACTTGCTGGAACGACGCAAGTAAAATTTCGTTCCACTCGAACCACACTTTGCGTTTTGGGACTCCTCTTGACCCTAATCGTGACCGGAGTCGTGCTCAATTGCAGAATTCACAACTTGGAGGCGAAGAATGTCGCTTTGGAGGGAGAACTCCGCACCGTGAATCTCAAGCTGACCTGTCTCATGGCGAAAATGTCGGGAAATGATGATACCAGTAGGATCTGTTCAGAGTGGGAGAATGAATTAAGGTTATCACCCGTTGTTGATCAATACTATGCAAATGAAGAGAAGGATGATAATGCACAAAAATCTGGACGACGTGTTCCGCGATCGGTGGGAAATGATGCGGATTCCTCATTTAAGAATATGAATTTGACCTCCGCCTCCCATCATCGAAAACGAGAGCGAGGTACAGCAGTTACTAAATCAGAAATCTTGAAACAATTCCGTAATCTCAAGGATCTCCGTGAAAAGGACCAAATCGATCTCACTAAGCTTAAAATCAAACTTGAATCTGCCAAGATACGTGCTAAAACTGCAAAATCTCTTCTCACTGCTTATCGCGCGAGTGCCCGTGACCAAAATCGAAATGCTGGCAACACGAGTGGTACTTTTTTCTGCACTCTTTTATCCAACAGCACACACATTTCAATTTTTACCATTCTTTTACCTTTGTGATGTTTAAATTTCATTATTTCTCATTTTTGGCAAATATTTTCAGTCATTTGACTAGAACACATTTTGACAATTCGAATTATGAAACTTTTTTAAAAATTTGAAACATAATTTTTCTCAGATGCCCGAGCCGTCTACTTAACCGTGCGTGATACAGCGATCAACATTCAAAACCCTAAACGTAAGCCGGAGAACATTTTAAAAATCCATCCTGATCAAGGTACACTTCATTCTCTTGTCTTCAGTAGAACTCATCGGTCCTTGGCACATGGCGGAGACGGGTTCAAATTTGGGCTTTAACGACCTATGGTATCGAAACTTGGCCCTTGACTATAACGGAACTTCCGTCGTTTTTCAAGAAAATGGACTCTACTTGATTTATGCGCAGGTATGCAATCAAAAATTCATAGTGAAATTAGGTACATATTCCCGATGACTAAATTTTTCTTAATGATAGGTTTACTACAAAAGCACGCAGACCAAGAAGGACAAAATTTCTCCCATGGGGTTCAAAATCTACTTGAAGAAGAATACAAAAACCAGCCAAATGTTTAAACAACCAATTCCCATTGCCGAATGTGTACCAGCCTTTCCCAAAACGTTTTATCAAACCTGTTTCACCCAGATTTGTTGGTTTATCGAAGAGGGGGATCAAGTCTACTTGGAGCACTTCACTGAAGCCTTTCCAGTCATTGAGGCAGAAAAAATGGGACAAACTTTCCTCGGAATTGTTCGGCTTTCCCATTAATCGAGAATATTTTGCATAGAATTCTCAATTACTCTTTTCATGACAATCACGTAGAATTTAATTAAATCTTTAATTAAAGTTCGATAGATTTTAGGAAGCAATATTCAATCAGTAATAATAACTAACTACATTGCCAAGCTTGTCATTCTCATTAAGAAGGAAATATGTACTACCTGAGTCCGTCCAGAGTGCTGGAAACTGTGAGGATTCGTCTTTCGTGATTTTACTTGGAGACTTATTTAGCTTTCATGTTACTTATTACCATTCATGTGTTATTAGTTAATCAATTAACGCTCAACTTCAAAGTTCCTATTTTGCAGACCTGCTGTCTTATCTTGACTGTAAAGTACATACGCTTATACAATTTCTAAAAATTATTATAATCATAATCATGCAACTTGCCAGTATTTGTTAACAGTTTTTTGTCATTTATTAAAAAAAAATGGTATTATAGAAAAGTTTCTGACCACGCGTTACACATGTCCCAACACGTGCAATTAATAGATATCAATATTTTCATATTTTTATCTTGTTTTTTTTTGTAAGACAAATCGTATTAAAAATGAATTTTACAATCTGTTAAAACTAAACCAAGGTTGTTCATGAATCATCATGTTATTGTTTGATAATATTTCTCAGGCAAGAATTTCATGCTCAGCATAATTTGAGAATCTCAAATTGAGATGATGACTAAATTTATGAATGAAAAATTGCTGATGATCTAACTTCACCTAGTAAAATTGAATGAATCACGGTTCCTGGAAGGAAAATACACCCAGCTATTTATTAATTTTTTTCCGGAAATAAATGCATACTATGACTGAAAAAATTGCCAATTGCGAATTCTAACTAAATTTCACATCAAAATCTACCGACTTATGGCATTCTTGCTACAAATAAATTCATCTTCATTTCACCTTGGTTCGAACTTTGTCTCCAATGTTATGTCAAAATGCGAATCATTCATTTGTGCTAGTTTAATGCCATTATTTCATAATTTAGTAATTCAAATGGCAATAGTGGATTAGGAGATATTGTTCTACTTCAAAATAATCTTGATTTCAAAATCCCTAATTATGAAACTCCCACAAATTTTAAATAAAAATGTTGTCAAAGTCAATAAAATTACTCATTCTGTTTTTTAAGTGACCCAAATTGTGAAAATACAACGCTTTCTTGCCTCCCTACGCACGTGACTATCTTTAAACTTTAAAAACTGACCATTTTGCAACGAAATTGCCCAAATTCTTAACAACTTTCCCATATTTTTTTCACCTTCACCTGCTGCACTTATCGCATTTTTTTGTATTAACAACTCAATTCACGCACCGCAAAAAAATGCCACTTATTTTTTAATCCTTCACCTTTGTTCATCACACACAACCCTTCCCATAAAAGTCGTAAGTAGTACCTACGTACGCATAAAAGGAGTAATAAATATCTCTCAAAGATCAACCGGAACCATTTTTCTGTCTCAAACAAAGGGCAAACTTCATCTTCGCACATACCTCCAAAATAAAATAAAAAAAGGCGTTAAAAACAATGCCTCTTAATACCTGTATGGGAGTGGATTAGCATATTATTAACATTATATTATTAGTATTGACTTATTAACACACGGCGGATATTTATCTATGAAAAATTTCACAAATATTTTGTTAAGAAAGAAAAGTAAAATTAAGAAATTTTAGGGATTTTTGCCAAAAATCTATTTTGTAGTGTAAACTTTAAAAAAAAATATTTTCGTCTAAAGTCGTCAAAATATTACATTCTTGCAAATCTTACAAAATTATAAAATTTTGACGTGAATACGCCCAATCTGTTTTTTATGTTACAATTTTGCTAAAAATTTATACCTGAAATACTTGCAAATTAATACTATTTACAAAAAACTTTGGAATATTTTTGTAATATTTAGAAATTCTTAGAAATTTTTGAGTTGTCCTGAATTTTTCAACACCCACAAAATTTGACCTTGCGTCACCAAATGCGTCACCAAAAACTAAATATCCGCCCTCTACTTACCATTTAGTATTGACTTATTAATAACAATTTTTTAAGGTGTCGAATCCGTGTCAACTTCCAAATCCATCCATTCCATCCGTGTACTTTTAGGGTTTAGTCTCCCATCATAATCTAATTCTGGGTCAGCAGAAAAATAGCCAGCCACATATTTCACTACTACCCGTGTCATCATAACGAAAATCCTGTGCAACCTTTCTTTGTTGACGAAATGAGACAAGAGACCGACCAAGCCACCAACTAATTTGCAATTTGTAACTTATTGTCATTTCACGAACAATGTGACTGATTTATTTCACTTCTGTTTAAAGACGACCCGGACCGATTAACAGCCATAAATACTTCACCCCTTGCCCTCTCCAACGCCCATTTTTAACTCAACTTCATTCTCGGCACGTCTCACTCACTCATTCATTTGCACTTCAAAATATTTTTGCACAATAGAAAATTTGAAAAAAAGAAATGGATTTGAAAACTTTTTTCCTCATAATTTCCACCCTAATTTCTTCCTCTTCCTGTAACGCTGATCAGAATATTAATATTACCACGGAACAAATTGTCCCAATAACGACGACGGCACAAAGTAATATTGTTACGACAGAGAAAGTGTACCCACCTGTGAAAAATAGTACTACGAAAATCCTCCGAAATCCGAAATTCGGATTTAATCTGCCCGGAAATATACAAATTCCTGGTTTAACCGATATAACTACGACGCCATATCCAAACTATGCGAACGATATTAGCAATCAGCAAGGAAATCTTGGCAGCGATCCGACCAGACTTGTTGACCCTGGTGGTGTCGGTATTGCGTCGACTATCGCGTTGGTAAGTAATTTATGAAGATAATTAGTTAATTAATTTTTCCTACAAATTAGTAAAAAAGAATGGAATAATTTGAAGGTCAAGGGTGGTGTCCTTGGAGGATTAACGGCTCTAAAGGCGGCCGTCCTGCCGCCACTCTTTATCGGAGCGGTTATCGTATTTTTGGTCGCTGGGGCTGCCTTTTTTGCTTGTAATGTCGTCAATTGTAGAGGATTCTTGGGCAATTTTGGAGGATTGGGGTCCACATTCGGGGGTGGGGGGTCGTCACCTTTTTCCAGCTTGTTAAGTCGGTGAGGTTACAAGATTATTGAAATTTTGTGAATTTTGAGGCCAAAAAATTCTCAAATCACGATTTTGAAATTTAAAAAAAATTGATTACTTATATTTTCCCAAAATTTATTTCCTAAAATTGTATTACACCCTCAAACGCAGAAACGAATTTGACTCTTCGCCCTCCTACTACGGGGGCAGCCCTTCGTCCTCCCTTGACCCTTACAACTACTACGAAAACCAGGTCCAACCCGTCTACCAAGCTTTGGACGAAGGATACAAAAAATACGACGGAAGTAAAAAATCAATTGATAAACAATAATAATAAAAACACTAATTTTTTAAAAAACTGAAACCATTATTTCCTAATTGATTTTTCTCAGTCGGTTTGTTTATCTATTTGGTGAAAGGCAGTAAAATATGATCACTTCGTGCTAAACTTGTTCCATGGTGGATCCATTTTATCACGTTATTTTCATTACTTTACTCGATCGTAAAAATGCGAAATGTAATGCATCCAAAATTAGGATATACCTACGCATCTTAGAAATATATATATTTTTATTGACACCAAAGTAGATTTCTAGTTCAGTAGGTGGAACGTAACGTCGGAGTGAAATCTGTTCGGATTTGCCAGTCAGGAAAAAAATTGAAGTATTCAAATTCCATCTTCTTCGAGATGATGATGATCTGCAGATTTTTGCACATAATTTTTCTAATCTCTTCGCTAAAACCGGGGTCATCCTTAAGCTCCAGAAATTCGTCAAACAGCAAAGTTTGGAAGGCTCCCAAAGTGACCGATAATTTGGTCACGTTACAAAGTTTTCTGGATAAAGTGACCCGAATTGGGACGTCATCACCAGCACCAGTACCACCACCCGACGCCCTGGCCCGATACGCGTTCACGTACCATTTTCTAAAACCAAACGATACGATTAGCATCACTTCCACGGCCGCGACGACGACGACGGCAACGACGACACAATCGTCAGGAGGAAATTCGACCATGGCGGCCAGCGCGATTCAAGACGTATGCAAATATTTACAGATTATTATAAGTACTTAATTATTAATTTAAATGAAGATCAAGTCTGAACGGTGTACTCTTCCTGAGTTGTAGAAATTCCCAAAGAGTGTTTCCGGGTATTTTTTTTATAAAAAAAAATCAAAACGGAAAATTAGAGATTCTTTTTTGCTTGCATAATGCGTGTGACACCAAAAAATATAATTATAATTTCTTAACGTTGGAATCACTATACATTTTTCAGGAAAAAGCAAAACCCCAATTTTTTCTGAAAAATTTATATCAAAAAACCAAATTTTCCTGAAAAATCTATAACGATTCGAACGGTAAGCAATCATGAGAACAAAAAAGATCTAAAATTTTTAGTTTTGAATTTTTTCGAAAAAATATTCAGGCACGCTCTACGAACGTATCTGAGATTTCTATAACCTAGGAAGAGTGCTTGATGCAAATATGTAAATAAATAAAACACGGGGTCAGGTCATGTCTCAAATTCAAGACCCTTTTAAGCACGGCGTGACCTCTGCCCTGCTTGCGGGCTTGTACATCCTCGCCCTCGTCTCCCTCACCGTCTTCGCCACGACGGGCACGATCGCCTTCGTCTGCTCGTTCGTGGACTGTCGGAACTTTTTCCTGGGGATGAAACCAGACTCGTCGATGCCGAGAAGGATGCGGTCAAACGAGGTCATCGGAGGTCAAAGTGTACTATTTGGGGGGACACCGATCAGATTTTGGTATTTATTTATTGTGCAAAATTAATTATGCAAAAATTTCGCTAATTAGAAAAGTTTTCTAAAGCTATTTTCTCCAAATAGGGATGAAGGATGGCCTGAAATGGTGCAATTTTTCGATAAGTTGCAACCTTATCATCATCATACTTAATTATAATTGCTGAAATTAATTAGCAAAAAATATGAATAAATACAAATACAATTTTTACTTTATATTTATTTCATAATTTCCTAATATAATTCTAAATAATAAATACCAACAATTAAATAATGTTCAACAATTATGGCTATAAACGAAAAATAAAAAACTTCCAAGAATACGATCAAGAAATCGAAATCTAAAAGGACATTTTAACATCCAAAAACTGAATAAAAGCAAATCCGGCATTGAAGAAAGTAGATCACGAAGGAAGAAATCATTAACTAAATTAATAATTTAAAATTATTACCATAAATTAAACAACTTTCCATAAATAAGCGTACCTTAAAAACTGTCCTATAAAATAATTTCCTTATCCTTCCATTTTAAAAAAAGCTCGTTTGAGTCGAAGATACATATTACAAAATACAAAAAAATATACAAAAAACAACAATTTGCATCCTAAAATTTCCTAAATTTCCTAAAACAAATATTCCTACTACTATTGCAATAAGTCTTTTTTACTCAAATCTCCCTCCCCCTCCGGCCGATAAGCCCTCTTCCTCTTCTGCATTTTAAACCTCTTCCTCTTCTTCTTCCCGTTCCCACCCGCTTTTTCATTCTCATTGACCACGGAGGACAAAAAATTGACCATTTCCGGGCTCGGATTCGTCAACCAGTCCGTCAACAAGCCCTTCGCCGTGACCACTTCGGTCGGCGGATTGTTCGTATAGAGAAAAACGACCAGGCACAGAAACGCGAGGGCCGACACGACGAAAAATCCGCCCCACACGAGAACCTTGTACTGCTTGAAGAAGACGTCGAAACCGTCCATAACGCCGATTTTTTGGTGCGGATTCGTCGTCCCTCCGGTTGTGAGGACAAGCTTGCTGTCGGCCGCGTTCTGCTGCTCGCCAAGATCCGTGCTGGCTTCGGGTGGCTTATTGAAAGGATGATTAGTGGCTAGATTTCCATAAATATTCGGTTTCTGTTGCGAGTAATAAGGATGATGATTATTTGGGTCATGCGACGGTGTCATTAGGGCTGCGTAATTGTTATTATTATTAGCATGATGATGGAAAGGAGGCCGTTTTGGGTATGGGATTCCGTTAAGATTTCCACCACCGGCCAGGGAGAAGAATGACTTTGGAGGAAGACCAAGTCCCGGTGGGGGAAGGTTGTTATTGGGATTTGGGTGGTTATTTTGCGACAACTGGGCGAAACTTGTCGGATATTTGTTCGCCATTTGATCAACTTCCTCGTCGCGAGATTGGGCCGGGAGGGCGTAGCCGGGAGGAATATTTGCATTTAGGTTGGACCCCACCTGGTTTTGTGGGGTGGACTCCTGCGCGAGAAGGTCAGATTCGGAATCTGTGTGGTGAAAGTTTTCGAAAAAGTGAGGATTTTCGGAACGAAGTCGTCTCTCCCGAGATTCTGGGGTGGTCAAGTTACCGTTATTTGGATTGTCGGTGAGAGAGATGTGAATTCGCCCATTGTTATTTTGATTTTTATTCCTGTTTTTAGATTTCTGTCGCTTATTTTTTGGGGGGGATTTTTGCTCCAAATTAAGTGGAAATCCGAGCGAGGGTTCCGTAATGCTGTCCATTTGTTGGGGGAGGCGTAACGGGGAAGAAATTGGGGACAATTCGACATCCTCCACGACTCCCTTACTTTTCGGTGTTGATGACGCCACAATTATCCCGTCGTCATGATGATGATCCCCACCCATCGACATGGACGTGGACATCGACACGGTCAAGACATCCATGGGGTTAACATCCTTCTGGAGAGACTCTGCCGTGATAATGTCGTCGTCCCCTTCCTCAAAATGTGGCCTCGTTTCCGGAAATACGACCGGTTTGGGTAACGTTATCTGCACCGGTCCCCCCCCATTGGCATCCTCACTGCCGAACTTTGTGATCCCTTTATTACCCTTCCACTTGCCGAGGTCTGAGGGTGACCCAGGATTCTTATTGCGCAACCCTTTTGTCCCCTTGTTCCTCTCTTTTTTACTCCTTTTCGCCTTCAATCTCTCCTCCGCGACGCCCACGCCCTCCGCCACGGCTTGATACGAGGGGGAAAACTTTTGCTCTTTCGAACTTCCCAGGGCGAGGGATTGAAAAGTGGATAAAATGTTGAAAAATGGCTCCAGCCTAATTTTTGGACCGGTATCCGTCTGCGTGAGAAATGGGGAGAATGATGACGACGATTTTCTCGTCGACGTGGGTGGCAATTTTTCCGTGGTGGAGTCAAACACGGCCTGGTCAAAGTCGGCGGACATGAGGGGATCACGCTCATTGTTGGTGAAGAGTTTGGACGGTTTTTTTAACTGGTTGTTGTTATTTTCTACGCGTCGTGTCGTCTTGGGTTTCGCGTCGCCCGGTGTGACCCGGGTGAAAAAGGGTCGGGAAATGGCGGATCGGGAAATGTTCACTTTTTCCACGTAGGTGGGGGGAAGGAGGGGGATGTTGGTGTACGCTTTGGACACGGAGGTCGGCACGGGGCTGGTTAATGATAAGGTTTTATTGTTTTTCTTGGGGCTTCCGCCGGCATTGACGCCGGAGAGGAGGAGACTTTGTCCAATTAAGAGGAGCACTGCCAGGGCGAGAAATTTGGAAAATTTGGAAAATTTGTTGGCACGACACGGCAACATTTTCACTTTAAGTTTACTACTAATATACGTCACATTTTGGGTATTATTATTGTTCAAAGTCGATATTATTTGGTCACAATTGGAGTTATTATGTGTCACCATCACTGTTTTTATGTCACGGGTTAAAGGATGTGGTTCTTGTCGAATTTCTAGTAATTTCGCCTCGTCGCATAATTTATTGTCGTCGTCGTCACATTTTCTTCTCGTTCTGCTACTCTTTATCCGGAGGAGGGGGTGCAGTTGGGGCTTCGTGGTCATCTTTAGCTTGTCGGATAATTCTGCAAGAGAGACAAAAATGCAAAAAAATTATACATTTGCAAAATTTTTGCTTACTTTATGCGTATCTGCTAAAATTATACTAAATGTTATATTTTAACTATGGCGTAGGTTACATATATTTAGCGCACTTAAGAACTCTATATGCAAACAAATTATAATTTGCAAGTTTTTGCCTACTTACGCTACGCCACAACTTTAAAGCTGGTGCTATTACACTTGCGCCAATGTCATACTTTAACTATGGCGTAAGTTACTACTATTAACGCACTTTAAGAACTATTTTTAAAACCGAGTCGCTTTAAGGACTGCCAAATTTTGTATGACATGTCTCTTTTATTTTTGAAACTGTAAATACACAATAAAACCCTGGCAAGTGATCACCACAAGCAGATACGTATACGCACAGTGGCCGCGGAAGCTTGAGGGGACAGAGGGACAATGTCCCCACGGTTATTCGATGTCCCCATCATCTCCCCAACTTATATAAACCCCTCCCTCCCTCCCTCCCATCCTACAATGTTAATGTCCCAACCATGCTTCCGCGGCCACTGCGTACGTACCCACATACATCGCTTCTCTCTCTCTTGTGTAATGATTTAATGTGCATTGTTCCATGTAATTTTCTGTGTGACATGGTTTTACGTTTAACCAAGAATTGACGCAGGGATGACAATTGTCTAAAAATATGTACATAGGATATGCTCCTTAGCATAGCAGAAACAAGCCCAAATAACTGCAGTGATCTTCTTCATAATGGATATTCCATCATGCAAAACGTGGGTCGGTGGGTATAATTCGCAAGCAAACACAAAATTACAAGTAAATACAACATCTTTTCGTGTATAATGGCGAAGATGAAGTTTTGAGAAAAAAGTGTCATAAATTGTCAAACAAACGAAAAGATACCGCTGGCCGATTACCGATTAGTTTGGCTCATGTGGAGCCAAACTAATAGTATTTTGCAAGGTCTGTCCAACTGCTATTTTTGACCGTATAATAACCTAAAAATATGAAAATTTTAATTTTGACAATTTATAAATATATACGTCTCAATCTTTCAGATTTTTCATTAAAAAATTGTGTCACCTAAAAAAATATTTCGCATGTTTTTGCCAACTTACTAATATTTCCCCCATTATTCGTGACACAACAATAACGACGACATTACTACATTCGCATTCCAAACGATATGTAAATTAAATATGTACATAATTTTAAACAATTTTCTTTAAAAATCTGTGCTCCAAATAATTCCATCAATCAAATTCTTACATTTTAACCGCAAACTCATCCAATTTAATAGCTTGGATTTAATTACTTAAATACATACATAAGCAATTTATTTACTAACTAACCACACTTCCACCACCACCACATAAATACATTCTTTAAACTTAATACTGCAAGTTAGTGCAGCACATGCACACAAAACTAAAACCTAAACCAAATAAATAAGTTAACTGACCTTATTTAATTAATCATTCATTCATTTATTTATTTATCCCTTCTGCTGCTCATCCTTCCCTCAACAATAAAAGCAGCTTCCCATTCTCTATAAACACCATAAAATGGTGATAAATAAACCACCATCATTTCTCTGCCAATAATGTGCACACATAAAATTCGTACATCTCACTAAACTAAACTAAACGCAAAATCTTCTTCAAGACGCTGCCTTTTATTTGTTTGTATGTACACAAAGCTTTGCTGGGTTGTTTACTCGTGGTAAAAAATGCGATTAATTAGGGCGAAAAATATAACAAAAAGGAAACTCTGTTTAACGATTTTTACGAGTTTTTTTTACTAGACAGATTCGTAACGCAATTCATTCCACATTTGGTGGATTTAAGAAAGATTTGTATATTTTCGTCGTCATTTTGTAATAAACAAGGTTCAAGTTTGAATGCAGTTGTTGCAGTTTTTATCTTTCGTACATATATTTTCTCGCTTTCTTTGATCTTACGGCCATAAATAATATTCAATGTGATATATATTTTAACATTGACGTCAAATCATAACTTTATTTTTTACAGCAAAGTTAACTAAAATAAAAATGAAATCTGGACAACCTTCTGGGTCCGATGAAAATAATTTGTATACAAAATTTAACAAATTATCTTGCAAAATGTAATAAATTCCCAAAATTTAACAAATTCGTAAAATGTAACAAATTCGCAAAAAATCAACCTTTTAATCCATTTTTGCCATCTATCAAAACCAAACAGCACAATTACTCCCTTTCTCCATCCATATGTACACAAATATCAATCAAATTACCAATTTTCCCCAAACATTTTAGCCCTTAATCGATCCATCACAATCAACAATTATGACTAACCAGCATATATAGTGACACATTAACCGATTTCATGTTCTTCCCTTCACCAACGAACCACCTCCGCCCACAATTCCTGGACAGTGGCCGCGGAGAAAGAGGGACAATGTCCCCATCATCTGCCCATCTTATATAAACCCCTCCCTCCCCCCATCCCATAATATTAATGTCCCCAGATGTCCCCCCTCACCTTCCGCGGCCAATGTTCCTGGATAGATAGAGTAATTACGTACGTACGTACATAATCCAATCTCACCATCCTCACTCACGGCATACTACGGAAATTAAATTAGTCTCAACTTTCCCATCCGACCCACACCTTTCCTGCAACGTCATTCCATTCATTCCATTCATTCATATGACGCATTTCATACGAAGTTTTTTATAGGTCAAGTATCCCTACCGAAACCTTTGTGTTCCAATTTACATATGAATAAACAGCCTTGTTTACGTACATACTTATCCGACCCGATCGTCACCCACCACCAAACCAATCAACCCACGGAGCAAATATGCATGCACAAATTAATCGCTAATATTCGTGACTTGGCATCCTTTACGTGTCGAATTCTGCGTTGTGTTTCATTTCAGTCCAAATAAGCAGCAGGAGAAAGAGGGCGACATAACCAGTGGCCGCGGAAGCTGTGGGGACGTGTGGGGACATTGCCATTGTAGGATGGGGGAGGGAGGGGTTTATATAAGATGGGGGCATCGAACAACCGGGGGAACATTGTCCCTCTGTCCCCAAGCTTCCGCGGCCTCTGGAATAACAAACTGCGACACGTATTTATGCAATAAAGAACAGTGGCCGCGGAAGCTGTGGGGACGTTAACATTGTAGGATGGGGGAGGACCGGGTTCATATAAGATGGGCAGATGATGCCGACATCGAACAACCCGGGGAACATTGTCCCTCCGCTTCCGCGGCTCCTGATACCGAAGAAAGTGTTGCATGCGTGATGAATTTTGTTGTTTATCGTCATAAAACCGTCAAGGGCGATACATATGTGTACGATACATATTATTGGGCGCAATAAGCTGTTAGAAGTAATGATCCGACAGCATAAAATAGGGCTCAATTAATACCCCGTCCGTTCCACCAACTAATGAGATACATATTCGACGACCACGACCCGCCCAGTCCGACTAATGAGATCCGTTACGTTACGAATCCAGCAGTCCACCTGGAAATTTTCTCAGTCCAAAAACCAGACCAGACAAGGTTTGGCTTTTTCATAAACATCGTAAAACGTTATCCATTTGGCTTGTATCAAATTTTTCTTACAAGTTTTTTTATGGTGTATTTTTGAAAATTCATCAGTTTCGTTAAGTGATGAGGTTACAAAAAAGGAGTAACGTGTCAGATTTCAGTGGTTAATTTGACACTTCCATTTTCAACATCTTGTCCAACTCGGTTACACAAATACGTAATCGGGAAAGTGCTTTCTCACCAGTTTTTTTCCTCTCAGCAAGCCAAACTGACACTAATTTGTTAAACTTAACACGGTGACCATATTATTTGCATAAGTTTCTAAATACATGATAAGATTACGTTAAGTTAAGTGTATTTTTGAGAGTGTGTAATCTCTTCGAGTTATTTTGTGTCTTAAAAAAGACCACTTTTATCTTTTCATCTTGTGTAAATGTGTAACTTAACTTTGAGATAAGAGCTGAGCTCAAAATTCATGTCGTACAGAGGTGACTGACATTTTTTATGTGTTTAATATTTAATATTTTTCTAGACTTACATATTTATTACGTACACTGTACAGAAACCGGACAGAGGAAGTTGTTAACACATAATTATCAGGATGTAATAAATACGACGTGAATATTTTGGGTGACCAAAGCAGTTGTGGTTTTGTGAGTGCGGTGAGAACAGTATAGACAATTGGAATCCGGATCAAAATTAGTTAGTATGAAAATTGTGCAAGTTCCATATTAAAATTTGCATGTATCTAAGATTGACCAGCAATTTTTATAGTCAGAATTTCTGAACTAAACAAATTCGCTAAAATTGTCTACCAAACTGTTCGAAATAATGGCGACACGTGAATATGTGGCCGTTATTGTCTTCTTTGTCGTCGCCTTATTTTACCCAGGTGAAAGTATTGGTCATAAAAATATGACCAATAATGTGACCTCTGCACCACAACCACCACCACCACCGACGATAAATACCTGTTGCGCAATCAACCTCCAGAGCGAAACTGCAGTAAAATGTCAACCTTCTAATAAACAAGGGGGCAACAATGACATCCTCCCTTCGAAATCTCTCGCAATTCCGGCCCATTTGATGGCAGAGAACATAAGTTTCTCCTTCCGGTGAAAAAAAAATCATAAAATTCTTCTAAAATATTTCATAAAATATTTCTAACAACAAATTTCCATGTATGTACAGGATAGCACCCCAACGAACAAAATTCTGCTCTCCCAACTCCCTCACAACTTTCACCATGCCCTTGAATATTTCTTCCTCCGACCAATCTGAATTATTCCTCCTGAGAAATGGCTACCTTCGAATTGACGACCATTACTTTCACCCTGATGAATTCTGCGTCAACGGGTGAGCTTGCTGCACTGTTTTATTGCCACCTTGCGCCATAGTTAAACTATTTATAAAACTGAGGCTAATTAGCATACTGACAATGGGGACGCAAACCATGTTCAACCGAGATTATTTTTTGACCATGTAAGATTGAAAGAGCTACTCTTTAGAAACAACGTTTAGTGCGGTAGCGAAAAAATCGGCAAGTTTGGTCGCCGCAAGTTCGCAAAGTTATTCAGCTAAATCTACGGCTACAGTTACGCGTTTTTGCGAACTTGCTGAATTTTTCGCATCTGCTCAAGTGTCGCACTAAACGTTATTTCTTAATAGTAGCTCTTTCAAACTAACATAGTCAAAAATTAATCTGAGTTGAACATAGTTTGCGTCCCCATTGTAAGCAAATTACTTTAATTTCCCCCAGGAAAAACGCCACATCCCTGGAAATCTCGGTCTGCCCTCAATCCTGCAAAGGCCCACGTCCCTGCATCGTAAAATGCTGCGGTCTACATCAAGTCTACAATTTCGCCTTTACGCCAAATTCTTCCCCCAAACGTGGCTGTCAAACCATCCAGGACTACAGCAACAATTATTTCTCTCCCGTGACGTACACCGACTTTGAGCACGCCGCTCACGACGCCACCGCACTTGCGCCGCACTACGTGTCCCGATACCCGTCCGAGTTCAAATTCCAGTGCCACGAGAATAAAACGAACCTTTTCGTGTTTCCCAGCACAGCGGAGACCATCGCGTCGCACACGCCGTACAACATGACCGGCCACCCTTTCAAGGTGCGGCACGACGGGAAAATCCTGTACCGGGAGAGAGACGGCGTCTGCGCGGTGATTGACCCCCTCGCCAGCAACATGTGTATCGATGCGGTCATCAATTTTGGTCCGGAGGTCAAGCCGTTTAAGAATGATGAGGAAGATTTGGTCCTTTTTCTGTGCTCTTTGCCACCGAGAGAGGTTCGGATTCATAATTTTTTCAAAATTTTCAAGATTCAAGAATAAATTTTTTTTTCACATCTGTAATTTGATAATTATATCCAATTTGACAAATAATTTAATTCCGGTGTCAAATTATGTCACTCACTATTTGAATTCAAAATTTTTCAAAATTTTCAAAAGCCATGAGTAAAATGTATATGTCTTACGCACCTGTAATTTTAATAATTATATTCGATTCGATAAATAATTAAATTTCGGTGTCAAACTATGTCATGCATAGAACTTGCGTTAAAATTTGCCTTTTTTGAAACCCCGTAATTTATATTTTACCCTACATTTTTCAAATTATGGATAAATTTGACCTTATCCAACAAAAGTAAGGTCATGAAGGTTCAATCAATTTTAAACTAAAATTTGAAACATTGGTTACTTTAAAAATTTGTTGGCTGAATTATCTTTTTTTGATTAAAACTATTCAATTAGACAAATAATTCACTAAAGGTTTCAAATTATGGCTAAACTCCAGGCAAAGTTTATCTACATTTAGCTTTCAAAATTTTATAAAATTCAGAACTGGCACATATTTATTTATTTCAAAACTAATTAGTTTCTTAATTTACAATTTTTTTACAGGGAGAAACCGAAGAAGGAGGTGATTTTTTTCACATATTTTTTTTTTTTACATTTTTACATAAAATAAAAAAAATTGGAATTTTCTTCCTACTAAAAAACTACGCATCACTTTTATTCTGCAGGGTTCTTATATGGTAGTTTAATGATTGGGAGCTCGGTTTTTCTGCTTTTGACTATCGCTGTCTATTTCATGCTTTGGGAAAGGCAAACGGTTCACGGGTATAAACAAATGCCAAACAAGATCCTATTTTAGAAGATAAGTGGTTATCATTTTCCCAACTTTTTTTCCAGGTGGACAATCCTATCTCATACGATCTCCCTCTTTCTCATGTACATTTTCCTGGGAACGTCCCACCTTTTACGGGTCACGCAAGGATATGCCATTCTCAGGATGGAATTCTGTTTTGCTATAGGTTGCCAAAAATTGCAAAAAAAATCTGCAAAAATTCCTGAAAACATTAAAAAAATGTATCCATTTTTTCAGCCGTTTTATCCCATTTCTTTTTCCTCTCGACATTTTGCTGGTTGTGCATGATAAGCATTGGTCTGATATTATTATTAATAATAATAATATAATAATAATATATTAATAATATATTAATAATAGTTAATGATCAGTAGATCTCTGGTTGACGTTCAGGTTTTTACTTCAAAATTGTTTATGAAACTTGCCAAAATTTCGGAAATTTATTAAAATTTATTTTTAAAGAGCGATGACTCCACGAAGGGGCGCAAATTCCAAGGGGTTCAAGCGCTACAGTTTCTACTCTGTGATGGGATGGGGAGTTCCTGCCATAATTGTGGGGACGGGGTGGACCCTGACGAAAGACCATCCGTAAAATTCAAAATTTTCATAAAAATTCAAAATTTTGAGAAAAATTTCCGCATAATTTTTTTATAGTGAGAGATCCTGCGGAACCATTTTAACGCCCGGGTATGGAGTTACGTCCTGCTTTTTACAGGAGAAAGCACTCGGAGCTTATCTTTACTACCCAATCGCCGCCATGATAATTATCAATCTTATCTTTTTTACCGTCACATCAGTCAAATTATACGTGTATCAAAACAGCACAAAGATTGCGACCAAGGATGACACACAGCAGCAGTTGTGAGTTATAAAATTTTGGAAATTAATTAGTTTTAGTTTCTCAATATGGGCGAATATATTGTTTGCAAAAATCGATAGAATCGTGTCTAACAGAAAACAATAGGATTTTACAGTGTGGTTTTTTTCCTCATGAAAAATGTTAGAGTGAAATCGGATTTTCTGAAAATCTCGGATTTCCAGAAACATGAAATAAATAAAAAATTAAAATAAAGCCTACGTGGGAAAATGCATCTGTAGAAAATTAGATTTCTGTCAAATCAAATTTTGCCAATATCGACGTGCAAACTGCACAATGCAATTTTTACTTCATGCAATTTTTTCAAAAAAATTTGCTAATTTTTTATATGTTGATTTTTACCCAGTTTTGCAAAATAATTCATAATATTTCTTCCAATATTTCAGCTATCGCCTCTTCTTCAAACTCTTTTTCGTAATGGGAGTTTTCTACATTTTCGAACTCATTTCCTGGTTTGTTTCCGGCTCTGGCGTCTTTTGGTATTGGGCTGCCTTCGACATTTTGAATATTCTCAGAGCAGTCGCCGTTTTCATCATTTTCGTCTGCAAACCCGACATTCTTTGGGCATTGGAGCAAAACTACCCATGGCTGAAGCGTAAGATTTTGCATGCAAATTTTTTTTGCAAAAAAAAAACATTCAACTAATAATTTGCGAAATATTTAATTTAGCAATTCTCATCCCATGCGCCTGCATTACGCGGAAGAAGCGCACATTTTCTCAGCGCCGGGCCGCAGAATCTGAATCACTCGGACTGAACACGTCCCTCAGCACGAAACAAAGCACGCTGCGAAGTTCTAATCACGTGCGAAATATTAATAGAATAATGGATTAAGCAGAACAAAAATTGCAAAATGTGCACAAAATGTAAGCCTGCTGACTCGCAAAAATTATGTATGTACGTACTGTTGACATTAACATTAACAAGTGTGCAATTCTGACACAAAAAAATCTGCAAAATTTAATTTGTTCTTAAAGAAATATATAAATGGCATTTTAATTAAAATATTTATATTTTAATTTATATTTTGATCGCTCCTAGTCAAAATAGTATATACGCTTTTAACTAATTTTACATTAAAATAATTATAATTCTCAAAATAATAATTTTAAAACTGAAATAAATATGCATAAATATTGCAAATTCGCCTAATTTAATAATTCACCCTTTTCAACAAAACTGTAGTTCCGACAAAATTCGCACAATTTCACCACAATTTTCGCGAAATTTTACCTAAAAACTTTCAATTTCCACACATGATTTCCTATTTCCAAATAACATAAATACATCCTCACACAAAAAAATCTCAAAATTTTTACAATCACCGCATTCAATCTAACCTTGTATTTTCAAAACCGGAACAATAAATACAAATAAAAAATAATAAATCAGCCCCAATTTAATTTCGGGTTCAATGAAAGTGACATTTTGATAGGAGCGAGAGAGAGAGAAAGTATTCGAATTTACAGTAGTCGGATATGAAAAAAGGCCTGTAATTTGAACCTATTATTATTAAACTTACAGTGCACTGGGTATTTTAACAGGATGACAAAAAAAATCCAATATCTCGTTATTACCATCATCATCTTGTCTCTTTAAAAAATTACTAAATCACACCGACCTGTCATCCATCCATTCATTATTATTAACACAAAAACAGTGGCCGCGGAAGGGTGGGGACAGAGGGACAATGTCCCCACGGTTGTTCGATGTCCGCATCATGTCCCCATCTTATATAAACCCCTCCCTCCCCCCATCCTACAATATTAATGTCCCCGATGTCCCCACACCTTCCGCGGCCACTGCACAAGAATGAAGAAATATCTTTGTATTTGCAACAATCCGCAAAGTGCTGAATTCGCTACCACCACCACCGCCAAGCCAACCTATAATTTCCCGTCTTTGTTGCCAATTGTGGACCACAATGCCAACTCTGAATACAATTGTATTGGACATGCAAAGTTGACACGGAAAGTTGGTTTATAATTTTAATATAAAAAATAATACTGAAATTGTCAAGATGAGGAATGATGACTGAGGCAAAAATGAAGTAAAAATTGTGAACGAGGAACAAACTTTTTTTTTACATTTTTTTGTCAGAAAAAATTGGAATGCAAAAATTTGAGTTAGAAAAACATATAACTTTTCGGTTAGAAATTAGTACAATTTGTGTTGCGAATTTTATCATCAATAAATTAAATTCATATTCAAGGGTCAAATTATTAAAATTAATTGTGGGTGAAAAGAACTTGAAATTTTTTATTTTTTGAAAATTATGTGCTTCAACGACGAATTGAGTATTATATTAACTTCTAGTATTATGAAAATCATAGATCCCAATTTTGTGCCATGTGATGCAGGAATTTAAATTAATTAAATTAGTATATGAATTTTATATTTTATTGTATAATTATATATTTTATATGTTTTACACGTAGTATATTTTTTGTCTTACCATGTGCAATAATCACCGTAAAATGACATTTATACGACAAATATGTCAAAATATGGTATAAAATTGTAAATTAATTCTAATATAGAGTGGACAATATAAGTATAAACTTTTGAAAATGATGCAAAAAGTATCTTCACAACTTCAAACACTGGGTAAAAAATTTGGCAATGTTATAAAAGATTGCAAACCGAAGCAAAAAGTGGCAAAAATTCTTTCCCGTGCCGGGAATCGAACCCGGGCCGTCCCGGTGAAAGCGGGAAATCCTAACCACTAGACCACACGGGAGAGCTAGTGATGGAACCTTCTCTCAAATCTGGCTTTATTGTGTTCCATGCTCCTCCAATGTATGGAATTGTGGAGCAAACTCCATGCAAAAAGTCCATGCACAATTTTTGGCATGGCTCAGCTAATATAAACATGAATGTAAGTTCACTAAGCTTTTTTGTGCAGTTAATTCTGGCGTTAAAGCCTTACAAGGCAAGATTGCAGTTAAATAGCATGCGATAAGAAATAAATATGAGAAATCATTAAAAATGGGTTTGTACATATTGTAACATGATTTTTTTATGAAATGGTTTCTGAATTTTTTGATGATGCAAAAATATTGCCAATAAAATTTAAATTTTTCGAATCGTAATTGTTCTACCGAAATGAAATTTTTCGCTGTAAAGTTTTTTCATAGTTCAAAAACATCGTTACAAAAATTTACATATTATGGATTTAATTTAGATTATTTCCCGTAAATGATTCTGCCTGAAAATGAATCTCGTTGGTTTGTATATATTTTAACACTATTTTTCTACGAAATAATTTCTGAATTTTTTCATGGTGCAAAAAGATTGCCACTCAAATTGAGATTTTTCATGTAATTTTTCTACCAAAATGAAATTTTTCACTGTAAAGTTTTTTTTTCATAATTCCAAAATATCTCTACAAAAATTTACATATTAGTTCCTTAATTTTAAATTATTTTCCCGTAACTAATTCCACCTAAAAATGCCGCTGACCTGTAAATTAATTGTTAAACTTAACCGTGAGAATACTTAATCTACCAATTATTCACCAAATTTGCAATTCTGCACACGCCGCACCCACCAACCACCCAATTTCACTATACAAACAATCGAAAGTGGCCCAGTGTCGTAAATCGCCATGTTTCAAGCATTCCATTTTTTCCCCAAAAAAACTGGTTTTAAGTGAATTTTCAAAACTTTGAACTTTTCGTCACGTCCACGTCTCAATTGGTCAGTCTCTCGATCTGACATGTATATTACCATCATTAATAAATGATAATTTCGACTCCTCCACAATTTTTGGAGTCCCCATAAAACCAAGCCAGACAAATAAATGACAACAACAACAATGTCAGTGAAAATCTGTGCAAAAAAAATTTGACGCAAAATATCACATCACATCAAAATCATGTAGATTGCATCTAATGAACATCACATGTCCGACGACCTGTCTGCCTAAAAAACTTGACTCAAACGAAATTATCAAGTTTCCTTTTAAACTGCGTGCAAGATTTTACTTTTAGATTCGTGGTTTCGATAATGGACTGGATTTACGAATATTTATATGGACTTCCGCCAATTCCACAAAAAATAATCAATTTCGCTTTCACCTTTGTTTTGACCAAGATGTATTTTTTAAAAATTGCAAAAATTATGTGTAAAAATGATATGCAAAAAATTATTATTTCTTTTTTGCCTAATTCATTTAGGTTAGAAAATGTGTACCATGAATGATAATTATCTCACCTGCATTAATCGTGTCCAATAATAACTTTCAAAAGCAAAATTTCAATTTTTGCTAATTTTTCGGGTAAAATGCAAAACTTTAATGTACCGTTAACATCTAAATCTAATTTAACTAAACTAAAAATCCACAAAAGTTGATAACGTCGGCAAAATTCACCAAATCTTACATCGAAATATCGCTAAAAAAACTGCACAGTTTCCACTCCAAAAACCGATTTTGCAAACAATTCTCAATTATTTCTATAATTTAACAGATCCACCGTTTCATAAAAACAAAAAACTTCAAATTATTCTCACAACTTATCAAAATTCACACAATTTATTTGACAATTCCACTTTTCCTCTTCACTCAATTTCCGTTTCACATCTCTTCGCAAAACGTACGCCGAATGAATTTGCACTCTGCTGCTGCTGCACTATCGCAAAACCACAAAAGACAGACGAGACGCTACTACTACTACCTACAAACCTACCACGAGGATGATCTCGTCTCTTCCTTAAGAAGATAAGCCCCCAAATAATAAAACTAAACGATAACCCACCCCAAATATCTATCCATCCTTTCCTTACCTCCTATCCCATCACAATAAAAAGTACAAAATCGTATCCAATTTCACCATAAAGATCTACCAAACACACAAAGTTTTCTGCACTGTGAATGTAAATACGGAAAGCCAAGCCAAGCCACGCCACGCCACCCTCTTTACGACTTAACTTCACCCAGAAGAAGACAGAACAGAATGTATGCCTCTGATTTATCTGTAGCACGTGTGAAATAGGTTGTGTCCAAATGGATTTTACGTAGCTGAAGAAAATGCAATTTCAAAAAGTATGTGTACATATACACACATTAAAGAAGTTGTACATACGTTTACGTTGCCGGTCGGTCCCTACTAGGATTCAGTGGCCGCGGAAGCCGTGGGAACATTGCCATTGTAGGATGGGGGGAGGCACGGGTTAGTATAAGATGGGGAGATGATGCCGACATCGAACAACCGTGGGGACATTGTCCCTCTGTCCTTCCGCGGCCACTGTACGGTTACCTGCTTTATGCACATTTTACTTACTTTACTCATGTCCGAATACATACCAGATACCACGCCACATTAAAGAAGTGCACGCATTTGCATTTGAGTGAGTAAACACTTGTGCGAGATGTGCAACTTCTTCTTCACATATTCGCATTCGCAACAATAAAATATCGTCGTGGTTTCCTTTCCTCTTCTTCAAGTTGAAGGGAAATCGTGGCATTTTTTAGTTTAGTAGGTAGCTCAGTGAAGACCAGTAATGCTACCACGACCAGTGGTACTGGTAGCGTCTTTACCATGACTTTGACTTTGTGTGTACCTTACTTACCGTTGAGGTAGGTGATTTACAGGTAAACTTGTTACCTTCTTTGCACGTAGTCACTTAGGTGCAGTGGCCGCGGAAGGTGTGGGGACATTGCCATTGAGGGATAGGAGAGGGACGGGTTTATGTAAGATGGGGAGATGATGGGGACATCGAATTACCGTGGGGACATTGCCCCTCTGTCCGCGGCCACTGGTTCCTGCTTATGTACATACTTGCCAACACAGGTTTTAAGTACTCTTGATCTTGACCGAAAAGTTTCCTTTGACTCGAATACTTGACTGAATCATGGCTTATTTCAGATTAAAATGCACACATTTATGTATTTAATAATGCGTGTAGCGTTATTGCCAACAAGCAAGAAATAGTGAGAGTGGAGGAAAGAAAGAAAGAAACACTAATTTCATTTCGATTTCATTTAACCCATAAAAAAATGAAGAAGTATTTAGTTGCAGGTCAACTGACACCTCGTTAACCACTAATTTTATGGTGATATCGTTCCTTACCTTATCTTCGCCGTGTTGCAAATGTGATTATGCGGAAGAAGAAGATGATAACTCTTTATTTCTAGGAATAAGCAAACTTTCATCCCATTGTCGACCGGAAGTCGTCGTTATTCGCGAGGTTTAATGTCCCCCAAAATCCTAATCCCATTTCATGCTCAATATTTATTTACGATCAGTGGCCGCGGAAGGGTGTGGACAATGTCCCCACGGTTATTCGATGTCCGCATCATCTCCCCATCTTATACAAACCCCTCCCTCCCCCATCCTACAATGTTAATGTCCCCACTGCTTCCGCGGCCACTGTTTACCACGATAATTTCTCTCTTAAGCGGATCCCAAATAATCAAATATTTCCAATTATAACCGCTTGACATTTATAAATGCAAAACAACGGTGCATACAAAAATCCCCCTTTAATTGACACAGGTGCGCATATGAAATTAATAAGAATGCCGCTTCCGCATCCATCGTCCTCACCGACGTGAGGTGACCATTCGTCATCCTCGACGAGACGACAACACAACACACTTGCCATTTATTTAGCCTCCCTGGTCTGGTCGTCAACCTCTTTAAACAAAAATATATTTAGAATCCATTCCAAGAATGACGACGACTCTTTCTGCCTTTCTTTCTGTTTCATGCCAATTTAGAAACCTCGCCCACCTCAGATTTTCATTGACACGTAGTATTGAAACCATTACTGAATATTATTTATTATTCGGTCAGTCAGTCAGTCAAACTGAGAATGGAGGTTTCCCAGCGTATGCTCTCAGATTTTGAGCAAACTAGTGTTAATCGATTGCAAATTTAGTTAGTATGAAATTTGCGAAAGACACGATCTCCCAATGGGCACGTTTGGCAGAGATATTTGCATCCAAAGAGGAGAAAATTTATAGTAAATTTATTAATCGATCACAAATTGATTAGTAAGAAATTAAATTTGCAAAAGGCAATAATTGCCAATGGGCACGTTTGGCGAAGATATTTGCATCCAAAAACGGGTAGTAAATTTTTTAGAAATTGTCAAATTTGTCAACATTAAGACTCATTTTCTCCTCTTGGGATGCAAATATCTCTGCCAAACGTGCCCATTGGGAGACCGTGTGTTTCGCAAATTTCATACTAATCAAATTTCTTATCGATTTTAACACTAATGTGGTCAAAATCGGAGATCATTCGTTGGGAGACCTCCATTGTGAAACATCCATCTTCCAATTTAAGACAATTCGACTAATTAAGCACGCAAGTTCTCGTCATCTTCACCTCTGTTTTGCATATTCGTTCATCTGATCGAAAAGTGTAACAAATTCAGCTCCTCGGGCGCAATTTTTGCGCCTAGTTACTCATTTACTTTACTTTTTAATTGTTCATACCGAAAGGAACGAAATGGCAAGTCTGACCACCAACCAGCCCTGTGGCGTAAACTTCATTCATCAGCAGTGGCCGCGGAAGGGTGTGGACAATTTCCCCACGGTTACTCGATGTCCCCACCATCTCCCCATCTTATATAAACCCCTCCGTCCCCTATCCTACAATGGCAATGTCCCCAGATGTCCCCACGGCTTCCGCGGCCACTGCTACCAACCACCAATTTCATTTCATTTCTCATCCACTGGTGGTGAAGATGGATGCAAAAATAAACCTAAACTTTTGCATTCACCACACCTCATGCACACACAAATTCGTATCGCAAAATCAGTTTTTTTCTTTCTTTTCGTTCATTTACAAACTCGGAATTAGACCTGCGTTACAAATTGCCAATATATTTATGCGCAGCCGACTAGACGAGCAGTCATCCATTCACGATTCGAATTTACTACTTGGTCATTGCACACTAATCACTATCGAAAAAAAGGCTGAGAGTGAAACTTCGCCAAGCCCGAGAGGAAGAGGATGAGGGAGTTTATTTCGGAGATTAAAGTTCCGATCCTTGCAGGTTACCCATTTGGCTTATATTCAAATTCGATTTATGGGCCAAAAATTGCAAAATTTCATGCAAAATTTAAAATCAAAAATGCAAAAATTTAATTTAATACGGCAAGATGCGCAATTTTACAAAATTGAAAATTAATTTAATACAAAATTTAAATTTAAAATGAATCGAAAAACTGATATTTGATTCATTTTCGAATTGGATTCCTGATTTGGCCTAAAATTTTCAAATTGCAACAATTGCGTGCAAAATTTCAAATTCATCGTAAGTTTAAAGTTAGAAATGCTGGACTTACAGACAGTCACGATTTGTCCAACTTTCGAATTAGATTCTTGATTTGACCAAAAATTATAAAATTTCGCCCAAAATTTCAAGTCGATCGGATAAGTTTTTATTAAAATCACGGACAGACCGACAGACCTACACTTTCAATACCTCCATAAGCCCTCTTTCCCCCTCTAAAAACGAAGATCTTTATCGGCTTATCTCCACACAAAGGATGTGTGACTCCAAACTTTACTATTCGCATTCATTCACCACTAAAATATAATCATCATCGTCGTCTTCATGTACATATGTACATTTGTACTCGTTAAATTAAAGATGCCATGCATGCCTCTTGCCATTATTCGATGTAATTATTGTCCCTCCGACACAACAAGACGACGGAAAAACAATTGACAATTGATGCACATCCAATTGTCATCTTGTCCCGATTGTAATTTCCAATTGGGCAATTCAACTCCCGTTAGATTCCTATTCTTAGGAGGAGAGGCTTAAAACAAGGAAACAAATACAACAAATCGTTGACTCGGTTTAGTTTAAAAGTTTGTCTTTTAACGTTTAATGCGACGATAAAGACGTGAAAATAAACATTTTGATGGCTTCTTATTGTTACTAAATTACCGAAAAATCGACCCAGTAGGAAACACAAAATTTAAGTAAATAATGACTTTTTTTGTAAGTATTCCAAGATCACGTGTTACACACGGGAGGTGTGCTAGATTTAGAAAATTTTGGGTTCGATTTAGTAAAATATTTGGAAAAATGTGGTAAAAATATGACGAAAAATTCGAGGATGAAATTGTTAAGATTTGACTAACTTGAAAATGCATATTTTTTACAATATAAAAAAAAAATCAGGGAAGAAATTATAAATTATTAAAATCTGACTTACTTGAAAATTAATATTTTAAAAAGTAAAATAAAAATTTCGGCGATGAAATTGTTCAAATCTGACTGACTTGATAATACATATTTTTAAAAATATGGCAAAAATTTAGGGGATGAATTTATTAAAATCTGGCTGGCTTGAAAATACATATTTAAAAAATATATAAAAAAATCTGGGATGAAATTAAAATCTGACTGACTTAAAAATAAAAATTTAAAAAAATATAAAAAATTCGATGAAGAAATTATTAAAATCTTCATTTGAAAATAAACATTTGAAAAATATCCAAAAATAAATCGGGGATGAAATTATTCAAATAATCTGACTAACTTGAAAATACATACATATATATGTACAATTTTGAAAAATATAGCAACCCTATCTGATATGAAATTATACCAAATTTTGCCTGACTGACAGACTTGACTTGGTTTAATAAACTATATAAACCCCACCAGACAACACCGAGACTTTAAAAGATGACAATGCCACATGAATTTCAATGAAGATCGCCGTCCAACCAGCAAATCAATAAATTATTAAGTAAAGAAAGAAAGAATAGAAAGTATTTAAAATCCACTCGTTCGCAAGACCGGTATTAACAAGAAGATCTCCTCATCCTCATATTCATGGCTAACTAACTAACTAACTAACCAACCAACAAAATTTGCATGTTTACTGAACACGAAAAGTACAACAGGTGCAAGAGTAAAGAAAAAAACAAGCATAGTTTTTTAAAAGTTCACACTTGCGAATTATTGGAATCTTTACGGCACCACAAGACCGCAGACGGCGTGCCATGTTATGGTCTCATTTTAACGAGAAATATCCCTGTACCACTAACTTTTGTAGTTTTCCATTAAATCTTGTTATTTTGAAAAGCGAAATTATTATTTTATTTATCGATCTACTTTTTTTCAAAAACCGATAACATTTTTTAAATAAAAATTGATTATCAATCGATTGATTGGAAAAAGAACGGGTTTTCTTTCTTACGTATTTAAATTTCGAATAAGTAAATTTTCGATTTCAATCTGGCACAATTTCAATAATAAAAGTAAAAAGACTCGTCTCGTCAAACTGGTCGGAATTGGAAAAACTTGCGTGTTTTTTAGGGTGAGAATTGTTACTGAACTAGACTACTGTGTACAGATGACAGATAAGTTCTATTTATTTGTGGGGAATTGGTTAGTGATTGAAATTTTCTATTGTTTTCGCAAAATTGACGAGTAAGAAAAGTGATTTTATGAATCACTTGCCAAAATATTGGCAAAATAGCCACAACAGCTTTCGATTTCTGTGTAGAATGCAAACCAAAATTATTTGCTCCAGAATTTTGACTAATATTTAGCAAAAAATATTATTTGTTTGTTTTACAAACTAATGAACCACTTATCTTTCATGCTTTATTTATTCTTAACAATTCCATTTTCTTCAAAACGCTGTTTAAGTTGAGGAATATGTTAAATTGTCATTTATTTTAATTCACAAGTTTATCATTTATTCTCGATTCGATTATTCGTCTGATATGATTTTCGACATAAGAAACTTGACCCTAAATGAAATTAGCATGTTTCTACCAAAAATTTGGTCAAAATTGGTTTATAGTTTCCGATTTATAGACAGAAGGAGGGACAAACAGAACGATTACATAAACCTTAAAATTATTAATAATTATGCCTAATTTCAACGCCAGTTTTAAGAAATGGATGTAATAGATTATGCAAAAGTGAGAATTAGATAAAGATGCTACAGAAGTTGAAGAGAATGTGGAGATTGACTAAAATGTAAAAAAAAATATCTGAATTTTAATTTTATTTGCAAAATCGATTTTTGGCTGTGCAGAAATTTGCCAGTAATTATTTTGCCAATTTTATTTCAATACACGATTCACTAAATTTCAATTTTATTTGCAAAATCGATTTTTGCCGGCGCAGAAATTTGGCAGTAATTATTTTTGCCAATTTTATTTCAATACACGATTCTCACGTGTTTTTCTGCTTCTATTTACATAGGTACATATTTGTGCAACATGTCAAAATAACCTGTAAATCTATAATGATACTTGGCATCTTTATTTATTCAAAACGCTATTCAAGTTGAGCAATACATACAAAAATTAAAATTAATTAATTAATCATACAACGATTTAACTTTATTCCCAAACTCGTCAAATGGAAATGTACAGACGTCATCAGTATCTTCGGAGCAGTCCAAATTCGTCGCGTCATCTAAACTGACCACTTTTAGAAGATTCCTGTTTGCACAAAAAGATATTTATCAAACCTACAATTTTCCTTGTCACAAAAATCAAAAGTAACTTGCGCCAACGTTATACATCATAGTTCAACTATGGCGCAAATCACCAAAATTAACTCTTACCAATAATTACTCTTCTTAACCCAGTCTGGCATAAAGGTCCTCTTTTCGTCACTATTTCCCCCATTAAAATGACACCACATCCTCCTCCGACATTCGTCACTACTCCAGTCAAACCTGTCATACAGGTCAAACGCTAGATCCACCGTGGTAAATAGTTTACCAATCCGATCAACTGCTGAAGTCGTTGAGGACAAGCTGAAAAAAATATCCAAAATTTCCAAAAATCCCTTCAAAAATCCTTTATTTCCAATTTTTTCACCCACCTCCTTTTACTCTTCGTCAACCCACTCTGCCTCGGATCCGTGACGACAAAAAGTACATAATAAACCGCCGTGGCGGCACACGCGACCAAAAATCCCGTCCCAAACATGGCCGTGGCTAGGGTGTAGGACCCATATTGAAACCAGGTCCCTACCAAGATCTCATTTCCATCGGCGTCCTCCCCAAAAAATGTCTTATCTTCCGGTTTCCCTCCACCGCCCCCCAAACCCCCCACGATGTTTAACAAGTCGGAAAATGTTCTCGATTTTTTACCCGAACTTGACACTGACACGTTGTCCGCCCCCATCACGAAAAGAGTAACAAGATGAATCACAAAATAGAAAAATAGACAGGACGCCACCCCGTCGACCCTTTTCCGGTATCGAATTCCTCTCATGTCACCACCAATTTTCTGATCATTTCCACGGAAACTTTGACTATATTTTAAAATTTAGCACCACCACCACCACTTATTTAAAAAAATCCTTATTTTGACCTTCTCCACCTACATATTTACCTGTCTGTCCCATGCGTGCACTACTTTTTACTGAATTTTCTCAGCAGAATGAAAATGATCCAAGTTAATGGTGAAAAAATGGAGATTAAACGACCCTGATGATGAATGACTGAACTGAAACGTCTCGGGAGTCATGAACGGTTTATAAAATGTGGAATTATGCCCTAGAAAAGACAAGTGCTAATTGTTTTGGTGGTCAAATTATCAGGGTTAATCAGCAGGTCTGCTGACTTTTAAGTGATTTTCGTTATGCTGTGCCCGATATTGATATTTATTTAAACGATACTGTTAAGTGATCAGTGACTGTGTTATCATTCATGTCAAAAGATGAGCAAAAATTGATAAGTACAAGTTCATTTCATTCTTAAAAGTTGTACATTTTACATAAATAAATATTAATTATTTTCATTTTTATTCAAGAAATTCAGCGTCATTTTCACATGTCGGTTTTGTTTTCAGTTTTACTTTATCTTTATTTTTCGTCTAAATCATGGTCACATTGTGCAGTTAAGCGTCCATTTCAGTAATTAATTATATAATTAATACGTAAATATCGTCACTAATTAAGTCGTCGCTCAGATTTCGTATATTTTTTTGTATGTATGCGTCCATCAGTCATCACAGTATTAACGAACCAAAAATGTCAAGTATTTATAATCATAATTAAATTAACTAGCCTTTAAGAGTCAACAATTAAACTAAAATTATTGCATTGAGTAAGTTGATTTTGTAGAGGACAAAAAAAAATTCAATGATTTTACAAAAAAAAACAGCAATAAATTACCCGAATTTCAAAAAACTTTCAAACGATTCAATCCAATTGTCATTAATTGATGGCTTAATTGTTATGAAATTAAGTCCATTCCCCCCAGAAAATCCCCCTCTTTACTCTTTCTTGCTCTCCTTCTTCATAGTTTCGACGAGCTTGGTCAGCGAGAATTTGCACTTGTGAGAGTAAATCTCGTTACAAGTTTTCTTGGCGTTCTTTCCCTCAGTGATGGCTTCCTTGTATTCGGCCAGATAAGCTTGGATTATCTGCGGGATGGGAAGACCGTCCAGGACGTCGACGAATCTGGAATAAAAAAAGTTTCAAAAAAAATTAAATTTCCGAATAAGCAATTCAATTTTCAAATTGATCAACTTCCAAAAAATTCAAATTTCCAAATACTCTCTCAAAATTCTAAAAAATAAAATTATGTACGTACCTCAACAAATAATTGTTCGTAATCTTCCGTCCCGTCTCTCCAGTAAGGCTGTGTTCCTGGCTGAGTTCGCAAAGGACGCGTTTCTGGCAGTCCAGATTTTGCCAGTCGAAACCTTCATAGTTCTTCCGAGCGATGTCAATGTAGTCCAAAACCTTGACAAAGTTCATCCCCCAGTTCGGTCCGGAAACGTCCATGGCCCTAGAAAAAAAAATCAAAACAAAAAAAATTCAGTACAGAAAGCAAAATTCCAAATAGAACAAAAAAACTGTCTCAACTTTCCCACTCTTCAAAAAATCCACCCCACACATCACGCCTACCCACCAACCAACCCACGCTTCATTTTTACCTTCCCGTCATCAAAACCAAAAAAAATTCAGTAGGAAGATAAATTTCTGAAAAAAAAATCGTCTCAACTTTCCCACTCTTCAAAAATCTACCAACCTACCAACCCACGCTTCTTTTTTACCATCCCGTCATCAAAACCAAAAAATCTGTACAAATGAAAAATTTCCGAAAAAAAATCGTCTCAATTTTCCCACTCTCCAAAATCCACCCCTTCCACCCTACCAACCCACGCTTCTTTTCTTTACCTTCCCGTCGCATACTGGTATCCACCATTGAACCCGTACGGTTGTCCAGGGCTGGTATTATAGACCGCATTACTGGTCACGGGCACCGCGTCGTAGGCGGCGTAGACGTAATAGACATAGTAGCTGAGAACCCCCAACCCACCGATGAAGAGGACCGAGCCCAACACCACGGAGCCAATGATGTACGAATTATTCGTGAAATACGTCAACCAAGTGTCATCCACGACCGCGACGTCGCGCGTCGTGGACGACGACGACGACTTTTCCTTCGCCTCCTCTACACTCGCGGACTCCTCTTTCGGAGCGGCGAACGCGACAGAGACGAGAATCCCGAAGAGGAAGATGACTTGGAGAAATTTCCCCATTTTCAGAAAAAAGTTCAGAAACTTTGGAACTTTGTGTCGTGTTTGGAGTGAGGGCTGGAGAGGAATTGAGGAGGGGAGTGGGTGGCAGGCTTGGTTTTATATGGAGGAGACTTCTTTGTTTAAGGGCCAAGCCAGCCAGCCAGGAAGTGACGCAGGGACGGATTTTATTTTTTAAGGGAGAGGAGGACTTGAGATGCAGGTGAGATTTCTCCAGTCACAGGTTGCAGCAGGGATGCAACAAGAATGCACTTAAGGGTACCTGAAATGGTGGAGAACCTTGACTCGGATTTTTCATCCCTTATTCTCACTCATGCATCACAAGGGATGATGATGATGAGGGTAGAAGAGGATCTTAAAGATGTGACCATGGCCTTTAGACAGAGGTCGGCGAATTCGTTTCACGTTATATTTTGAAATAAAATAAAATTTCCCAACAAAAAAATGAATTAGGTAAATTCTAATTCTGAAATATTTTCTTTCGACACTAAACACTTTTGTATGTTCGTTTCATAAAATTGAAATAAAATTTCCAACCAAAAAATTATGAATTATGTGAATTCGAATTCTGAAATATCTACTTTTCCTATTTTTAACGCTAAACACTTTTTGTGACATGAGGATAAATATGAATTTTTTTTAAATGTAAGACTTTACAGCCAAAAGTAATATTATGTTGAAATACGTAATCATAATAATTAAATTGCAGATTAATCGTTTATGCAATATATAATTTGAAATCCAAACTTTACAAGATCTAAAAAAAAATCTATTCAAATTCTTAAAAACTTCAAAACGATTCCCGAATTTTGCCGACCTCTGCCTAAAAAAATCTCGCTATATCCAAAAATTTCTTCCACAATCTGAACTTTGAAGATGCGTTGTTTCGTGACTGCCTTATTTTTTAAAAGGTCGCCATCCACCTGAATTATTCTACATGAATATTTTTTTATGAGAGAAATTATATTTTTACTTTCTTAAGGTTAGCGAGAAATAGAAAGCGAACGTATAATTCCGTCATCACATAATTTTTCGAATTCATGCATAAAAAATCACTTCTTAAAGCAAAAATATGTAACTATCCAGCCATATTTTTTAGCTAAACGTTTCATCCGACACAAACTTTCTAGAAGAGACGACGACAAGAGACGAGAAAAACAATTAAATCGAGTTCAAGGTTGAGAAGAAGAAGACGACGATTCCGAAAGTTTTACCATGTTTCGAGACGAATCCCGTTATCCTTTATCCAGGTGAAGATGAAGAGACTGCATCTTTTTTGTCCATAACCAAGACCAACAATCAACTTGTTGGAGCCCTTTTGACGAGAAAATCCAACCTTATAAACAGTGCCCGCGGAAGGGTGGGGACAGAGGGACAATGTCCCCACGGTTGTTGGATGTCCGCATCATCTGCCCATCTTATACAAACCCCTCCCTCCCCTGTCCTACAATGTTAATGTCCCCAGATGTCCCAACGGCTTCCACGGCCACTGCTTACAAGTGAATCGTATCTTAACCTATCGGGGATTACCCAACTATTCCTCGTCCTGCCTTTTTTGTTGTTATTATTATGATGCACCTGGAAAAGGTGAGATGAGATGACGGTCAAGGATTCACCTTTTTTGGAATCTGCTGCACTTGCTCTCTTCGTAATAAATATAAAATAGTTAGTTTTTAGGGCAAAGTACTTCCTGATTATTGGACATTTTTTTTCTCGTTACGTAAGCATCAGAGTTTACAAAATCTACGCTATATCGAATAATTTGTAACCTTATGACATACTTCATCTGGCGTTGAGCCCTATCAGAAAATTTTTAAAATAAAAAAAATGTCAGAAATTCATATTTATCCACTTCCTGATATTTTTTTCTCGTTACCCGAATTTGAAAAATGGAATCTAAACGTAAATTGTTGTAAAAATGTCTAATTTCATGAAATAATTCATCCGGCATTGAACCTGAACCATCTTAGAATTTTTTTAAATTTCGAAAAGCATATTAGAAATTCAGATGTAACTACTTCATGATACTTTAAGATTTTTCTCGTTGCATGAATTTGATTAGTGGAATTTAAAGTATATTATTTAAATATGCATAATTTTATGAAATACTTCATATTGGCATTAAACCTTTCAAAAATCAAAACCTTAAATAAATATCACAATTCAAAATTTCAAATATTACTCATAAATAAAAATTTCAAAATAATTGCTGACAAATTTTTACCTGCTCGTCCCAACGAACGGGTCTGTCCCGTCTTTTGGAATATTTAGTAAGAGTGGTTTGTAAGCGTCTCCTCCCAACAATTCCTGCTCCCAGCCTTGCCTTATCCCTCCCTTGTTCCCCCCACCACCGCCCTTTCCGAACGTCTTGTAGGAGAACAATGTCCCAAAAATGATCAACCATCCCACCATTATCACAACGATGACTGCCTTCTTATCCAACACGATAAGGGACGAGGGATCCAAAATTTTCTGGTGTTTTCTAGACACATAAGTAAATATAACAATCTGTAAAGAACCCCATGAATTTGGACAGTGGCCGCGGAAGCCGTGGGTACATGTGGGGACATTGCCATTGGAGGATAGGGGACGGAGGGGTTCATATAAGATGGACAGATGATGGGGACATCGAACAACCGTGGGGGCATTGTCCCTCTGTTCCGCGGCCACTGGATTTGTACATCAAGTTTATGCATGACCACCTACTTGATAAGTTGATCAGGAACCATCGCCGGGTTTCCTAACGGGTTAAGGGCATTCTGGAAGGTCAAGGTCAATGCCAAGGTTAATTTCATTTCAAAATTTTGCATATGCAAATAAGTTTAAAAGCTCCACCCACCATCACAACGGGATGTTGCGGATCGACAATCGGTCTCCCATCCCGATCCGTGACGAGACCTCCTCCTCCGTTGAGTTCTTCTTCAGAATCGTCCTCCTCCCCGTCCCTCCTCCCCATCACGGAATTCAACCAGTTCTGCCCCCCTCCTCCGGCCGAACTCTTCTTCACGATCTTTTTATTGCTAATACTACTTTTCATCCCCCGGTTTTTCTCGTCTAATCCAAGGTCGAGTGACCTTGCCGAGAACTGGGTCGCCTCGGATGGCGCGATGGGGAGCGTGGTCATCCGTCGGGGACGGTGCTGTCCTCCGTACCCGTGGAGTGGTGGGGGTGGGTACGACACGGTCGGAATCATGGGGCGTCGTCTCGCCTGACGATGATTGTTGGGGTGAAAATGGGGCAAATTTTTACCCGGGCGTGGAAAACGATGCTGAGGATGATGATAACTTGGCATGATCAAATTATTGGACACGATGGGTATCGAGGTCGAAAATGGGTAGGGAGCGGACGGGGTGGGGGGACGAAGACCGATTATTTGTTGTTGTGGAGGCGTAAAGTGGAACTTGGTCTGACTTTCGCCCCCAATTGTGTCCCCACTTTTTTGTCCTTGTTGGAAATTATTATTCGGATTGAAAGATGGTCTCACGTCGTTCGGAGTGAACTGCATGACTTGTCCTGGACTCGGTTTGGGTTCCGTGTACTTGGCTGATGCTCCAATTAATGGACCACCGGAAATGGAACCAGTACCACTTTTCTGTACCTCGGCGTCATTATAAGCCGTGTAATACTGCTTTTTTATCGTCGTCTTATCGGGAAATGGGTCCGACGTGGCTTCACTAATTTGGAAGTAATTAGTCCCCGGCGAGGATAACATGTTATCCGCCGTAGAAATCTGGACAACTTTCAAACTTTCGGTCGTCGTTGGAGGAGGAGTAATTTCCGGTTTGCGAGAATTTCTTACCATGGTTGACAAGTCCTCGCCCCGATCCGTGTGGGTGGCAGGGACACCGGGCATCTTAGAGGCGGAAGTTTTCTCGGGGTGGACAACGGTTATCGGAGGTACGGTGGTAATATTAAGAACGTTATCCTGATTTGTGGTCAATAATTTTGTGTCACTTCTTATCTTAGAATAACCCGATTTAGACGAGGATGACGACGACGTCTTGTTAATAATGATATCCGACCTATTCTTCTTCTTCTTACTGGACGTTTCCGCCACTATTGAAGTCTGATTATTACTACTTTTTGCCAACTTGGTCGTCTTGTAGGAAGGAATTTTCGTCTTGAACGTATCCCCAATCGTACCAGGCTTACTTTTAAGTTCACTTTGATTATGAGACATGACTTCTCGAGAAGTTTTACCTCTCATCCTCACCTTCTGAGTGGTCGCCGTCGACATCGTCGCCGGCGCCCTTGTCGTCGTTGTCGTTGTACTCGTCGCAGCATCATAGATTTTTATCCCCCCGCCATTAAAACTCATCCCCTCGCTGGCATTATTTTTCTGCGATTCGAACAACCTCGGCCCTTCCAAGCCGACCCATCCGTCATCATTTACAACTAAACTGCCCCCCTCTCTCCCCACCAGGAAATTATTATTACCAATTCCTACCAAATTATTACCACCACCACGATTTTCATTATTATCATCTCCTCTGCTACTCATCTTCACCTGCGGAGACGGCACGAATCCATCCTTTCTTAGAGAAGAATCTGGATTTTTTCTCCCAAAAAAATCCAACTCGTTATTAACAACATTTTCAGGCTTTTTCTTCTCCTGCTCCTTGTAAAAGGTTGACGTGACGAAGGGGAGCTCAGATTTTTGGTGTTGGTGAACACTATCATTTTCCACAATCCCCTTCCGGGCAGCCCTCGAGGTGTAGGAAGGGTACGATGGATAAAAGGGGAGACTCTTAAATCCAGCCCTTACATCGTCATCTTGCTGGTGCTGGGGCTGTCTCAACCCAAAATTCCCTTGATCTGCTGGATGATTATTGTTATTGTTGTAAAGGTTAAGCTCGAGGTATTTCGTGTCTGCTTTTTCATCTTCTCCGTTAAGATGAGGATTCGAGTTGAGAATTCTTGCCTGTGGTGGTGGTAATGGATTCTGGTGTAAAATACGGATGTGATGGTGATGATTTAGTGAGGGTGAAGATGGAGGTAGATAAGTATGTTGCCTTATCAAGGATACTTGATGACTCGAGGGGGACGAGGTTGACCCCGGAAACGCCATGGACATCGAGACCGGGACAGAATATTGCGCTTGACCCGTGGGGACGGTGAATGTTTGCAAATTATTTGCATAGGGTGAACGATATTGTGGAGGTTGCCGGTTATTACCAAACTGGTAAAGATGTGGGTTTCGTAATTCATCAAAATTTCGATAATTTCTTCCATGTGGGGGATGATGATGATGCGTGGGGCTGGATGGTGAGGGGTATCCGAGTTGGTAACAATGGGCAAAATGCGGGATTAAAAAAAATATTATTGAAAATGCGAAACGCCGCAAAACGTTTTTTGAAAATGTAATCATTATTACAAATAAAATTAAAGATGCAATGTTTCTGAATGATTAATAGGCACGATTTTAATCACTGGGCACAAATTGGATTTATTTTTTTTTCACATTTTCTGTACGTCACGAAATTTCGAAAATTCTCGAAAAAACCGTTTTCAAAAAACTTCTTATTTATTTCACCACAAATTGCATACACGAGTCAATGTCAAGAATACAGCAAAATGAAGAGTGAAACAGGAAGTGAGCTAGTTTATAATAAAATGCGAGGATGTTATCAAAGACGAATGATACACATTTTCCCCCCTACTTTTTTGCAAAATTATGTATGTCGTTATTCTGCATTTAATAAAATAAAATGCAGGCATGCTTTTTTGCATGGGAATCGGATGCCCTAAATAAACGCGAAGCAAGCTTATACTTTATGAATATAACTTGTGGATTAGCTTACTTAGGTGTAAATACATACACATTTCCATTTTTACGACAAATGCGAGCTTTTGCTTTTCCCATGAAATGGAAACAAAACAATGGAGGAAAAGTGGACGTGGATTGGATTGGATTGTTTGTTACTTAGCTCAGATTTTTTTTTTCGTTATCCGGTGGTTTTCGTATCAGTATGTATGAAAATTAATCATGCAACTTATTCCGATGAGAAGGACCTCGTGATCTGGTCTTATTTCTCAAAATTCTTTTTAAAAAAGTACATAGAATGATTTAGAATTTAGTTGCATGTCCGACAAAATCACAAAATTATGGAAATTATGCCGTCTCAAAGTTGCATATGTGGGTTACATTTTTCATGAAAATGTGTACATACAAATCTGCTCAATAAAAAGGATCAATAATTTCCTAGACCAAATTCACACTTTAAAGTTATTCTAATTTGCATGAATTGTGTTAAGGTACGTTTACCAATTTGCGCCAAGGTTTTACTTTACGTATGGCCAGTGACCGCGGAAGCTGTGGGGACATCTGGGGACATTAACATTGTAGGATATGGGAGGGAGGGGTATACATAACATGGACAAATTTTCAGATGATATGGAGACCGAATCATCGTGGGGACATTGTCCCTCTGTCCCTACACTTCTGCGGTCATTGCGTATGGTGTAAGTTACTTACAGCTTTACGAACTAAAAGTGATTATCACTCAATAAATCAGAAACACACGCCCAACAACTCGTAAAAGTTACAGAAACGCTGTTATTAAATACTTAAATGTGTTATTGCATTTGCATACACATTACTTACTTATTTACATATTTGCTCACTATGTCATACATACATAAACACAAGAAACTAAACCACCGGACCGGACGACGAAGGAAGTGAGAAAGGAAGTTGTTTCTTCCTCTTCTTCACTAACTAACAAAAGACTTGTTATTTTCTATTTAATGCCGTTCTGTTGTTGCGTATTATCATTTTCAAATCGTTATCTTGATTAGTTAGATAAGTTTCTATTTAATTTCATAAATGTGCAAGCATTGCTAATAAAATTGCACTTTGTGACGTGAGGAAATATTGATAACAACAATGACATGATTAAGATTAATTAAGGCGTAACAATGCTTCCGATGGAAAATAATGTATTTATTTAACGTGGTGGAGGTACATAAACTTGGACTGAAGATACATTAGAAGGACTCGATCTGTGCTTTATACCTTCGGAATTTTGAAGATTTATTTACTACTAAATAGTTTGGTAACAATTAATAGTGGATTTTTAAATTGAGATTATTTAAGAAATTTTTGTATGAGATACGCGAACATTAATTAGATTTGTGTGTAAATACATGTTTAATTGTTAATTGAATGCTAATCAGAATTTAAATAAAAAGTACATACATTAATAAAATGAAACTTGGCTTTATTCAGATAAATGACATTCTGCCTTTTCAAATTGTGTCCACTCCATCACTTTTGCTTTTATTAAATAAAATGTGTAATATGTGTTTCAGGAAATAAGAAAGTTGACACAGTCATTTTTTTGTCAAGTTTGCACGCCGATTTGTAATCTTGCTCAAATATGAAATATATTTTATTAGCACAGATCTACGCAGCTCGAAGTCGAAAGGAATTATCATCCTATTCCTTTCAGCATATTTTGAAATCTCAATTTTCCACGTGCTTACAGAACCTGTAATAACATTTGTAAGCAGTTATCATTAATCGACATAATTTGAATTTTTATCTTCCTCCGATAAATGTAACCGGTAAAATGCATGCATATTTATAAGCTATATATGCTACATTTAATTATGTCAATCAATTAATTATGTGGTTTGCCTACTCATAAATCAAATGTCACAAAAACCTAAATAATATGCACTTGTTAAGCTTAATGTGCAAATAATACTAGAATTTTTCCAAGATGAAAATTGATTATTGGTTCGCATCGCCTGGCAGTTTATGCATACAATTTTTATTAGGGGTGAATTTAGTGTTTGTCGTTTCGTTTCGTATCTGTTATATTTGTACTGTTCAGAAATATAGCTTTGCATGTATGCAACTGGTTTCAAAGCTGATTTGTTGGAATAAAATGATACCTGAAGAATATGTAAGTGCAATTTTCCATATCGTGGTTATTTTGGTTGGGTTGGTGAGCAAGCAAGTTACCGAAATACACAACTTTCTCCATGCTTTTGCATATATGAATCCGACAGGTCGTCATTTCCGCACGAAATCCTTGTTTGATTTGTTAATTAGGTGCATTTTTAGTTGTATTTCTTATCTGCCACGGTATATGTATGTGTTCGATGGATGATTTATTTGCATATCGATGCCAAAGCGTCTTATTGGCCATTGGAGGGTTGGGTTGGACATCTCGGTCAACGATGTACACCTTCGGAGTAGACGCTATGCCACGTATGTAATATTTCCAACTACGCCAAAACTGCGCCACGGTGGCATTTCCAGCGTCAGTAGAAGCTTTCTAGTCTTTCCTTATCCACGTTGAATTCTAATCTTCTTCATTTCTCTCATATTCCGACAACTTTCACTCGTTTACGTCAAATTCTAATCTTATTAATTTCCAACTACTTTCACTCTTTTTCTCTCAATTATTTTGGGTTTTAACTTGGCAAGTAATCCTTGAGGTTCCGCAATGGAGGGGGGAACTGGTCCGCGACCGCGGGAACGACGCCGCTCGTCCCCTCCAAGGACGCGCATACGTCCGGTAACCGTGCGGGAGTGGTTTGGTCGAGTCTGGCGGTCACAGCCGGACCAAGAAGGGCACGTGGTGCAGGTACACATTTGTTGATTTTTATATACTTGATAATAAAATAAACCTAATATAGAATAAATGCTATCCTTCCAATGGAGGTATCCCAATGTATCCTCCGCGATTTTGATTTTGATTTTGGCGTGCCAATCGATCACAAACTTAATTAGCATACAATTGGCGAAGGGCACCATCTCCCTATGCGCACGTTTAGCAGAGATATTTGCATTTGGAGAGGCGAAAATGGGCTTTAAAGTTGACACAATTTACACTTTCTAAATTTATTGCTCTTCTCCTCTTCCAAATAACTTCCCTAAATCTGAGCCTTGGGAGATGGTGACATTTGAAAATTACATCATATGAAATAATTTGTGATCGATTAAATTGGAGAGCATACGCTGGGAGACCTTCATTGGAATTGTCCAACTCCAGGGTAATCATTTGAACCAATTTAAAACGTGGCGAATTAATGGCACGCAGGGCTTGAAGCAGATGAAGATGGGCGGACTGAAGGAAGCTCTTCGACCTAAAATTCACATAAGCAAGAGGTCAGCACAACGGTTTTAAATATCTTTTTGCATCGCATTTCATAAAATATATTGAACCAAACGAGCATCTTTCATACATCTAACGATAAGCTTTGCGATTTAATTGCTAATAAAAATGTGATTAACTGCGACATGATGGAGGCTGATTTGCACGTGTGTGCATACGTTGCGATTGATTCATAACCTCAAGTGACGCATCTAACCAAGTAGATTTTAGAGATTTATTAGTAATTATTTTTGTTTACAAATGAAAAAGTTGCATAGGTTGATGCGTTACGCGAATTATGCCAATCAAACGGCTAATTGTGAAAATAAAAACCTTTTTACAAGAAAGATGTGCTTATTTATTTAGGAGGTACTTGTGCACGATATTTGTGCACTGTCACGCCATATCACATCCAGTTCAGAATTGTTCCAAATTGCAAATGTTGCAATTTGCGTGTGTAAAAAATGACACGAGACTCTGAATGTTTGGTTCAATTCTTCCGTGCATTCTGTTTCGGGTCTTCGGGCGCTTACTGCTTAATATTGATTAATTAAGGTGTAAAAAATGTATTAGCAACATGTATGTACGTATGCTAAAATGTATCAGGGTAAGATTAGCTGTCAAAAAGGGTAGCTTTGTATACGTTCATACGCTGTAAATAAGTAATATGGAACCAGGAAGGGTTACATGCCTCTTGCAAAAAATGAGATTGGAGAAAGTGCGCCCTTAAATCGTGTACACTTTGATCACCTTCGTCCATGCATGACTGATTTATTGGCTATGGACATTTACATCGTGAATTTATAAGTTTAAGAATTTAACTTTAACGTGAATTTAACTTTAAATTGAAGTTAACTGACGTGGTTCAATGATGAGACGAGAAATATTTAAGTGATCATCTTACCTAAGAGCACCAGCGCTTAGGATTAATTCAAACTACACGAATTGACACATGACGAGTTAATTAAGTAACGCCGGTTACGGCCAAATCGATTATGAATTCATAAATAAGCTATCTAGATTTGCAGATAGCTTATTTGTAGGTAACGTGTCAGGCCTGCATTTACATGCACGATATGTTCCCCCATCCTCCATATGCGGCCACTAATTCGTCTATTTTTATTCGCAAAAATAAAGACGGCCTCATCCAATACATATT